AAGTGACAGGAGCGTAGCAGCAGCGTAGCAGTAGCGTTCTAGTACAGTATCAAATACACTAGTTCTTACGCACTAGGGGGTGCATCCAGCTGCCACTAAGCCCATAGCAGTTGCGTCGTTAATTTCCTGGTGTGCGTGCGCATCATCGACATTTCCAATCTTTTGCATAGGTCATCCATAAGCCAAGGACAATGATCAGGTAGGAGCCAACAAACTATATAATGCGCAAAGAGAGCTCGGGACTGGACATTTCCAAAGACTGAAAAGGCCGCAGTCATGCCAAGCATGCATATAGACACCCACATACTGCTAAGTCAAAGCCACTTAGAGAATTTCAAAGTCAGAGACCGAGAATGGCCAGTGGAGGTGGAGTAGCTTGGCAGCAAAATGCTTAATGGGATTAAGACTTTATAAGAGATCAGTTACCAAAGCTTCGTCCACCACAACCGCAGTCCTCGCAACCATGTTGGCTTCCGTACGAGCATGCCAAGGTATGGCCAAGCACGACGCTCGTCCACTTATGGAAGGTGCCAGTAGATTCTGCTGTTGCAAAAATGTAGAAACTCGTTCGACTCGGTTGAGTGGGATAACTACTTCTGTTCACAACGGCGAAGGAAAGCCGGGATGACTCTTGGGTTCCTGAGGCTAGCCCTATTGAAGCGATTAACTCTGCAGCCCTAAGGCAGGGCCCGGCTACCCGGGCGGCACTGTTGCCAGCTGAAGTGTAACCACGAAGAATATACAGCGTCCAGACGTCTGCATGCGTCCGGTGGACTGGCGCGGAAATTAAGCGACAGGTGGAATAGGTGGTGTTAGAACGGAGGAAGCCCTTTTCTGGACTACTTCTTACCAAGGCTAAGCTGGATCTGTTAAAAGCACGGTACCGCGAGGCTTTACATTCTAGATTATCTCGCTTTGCGGACGCATCTAGACGCTGTATCTGCGTAGGGGTGCTTATCGGCAGATGGCGCCGCTTGGGTGTTTCGTTTAGGCGGCCCTTTTGGATCTTAGTTATACTGTACCTTTTGCTCTATAGGAATCCTTGTAAACAATTTTCAAATTAGCCTCTGTCTTGACAATAAACGGAGCCGCCATTGAGCACTGGGAGCCACGGACGAAGGCGATAATGCAGTATAGCGTACCATACTATCTGAAATTATACAAACGCCACTCTTGGCAAGCTATTTTAACCTGAAGTATTCGAGACTATTAGGCCACCCCGATCGACCTAATGTGTGGGCTTATCTTGTGATACACTGGTACTCTAAGGTGTTATTAACGGACGGTGATATCTATGATGTCTAAAAGGAAGACCCAGCCCGGATCCGGCTCCATCCGAGCCTTCAAAGGCTCAAGTCGTTACAGATTCTAATCCATTACTATTTTTGCTTCTTCACCAGAACCCGCAGGCCATTTCCCTCGCTCCCATCCGGCCTCCTCGTCATACCTGCGAAATAGTCATGCACAGCCTCAATATCCCTCTCTTCAGTCTTGTAAAGCTCCAGACGGTTTCCGAACCGCCTCACCACGGTGGTAAGGACGCTATATAGCTCGGCGTACGCAAGATTGATGCCGACGCACCCACGTGCGCCCTTACCGAATGCCAACAAATAATGCTCAAGGCGAAGGGCAGTAGCGCCGATGCTGCCGTCAGGTTCTAGCCAACGCTCTGGGATGAATGAGAGTGCATCTGGGAAGATTGCTTCATCGTGGGCGACGAAAAGCGCGGACATTCCTATGGCGGTACCGGCCGGGATGTTGTATTGCTTGTAGCGCATGGCTTCGTAGCGATTGACACGAGAGAGGCGCGAGTATGCTCCTACAGAGACGCTGAAGAAGGATTAGCACCGTTTGTCCAGATCACGTGTTGATCACGGGAACAACCTACCGGAGGCTTTCCTTTACGACCGCGAACAAGTATGGCAGTCTCTCGAGAACTAACGACCCGGGTATTTTGGTTGGGTCTGGAATCGCCTGCTCGAGTTCTGCGAGGAGCTTCTGATAGACGTTCGGATGAGAGAGCACAAGGTATGTCATTAGAGTTAGTGTACCGCCAGTGGTCTCAAAGCCCGCAGCAATCAGACTATTAGCTTCCACTGCCAGGCGCTTCGGCGTCTTTTCTTGAGGTGGTAAAGCGTCACTTTTCGAAAGTTCCCATATCACGGTCGGATGCGGCTGAGCTTCGACCGCCTTTGAATCTGAATTTAGCAGAACCTCGGTCTGGTGGTCAATCTCAGCAAACATATCGACGACCTCAAGGGCTCTCGGATCTGTCAATTTGGTCATCCAGCGTGGCATAGACATGATGACATCAATCATCCACGGAAATTGGCGGGTGGTTGGGGAAAGCTCCCACAAGCTGCGCCAGGCGGAGTAGAAGTACTTTCCCCAGTCCGCACGATCGAGTAGACCCATCTGATGCGCGAACACGTACTCGGAAATGATATCCACCGTCATGCAACGGTACGCATAGAAGAGCGGAATGGGCTCGGCTTTCTCTGCACATAGTTCCATTCGCTCTGTCAATCGGTCTACGACGGATTGTACCTGCGGGTAGAACTTGGCGACTGCTTTGCTTGAGAAGAAGGGACCCAGCGCTATTCGCCTGACTCTATGCACGTCTGCCTGGATGGTCCCAAAGGTTGCGAGAGGGTTGCCCATCATACTATAGAAGTAGTCGTATTTGTCTAATCGGTTTGTCATGTTGTAGAGTTGATTATAGTACTCTGAGTCCAGAATATGCACTTCATTGGGTCCGACACGAACAATTGGGCCTGCAGGATGTTAGAATATGCACGACACCCAAAGGAACCGGGTCGAGTGCTGCACGCTCCGAAAAATTCTGCCGTTGACCGGTGCCGGGCGCCTAAATGACAGGCAGTGACAGGGTGTCCTACCGTCATGTTTCCCGTCGTTTGGGACCACGCGGGCGGAACGGGTTGCCAACTCATTCAACGAATGGAACGCTGCTTACCGTATTTCTCATGCATGCGTCCAATCTCAAAGATATACTGGCCCTTCTTAACGACATCATAGTAAGCTTCGTACCAGTGTGTCAGAGCCGCCAGCTTGGGTCCCGGGATGTGTGTCAATGGATGCAGGTAGAGGCGGTAAAATGCACCCGCAGCGGACGCCACCACCAGCGCGACCACGGTTGCTATCCCGTAGTCTGGCATGGCGCTCGCGGGAGAAGAGTTGTCGAGAGACGCAGCAGTGCAACCGAGACAGCGAAAGATGACGAGCGGAACGCGAACGTGGAAAGTGAAAATTCTACCCACTGTTGATACAGCTTTGGGGCGCGGTTACATTTGTAGACACGACAGCAAAGGCGCGCTATGCGCCTGCGCTGCCTGCCAGGTTGCGGAACGGCGCGTGCCATGCTTGCGGGCGGAGGGTGGGACTTCATCCCCGCTGCATGGAGCTCGGCCGTGATGCTGCTTTCAGGGGAGGAGAGGAGGATTGAGTTGGTTGATATGCCACTATCGCTGTATCTACAAAGGTACCGACCCATGCAATGATAACGCCTATGCCTACCCATATATACCTTCAAGAGCTCTTCTTCTTTCATCTATTCTGTAACTATTTACACTTATCAACGCCCGCTTTCAAAATTAGCTGCCTTTCTGTTCAGGTGAATTTTGCTCCACGCGAGAAAGCCTAAAAGAACAGAAACTCGAGAGAGAAAGGCTGGACTCAGATGCAGGCACTTCCTAAGGAAGCAGGAATAAGAAAACATGGAGAGACACAAGCCGAAAAGATCGGAAGCCAAGGAAGTGGCTCACGCGTTATCAGTGAAGATCTCGATGCATTACTCGGAGGCACGGTCGCATACATGGCACGACATGGTAGAACTACGCGCCACCCTGCGGGCATCAGAAACCATCACGGCCGCTGGACCATGATTCGAAGAATGCAAAAGCAGCCAAGCATCCTCCCCCAGCTAACCGTGGCACGCACAAAGGATGCGGGTTACAGCGGAATGCATCGTCTATTTTCCCAGGACACTGGAACCGGCGGGGAAGACACGGTACCGCGCGATCATCGCCCTAGGTATTAAAGTGCAAGCTCCCCCTTGCGCGCGTCGTAGTCAGCTTGCTTCTCCGACGTTCACACCAGCTTTTTCTCACTTATCGCAACTCCCATGGCGGATGTAAGCGAAGACCCGGCCGTGCCGAGTGGCCCGCAACCAGTGCAAATCGAAGCTGAAGAGGTGGGGATCAAGCCACATGGACCCTGAAATGTACTCTGATACTCACTGAATTCAGGGCGAGCTCGATACGGACTCGGCCTTTGGTGATGATGCGTGAGCACTGCGGACCTCTGCGGCTTTTGAGTAAGCTATCTGACCAGTACCATTCGCACAGCGAGAGCTATACGACTTCACTGAAGTCGAGTATCACGAACTACAAATACGAAAATGGCAGAAGATACCACGCCTTCAAAGATGGGTCATACTTCCTTCCCAACGATGAAGTTCGTTTTGCGTTCAAACACTCGCAAACATAGAGGACGCGATCCCTGATTCTTCCAGTCCGAAGCCGATCGACTGGACCTTTTCCACCACATCATGTCCCTTCGATGTGACGGAGAACTCCATTGGGCGCCCATAGGAGACAACCCAGGGCGAATCCTAGATATCGGGACAGGAACTGGTATATGGGCTATTGACATGGGTATTCAGAGCCCTTCCACAATTACACAGCACACTATTAGCTAAATCGCCCACCAGGGGACAAATACCCATCTGCAGAGATCTTAGGGAACGACCTCAGTGCCATCCAACCTACGCTGTACAACCATCCGCTCACTGACTATCACAAAGTAACGCGTACTAACACCCCAACAGAGTCCCACCAAACGTCAAATTCGAAGTCGACGACGCCGAAAACGAATGGGTCTACAGCTCCAAATTCGACTACATCCACTGCCGTTACATGGCCGGCTCGCTAAAAGATTGGCCGCGACTGATGCAACAAGCTTACAAGTGTGCCCTTAAAACACCGATTCTGTGCTGCACGCCTTTTGGCTAACACAAGCACCAGGTACACCAAGCCGGGCGGCTGGGTCGAGTTCCAGGACTTCGACATGACCTTCTACTCGACAGGGGGCGAATTCAAAGAGAACAGCGCGCTGGATCAGTGGGCAACTGGTGTCAAACACGGAATTTCCAAGTTTGGACTCGTTGCGGAGCCAGGGCCGAAATTGGAGGGGTGGGTGAAAGACGCGGGCTTTACGAATGTGCATCACAGCGTGTTGCCAATACCGGTTGGACAGTGGCCGAAGGATAAGAAATTGGTATGGACATTCCACCTTCTGCGTTTATCTGGTAAATGTGGGGGACAGAAGGAAAGTCGCAGGGCTGATTACGTTGCAGAAAGAAATCGGCGCATTCGACTTGATCCAATTCCTCGACGGCTGCGAAGCAATATCGCTGCGCATCTTCACAAACGTGCAGGGCTGGAGCCCAGAGCACATCCAGGTGTTCCTCTCTGATGTGCGGAAAGATCTGAAGAACACGCGGTTGCAAGCGCAACATAATTTGTACGTTACCCTCATCTTTTGAGTTGTCACCTGCGGGAGGTGAAAAGCTGATGGCTTGTGTTCCACCATTAGCCACGTTGTGTACGGGCAGAAACCCCTGACGGCCGAATGAACGAAATAATTACTTAAACACGAATAATGTGTAAGGCGTTGAGATACAGATTTCTGGTACGCGAAAAGCGAGTGTAATGAACGACCTGAAGCTTGGGAAACGGTATTGAGCACATTTCGGTCACATATTGCAGATGAGCCAGATACGCCCAAAACCAAATCCTACTCTACCATATATATCCACATCAGGCGTCTTTCAAACATATCTGAGATGCGACGTACACGTACCTCAAACCCCACCCCCATCTCATCCTAATCAAACAACCCCATAATTCCGTCCTCCTCAGAATCATCATCCCTACTCCCCTCATAGCAGCAATCCTCATGCTCCACTCCCTCTCCCTCCTCTCCCTCTTTCCCCTCGTCCTTCTTCCCCTCCCCTCCATTTTCCCCATCCAGGGCAGGCATCTCAAGCATCAGTTCTTTAACATCCCTCCCCTCCAGCGCCTTCGCAAACAAACTCGCCCAAATCGGCTCTACGTCTTGAATCCCCGCCGCACGGATCAAGACCATCAGTTTCTCAGCCGTGATGGCGACCTCGGCGTCGGCGAGGATGAGGGCGGCGTAGGCGGTGGCGGTTTCGGGGTTGGTTGTAGTAGACATTTTAGATAAGAAAAAATGGTTGATACGATGTTCAAGGGACGTAGAAGTGCATGTTTGGGTTGTTGAAAAGGATTGGGCGAGAGGGGGTATTTATACTTAGAGATGTTGAAGGCGGAGTAGGACGAGGAGGAGGACGATTGGCCCGTAGGGGTAGGATGAGGGATGGGAACCGTGAGAAGTGGAGTGGAGTCAAGGCACGTGACTGTGACTCTGAGGTTGAGATGACTGGAGGTAGCAGGATGAGGGGGTGAGTCACGGTATTGCTTCACTGCGGATTTTATGAAAGGGGGACCCGAGTTTGAGACACGAGATCCACGTTAAGAGTGAGTATACTGGGAGTTGACTCATGATGAATGCCTGGTTGTGGCACGGGGCATGGGCAGTGAAGCATGGTAGATAATTTGACTTGGACGAGACCGTCGGGGCGAGAAAACCGAGAGTGATAGTTGAGATATACCAAAGCTACCCTTGTATGTAGAGAGAAAGTTTATAGAGACTTTTGATACCGCATGTCCATGGTTGTGGGATTTTAACTTGAGTCGAACTTGCAGCCTTGAGTCCTCAGCAGATTCATAGACAAGAGTTCTTCTCAAGACTCACAGGAATTAATATAACAAGATCTTGTACTCTGTAGCGGTGTACGGATGATCTCCCAATCCTGCTCTCGTCTCTTATCAGCAGTCTCCCACATTAGCCGCCCAAGTCTCTGAGGCATCAACAACACTTTCTCAACCCACTGCAGATGCCAAAATGCCAAATGGAATTTTCTATGCCAAACTGTCCGCTTGACACACGTCCCAATTTTTTTTTATGAGTATCACAATGCTACTCTACCCACCTATCTATCCTGCTCTATGAAGCACCCTCAACTTGATCCGCCCAACTCCTCCCCGCAGCTGGACTCGGCAATCCAAAACTCTCCTGTTGCTTCAGCTGTCCCGGCCTCGGACTCGCCACCGTCTCCTTGCTCTCCTTCGTCTCTGCCACAACACTCGTATCAAGCTTCGTCGCTTTCCCTTTGATCGGGAAATCTAGAATCTTCGGCTTATCCTCCGCCTGATCCTCTGCCTTCTTTTCTTTGACTGGTAGATCCGGGAAGTCCTCTGCACCGGGAGGTTTCTGGGCCTTGGGAGTATGCGCGGCATGGGGCGTAGAGTTCGCGGCGTCACCCCTTCCACCCCGTCCGCCCCGTCCTCGTCCTCTGCCTCGACCTCCTCGCTCACCGCCCCTATGACTCGGCGTACTCGGCGCCTCCTCCTCCCCAGCACCCTCCTCCCTCGCAGCAGGCACACCCCCCACAACGCCCCCAAACGCGCCCCTCCTCGCGGCACCCCTCTTCTCCTCTCCCGTGCCCCCAAACCCCTCCTCCTTCTCCAGATCCCACTCCCGGCCACCCATCGCTTGTAGTTTCCGCTGCGCGTTCCGCTCGCGCTCACCCATCATCTGCGCGCGGTTTTGGCGATCGGCCTTCTGCCTCTGCTGCAGTTGCTTGCGCTTCTCGGCATTGTGGTGGGCGGCTTGCGCCTCGCGGGCTTCGAACGACGCGAGGTCGGCTTCGGCGCGGGCGTGGGCGGCGGTGCGGAGGGAGTTTTTGAGGGAGATGGAGGCGAGGCGGGCGGAGAGTTCGGCTTCGGTGAGTTTGGTCTGTGCAACTTAAGTTAGCAATGTGGACGGGAGAGCTGTGTATACTGGTATATGGGACCTGGAGGTTGGAGTATAGGAGGAAATGTGGCGACATACCCTTTTCACACCCCCCGTCCCACTCCTGTCCCCTCTCACCGCGCCCTCCCTCGCAGGCGTTTGATGCAAAGCCGCTTTGGCGCCATCGCCCTCACCTTCCGCTTCTGCCTCTCCATTCGCAACCTTCTTCGCCACCACAGGCTTCTCCAGTTCCTCCTTCTCTACGGGAGGCGCGTGAGCCGCAGGAGCGTGAGCTGAAGCCTGCATACTTCCCCCACCGCCCTGTGTCTGATGCTCCCTTCCTCCCTGATGCTCTCCTCTGCCACCCCTCCCATGTCCCCTATTCCCCCTTCCCCTTCCCCTTCCCCTTCCCCTCTGGCCTTGGTCTCGCGGTCCGTGGGGCGCATTAGGTGGTGGGTTAGGTGCTGAAACAACGGGGCTAGCTTCAACAACAGGACTCGGCTCGACAACAGGCTCCGGCATGGGCGTGAAGTCGTCGTCGAAGAGGTCATCTGGGGGTCGGGTTTGCGCGAACTCGTCTTCGGGGTTGAAGTCGGCGTACATGTCTGTCTATAGGTAGGAGAGGAGGTAAGTATATGAGGTATGATGAGGGAGCAACGTTTGCTTTGGGGCAGGGGAAGGGTATACGCACGGAGAAAGAGGAACTCTCAACCGGTATCGGCTCTTCGAATTGTGGTATTGCTGTTTGCGCTGGGGCTGGTGCAGCTTCTGGTTCCTGTGCTGGAGCTTGCGGTTCCTCATGAACAGCTGGCTCAGGCGCAGGTTGCGGAGCTGGTTCTGTGGAGGAGGAAGCTGGCGGGGGGGAGGCTGGGGCGGCAGGGTCCTTGGCCCAGCGGGAGGATTGCATGGTGAATTAGAATTACAGGAGTGGTAGTAGTAATAATTAATTGTGTATACGGTTGATATTTGTTGAGACGAATGGATGGTGCATATTGCGGAGGACGCCGAGTTGGAAGGCAGTCGCTAGCGTGTCTGTGATATACCGCGGGAGAGCGTATATTCCAGCATGCCTCTATCTTAATCAAAATCCACATCCGTCTCATGAAGAAATAGATGTGTTGATTGAAATATTCATCGATCTATAAAAATGCTCCACTACTACACCTACTAACCTTCCCATCACCTACCATTACCACGACTACCTCTACTCCTACCCACCACTCCTAAATCAAGTCTAATGCAAGATAGCCAGATATGTACCCACCACCTACTCTCCATCCCATCCTATCTCATACCCTCCTAAATCTACTCCGCGACACTGTCCCTTCTTACCAGAATCTCAGCCTGGCAAAGAGCCCTCCGAATCGCCATCGGCATCGACGGCGGCGTCTTCCAAGAGTCAGTTCACATCAGCCTCGCCCCAAACCTGAATACCTACGCAAAACTCCACCGCAACGATATCCACCTACGCCTGAGCAGACACCTGCTTCGCTCCCTCTTGACTGACCACCCTCTCCAACTCCCCACCATCAGTCGTGCCATTCGTTGGTAATGTCGTCTTCAAAAACCCGTTCGCGACCCAAGCACTCGTCGCCGCATCCGCTAGATTCCTCTGCTCCGCCTCCGTAAGCGGAATTTCATGCCCCTTCCTTCTCAACCTCGACTCCCCCGTCTCCACCAACGCCGCATCCGCCGTCTTCGCCGCCGTCGAGTTATCGAGCGAATAAACGCGGTACTCGCAGTTCGCCCATCCCGTCCCTGCGTCCAGCGTTAGCATGCCATCACTCCCGACCTCCGCAACCTTATAAGGGAAACATTGCCTGTAATGGGCACCCCGTCCCGCGCCTCATCGTACACCCACTCCTCCGCCTCCACCACCACCGCCGCGCCATCCATCCCCATCCCGGTCAACGAAACACGCCTCCTACCGGTGAATATCGAGTGGTCCGTCCAGTCCCCCGTGAAGAAGTGCAGGAAGCCCCCGTGCGTCACGACCGCGATCTCCTTCTCCTCGCGTGTGCGCAGCCACTCACGCGCCCGCTTCGCCCGCGCGAGTATCAAGCTCGGCACCGGCGCGAACGGCGCGGTGGTCTTCTCGTTCCAGCCGTCGGAGAGCAGCGAGAAGTCGACGGGGTGGTGCTTGAACTCCTCGATTAGGTCCGGGATGTCGGAGCCCGTGTCGCAGGGCAGCGCGCTGGTTTCCTGCAGGTCCGGGAGCGCGATGATGCGCAGGTCCGGGCGCTGCTTGAGGAGGGTCGCGAAGGTGTAGAGGGCCGTGTATATGGTGCGTTTAATCGGCGAGGCGACGATCAGGTCGAAGGAGGCGAGGTTTGGGATTTTGGAAGAGAGTTCGCGGCATTGCTGCTCCCCGAGCTCGGTGAGGCGCGGGTCGCGGAGCTGGTGGTTGGCTTCACAGAGGTTATGGAAGCCCTGAGCGTGGCGGATTAGGGTTAGGTGTTGGGGAGGCATCTTCTCTAAAAGGTAGAGGGTTTAGGAGTCAAATTGAGGGCGGACGTCCTGTAAGTATGTCTGTGTGGTGGTGGTGGTGGTTGCTGAGTTTTGGTTCCAAGGTTCGTTCTGTGAGTCAACTCTGGTAAGCGCGCAAGGTAGGAACTTTTATAGCTCCATTGAATGCCCGCCGCCGTCGAAAACTCTACCCTGCTGTCACGCAACGTAGCGGCACACTGTGGAGTGGACGCTCGCCGAATCACCAGCGGTGGTGAGGGCGTGGTTGACGAATCAAAAACGTGGTGAATGCATCGTCATAGTTGCCGCCGAAAATCCTTATCGATAAGCGAGCAAAGCAAATCTCGGCTTGCCTATATCGGAGCGCCACCATGAATATACAGCAACCTCGATACTGCCACTTCTTCATTATTTTTGCGACGTTGAGGTGCTTATGATTTCACGGCTGTGTTAGCGGTTCGTTCATGCGATCTGCTGTATCAATTCACTCACCAGGATCAATCGGCAAACTTGCATCTCCGCGTCTCGGCAGACTTACCTGTTGTAGTCAAAATATCCGGTTTTCCAAAACTCCTATCGCCTGCGGAGAAACGTGGAAGTTGGAAAAGAGTGATTGGATATGATGTATATTGAAGTACTACCTTTGTACATGTCTTCGAAATCTAAGGGATCCTCCATGTGCCGTAAACTACCCTGATCTGTGCAGGAGCATCATGTTAGTATAGTAATGTAATATACATCATCCCACCATTCCTATCGACGCCTCTCCCATCTACACCAACCCCCTACTCTAATTCCCAATTCACCAGCGTCATCTAAACACTATCAGCATAACCGTCCTTCGCCCCCGCCGTCCCCGAATACGTCGTCGTCAAACTCAGCAACCCCACCGAATCCTTCCCATCCGCCGGAACGTAACCCTCAACGCCGTATAGATCATCCCCGCCGTATCAACCGCCAAACAACACCAGATCTTCTGCGCTCCATCCGGCCCAGCCTGGAAAAAGACATTGATGCAGACCGACCAGGCGGCGAAGCTGCCGCGCTTCGCCCCGTTCGTCAGCTAGTACGTTGTCCCGGGGCATACGGAGATGGACTGCGCGAGCGCCTGCACGAAGGTGTTCCCGGGGGGACGGTAGACGTTGAGCGCGTACTGGCCGTCGTTGGCAGCGCTGATGAGTCGGGAGATGGACGCGGTTTGGCCGGTGCCGTTGCCGAATGTGGCTCATGGGGAGGGTATTTGTCGAAGAGAATGACGCTGCTTGGACCATGGCGTCGCAAGTCCCGGCTTCGGATTGAAGCGTTCCTCCGACGTAGCCTTGCTTGAGGGAGCAAGTGAGACCACTGGTGTAGGAGACGTCTGCGCAGTCAGTCGTTGTCGCGCATCTCATTATGCAGTCGATGAACGAGGCTTCAAAGTTAGGGCCGCCGGGGTTGTTGAAGGACTTAACCGCGCCAACTGTGATCAAGAACGCTTTGCCCCCCTACTGTGTATGTAAAGCCATCACCGAGCCCGTAGCAGTCGTTGGCGGGTGAGCGGTGGTGATGTGAGCGGGCTATGGTCGTATTAAGGTATTGCGCAATTATGACTGCAAAACGTTACACTATCGCCGGGAATATGGCTGAGACAGGACGTAGATGCTGAGGAAACGACAGACGTTGTCAGGATGAACAAGAAAAGAAGCTGACAACAGGCCATGGTAGCCTTTTGAGTAAATCTGTTAGTGTAAATGCATGTCTTGTGGCTTGGGAGTGGAAGAAATGGTCTTAGGGAGGACTGATATCGCGAGTCTAGCGGGAACTCCGTCGTGATGCTAACCTAAGGGGGCTAATAGAGGAGATGAGGGGCCCTAAGGGTTTATTCATTTTCACGATTGCGAATAGCGCAGCCTGGATCTCGATCTCAATCTGCTCGGCATGGATCTTCTTCTGTGAAAGACGATGACTCAACGAACCATCAAGAAGTTAGCGAGGTGAAAGGAGGAGTTAAAGAGTCCTGAGATACAGCAAAGAGTCTGCCATTGCATTGAACGGACCTCACAGCTCAAAAGACGCCGTTATACTGACTCTAGTCAAGGGTTAGGCGCCTCGGGAATAGCTTCAATGATGGTCTAAAAGGACATTGTGCTCGACTCGACTTGCTTCATCTCACCCTAACTGCTATCGACGGGCGAGTTTATGATAGGAAAACTGCCAGTGTCGCATACGACCGCAGCTTATCTTACTCCTTCTCAGTAGAACAAGAGCATGGCCTGACTTCCGAGCTATATCGGATGGAATACCCCAGAGGAACGCCCAAGATGTTCCTACTCCACTCCCTCGTGAAGCTGTACCTTCTTGTCGTGCTTTCGTCTGCGTCGTCGCGATCGTTGCCAACAAGCGTCGAAGCCGCGTCTTCCCATTCGTCATCGCGGTCATGGCCATCCTCTTTCGTAGGAGATGATCCGCCCTGTACACTCACCACGTCCCAATCTGCAAGGGCATCATCATCATCGATTGCCAAATCTGAAGAGCGACGGACAATTTCGTACTCCTCTCCCTCTAGCTCCTCGAGTGCAGCTAGCTCCTTTGTGAATTGGTCAAGGCCCTTCACCTTCGTAAGGTCTTGGTCGATATCACCAGTAGCTGCCTTCGGCCAGTCCATCCATTGCGACATACTTGGGCGCTCGAGTTCGTGAATTCTGGAAGCAATCGCATTGATTTCTCCAGACGACTCAGCATCCAGCTTATCCATCTGTGTTTTAAGCCGTGCCGCAAGCTGTTCGTTTCTCATTTCGCGTTCCTCAGGCCAATCCGTCCCGTGTGGCACTATCGAGGAATTGCCTTCGTATATTTCGGCAGCTGCCTTTTCTTTCAGTGCCGTCACCTCACGCTCTTCCCTCTCTAGTCGTTCCTTGAGTTCAGCAATGCGCTTTTCATTCATCAATTGTTCAGCCTTCTCTTTCCGCGCAAGCTGTGCGGCCCACGCAGCTCGCCTGAGCTCCAGCTCTTCTTTTTCTCGAGCAATTCTGTCAGCCCTCTCTTTGGCTTCAGCTTTCGTCCTTTCCTCGCGGACCTTTGCATTGGATTTGAGAAAGGCTGCTGCATCTTGCAACATGTCGTTGAACAGTAGGTCTTCATCCTTGGCAGCTTCAGGCGAAACACCATCTGAGTGGACCAACCGCTTTGTTGCCTTGACCTTGCAGAGAGGGTGTAACAGCTGTTTCGACGCTCCTGGGTCCAAGATTTCTTGGCCGGAGATTTCCAATGCTTGAAGTGTGTCATTGAGCTTGGCTATCTGGGCACATGTTATCGCCCAGTGGAACGCTCGTGCCTTGCGCTTGTTCAACGCCGCAGACTCTAGTGGCACAGCTGGTAGACGAATGGTTCGAATGCAGCTGCGGGATCGTTCGGAAAGCTGCTCAAGGAACAGCAGAAGTAAGCCTTCAACGTCGTGCAGGCAGAAGATCTTGTCGAAGTAGAGGATGGCAAGAGCCTCGGCATAAATCTGCTTGTTAGTACGGAGGATAGAAGTCGTAAAGGATGACTTCGGTTGAGGGGCTAGGCTGTAAGTGAGCGTTGGATCGAGAGGACGAGTCAGCTTGTAGCAGGGCAGCTGAAGTTGCCGCTTTATGCCAACAAGGGTAGATTTTGAGTCTGCATCGGTCAAGACGTAGCTGTAGATCCGTATCCGGATGGATGGCGGGAGGGACAAGAATGACGTCGAGGCTCGGCCCTGCGAGGAACGTTCATTTGCGATGTCAGCCTCGTCATATTGTGGCGGAGGTGTTGACTCGACGACGAGCGTCTCTGGCTTTTCGGAGAGCGCTTCAGCCTGAAGACTCTCGCGCCAGTGCGGGTGTCTAGTCTGGACGTGCTTCCTCCAGAAATTCTGGGCTTTGAATAATTTGGTGCATTCCGGCATCTTGCAACGCCACCTAGCTTCGGCTTCTTTGCCCACGTACTTGCTCAGTTCATCTTCCACGAGCTCCTCTGTGGCCTCCTCTTGCAGCTTACTGTCCTCCCACTTTCTGCAGCCCCCCTTGTTTTGTCGCAATACGTGTGCTCTCCGGACGACGCGATCCAACTCTTCAGCGTCTCTCTTGTGGGAGTCTACATATGACAGGTGTGCCTCCTGTATCAGCCTCGAGCTGTTCTCCAGACTGAAGGCCTGGTTGCTCGGAGCCAGTGGCTGAGTGTGGAGGTCTCCGTCCTGCTCGGTGGAGAAGGAAGTGGTTTGGGATTGACCCGCGTCCATGGCGCTTGTCCTGGCCACGATCCGTGCTTCTGGCAAAGATAAAGGAGATTCTGGAGCGGCAGAGCCGAGCGGGGCGTGTTGGTGGAGGAGGTTGGGGCTGGGAGCTGCAGCCACTGTATCAGCCTTGCAGGCGGACGCCATGCTCTCCGCAGAGGACATGCCGACAGTAAGACACGGGATGATGCGATTCTTCGGAGAGGCGGAGATGGGAGTGGAAACAGGAAGGAGAGATGACAGCCCTGGGAGAATCTGCTCCACGAGCGTGATGGATGAAGAAGAGAGGTTCGGAGGTGGAGGTAAGACGCAGCTGGAGACGATGGAGCTGGAGTGCTGCCTGAACCGCGCCCCGCAGTTCGTCCGTGCTCTCCGTCGCCAAGCTCTCGGGGCGGGACGATGGTCATCCTTCTCCCGCCCGTCCTTAGCCTCCTCTCCGCTTCTTCCACATGTTTGCTCTCCACTTGCGACGTCCCACGCTTCTGAAGATGGCCGAGGGTGGGCTTGCTCTCTGTGCCAGCTGGTTGCTGCCGGAGAAGCCTTCGACGACTCCTGCGTCACTGACCATGGTGTGAACAGAATGCAATTGGCGCCCAGGCGCCCCAAATTCCAGCTCGACAGCGCCGCGTCCATTCGCTATCAGGGGCACTGCCTTCTAGAAGCTCAGACGCAATACTCGGCATGCACGGCATGGACCTCCTCAAAGGCCTCCTGCGTGTCTGAGGACCCCACGTCCCGTCTCCTGCCCCTTCTTACACTCCCTTATCAAGTGTTTCAGCTTTCTTGTCCCAATCAGCGTCCCTCTTGTCTGTCTCAGCGTCATGTTTAGGTGCTGTGCCTCAGCCACGTCTTCTCGAACAAGATCGCTCCGCAGCCTTCGCTCAGTGTGGGTGCCACGAGGACAATTTCCAGCACTTTGGTCTGCCTTGTCGTTAATCTTCTCGCCTTCTTGATGGCCTCCCATTGGCCACGCGCCATCGGCTTATCACCAGATGGAAAAGCACCCACTTGAAGTAGGATGGATGCTCCGCCGTGCCGTTGAGAGTCCTAGCAATGCCTCCCTTGGTGCATATCTTATAATCCCATATACCCATCTCCAATGTAGTCAAAGCTTCACTCCTTCTCCATTGCCACTTTGCTTCAAGCCATTCTCTACCTGTCATGGGTTCCACTGCTCAGTCAATTGCCACTGGCAGTCAAGACTTTGCCGCCCTCGCTGGCTTGTTTTGCACCGACGGCGTTGAGAGAAACCTGCTTGCGGCCCAGTACGGATATGCTTCCGTTGCTGCTTCGTCACTTTCCATTTTGGGATTACTTGGGCTCGTCAAGAGCACTGTCAAGGTTGCTATGGGTTTGGAGAAATGTAAGTTCCATCACGTCCAGATTGCAGTCCTGCTCCGTATCCTTCAACCGAGTGTTAAGTTTGGCAATGACGGTCACGCACGACTCGCCTCATATCATCTTCTAGAGATGGACACAGTTCTTCCTGGTGGATCATACATACAATACTTTAACAACGTGTCACTGACGAGGAACAGGTGTCACAGCTGGTTTCACGGTAGACTCATTACGAGGAAGATTCGGTTTCCTTCTCGATGAAACTGCCCCAATTGACCTGGTCGAATGCGACGTGGTCGAAGTATCCCTCTGGAATAAGTACTATCACATCAAGAAATCGAAGCAATACCTCCAAAAGGAACGAAATCCCATTGTGGTTGTCGGAAGCGACTGGCCAGGTGGACTCCATGGCATCACCGCCGTCAATCTCGGAAACGCCAGACGGGAACGGGCCTTCATACGACATCCACTTGTCATCGCCATGCTTGCCTTGGTTTGCTCGGGAGCAACAGCATGGCTTCTACTGATAGTTAGCACCGAGCGAAGCTGGGTGACAACCGTTGCGGTTCCCGGCCTGCACGCGAGCCTACTCCTGATGCTAGCCATACCACTTCTTCACGATCACCAGACGAATCGGCCGGCCAGACATATCAGCGCCGCCAAGTACAAAGCCCTCTTTACTGGTATGGACGACATTGCAACCCGGCTACGATTCCTCCAATCCCGCGTCAACGGAGGAGATGTGCTTCACTTCCGCGGCAGCACTGCACTGGTGGATCCTGGCTTTATGCCGGTGCCAGCAATAATCCTATCGGCCTTCTGCGCTGTCGCATATATTTGCCAGTATGCAGTTCTCAAGGAGGCTTCAAGCACGAGAGCTTTCCTATGGATAGGCGCGCAAGCAGCACTCGCACTAATTCGTGTTGGGCTGTGGGCTTGGAATCCTTCTTTCGACGACCCAAGAACCGAGCAGACCGAGTTCGCCCTCGTCAAAAACGATGCCTCCGAATCAATCACCTTCGCTGAGCTCGTTTGTGCATCCTCTAGTACAGAATTCAAGCTGGAGGAAAAGTTCTGGAAGTTTCTTGCTTCTAACGACATATACAACATACTGAGATACGCATTGGAGTTCGAGTGGGAGCACAGCTTTACCCCGATTGACATCATCTCCCTTCTCTTCATGGATCTTGGGCGCATACTAAGAAACAGAGTATCATCGGAAGAGGAGAAGAAAGAGCTTGATGCCATCCTCAACGGCCTCCCATTGCGAATCGGGTTATACATCAACAACAAGAATTACGTGCGCCCCTTCATCATGACGGAAACTTCCTACACGTTGGTTCCATCCGAGTACAGCTATGCGTTGACGACAAGATGGTGCTGGGTGCAAGTTACTAGAGAGGACGATAAATACGGGTTTTCTCCCTGTCGCGGCTTCGCGGTCAAAGAGGATGGCGACCAGGTCCATCTTCGTGGACCCTCAGACTGCCACCGACAGTGTACGCACGATGCAGAATTAGTTCCCGGTCTAGTATCGTGCCGTAAAGGATGTCCGTTTAAGAAGTCCACACAAAACCACCTCGACCACGATGATCTCAAAAGCCTCGCGGACAAGATGAAGCGTATCGCTAGGCTCCAAGCATATCTCGAAAAGAAGAACTCGTCTCCCAGCTCACCTGGCCGACCCGACGTATACCTTACTGCCACCCCAGGAACAACAACACGCAAGGGCCTCTACTGTGATCCAGCGCACCGCCACGGTGGCACACTCAGCGACAAAGGCTTCGACTTCGTTAGCGGTCTTGCGAGTATCGCAAACTATATCGACCACGGATTTGCAGAGCAGCAACGCGAGAAGCACTCTATTAAGGATATTGGACTGGATTCGTGGAACTCTTTCACAGACTCACTCCGCCTTCCAAGTCGCCTTGAAAGTCATAGGGAACACCTTCGTGACTATTCCGTGTCGTCCCTCGATAGTTCTCTCTGGAAAGCCGAAATTGGCTCCATTGCCAAGCCGTCTACTTCCATACCTCCTGGTCTAAGGACTGCTTCTCCGTTCCATTTTGTTTGAGCGGGATGCTCCTACATATGGAGGCTTGAGTGATGCAGTAGCCATTGAAGCCCGACGCAACTGTGCGATAAAGTTTCCAAGCTCTTCATTTATTTCGAACCCACCTTTCGGTTTATTCCTCATCCGCACGATCTGGTCGGTTATCCTCTGTAGCATATGGGCGGCCTCTCTGCGTTAAGGTTGAAAATGTCAGACGGTTAATTTTGTATCTACTTGTACAATTATCAAACCGGGCGTGGGCCTCCAGGTAATAATTTTCCCACGACACTCAATCAAATCGCCTCATCAGAGATACTAGCATGTGGATAGCCCGAATTCAATTTTTCATCTTACTAACATCCTCCTAAGGTCCTCCCATCGATCCACTCAAAGCAAGGGTATACGAGCACCACCACCACCAGAACATTACGCAGCTCTCATTCGATATCAATGCAAAGCCCTATCACAATGGATGCCTAGTCCTCCATCACTTTCTCTGGCATCTCGGTCGTGCTACCACGTCTGAATATGCTCAAGATAGACCCCTTCCGTTCTTTTACAGAGTTCGTGGACCAGACGCTGCTGCGGCGGCGAGGTTCTGGGGAAGCGTTAAGAGACAGGGCACGAATGACAAGGGGGTTGATTGAGATTGGCATACGTTCAGGAGGCATACTGGCGAGGGTCTCTTTTGCTGCTTCGACGACTGAGGGGCGGCCTGGGATGGATGTGTTAATTGTGCAAGGCTAGAAGGATGATGAGCAAAGGGTATAGCAAGCATACGCAAATTCCCAGCGCCGCCGCGGCCGTAGGAAGTGTGGCGTTCAGTCTCAGCCATGGTGTATGATGGGTGCACGTGTTCCGGGTTCTTTTCTCCTCAATATACGACTTGGTAGCAGCGTTTATTATATGATGATGTAGACTTTCGATATGACCGGCCGCCAGTGAGGCAACCCTCCCACCTAAATACCTCCCCGGCCCACCCTGATCGTCCACAGCCTCCGCATATCACGCCTCAGCAGCCGACGACGCAGCGCCCGATTCGCTTGATACGCCTGGGAAAGGTGACTGTTTGACGCACCCCGCAAATCGCGCACCACTTGCAGCCGGAAGGGGTCCTGGGGGAGCTCCACTCGTCAAAGCTCCGCCACCTGCACAGGTAAAAGCAATCATCCCAATCCTCACCTCCATCTCCATCCTCAACTCCCTCCCTACATCCCCCCTTTCCCAACCTCACTTCTCCAATTTCTAAAACACAACGCCCTCCACCAACCTCACCAATTCATACATAACACGAGATTTATCGACGATACAATGCACCCGCGTCATTCCACCACCTCACGCTCACGCAACGCCCACTCCTGCATCCAATTAGCTGTGCAGTGTCTATCGCAGCCCTGCCCAGCGCCACTAAGCCACTCAAGCTTCGGCTAGCGCGGGATCCGCGGGCTTGGCCAGTGGGGACGCGGGAGCTTATCAGTGACGCAGGACGGCGCGAGCTTTTGAGCGTCGAGGTGTGCGCGAGTGTGCGGGGGAGGGGTCGCGTGAGTGTGGAGCGAGGGGATGACGTGAAAGAGAGACGGAATAGAAATCTGGAGCGGCTGGTTGAAGAAGAGAAGCTACGTGGTACAGTGGTTGCGAAGGAGCAAAGAGAGGGTCACGTGGTGTCGCTTAAGCCGCCTGGTATAGCACTCAGTATCAGAACGGGGCCTGATGCACGTTCACGGATGCAGTGGGAAGCGCGAGGGAAGGTGGATGGGTATGTAGGTATTTGGGGCTTGTTATGCCTGGTTGTGTAAATGGGGTTCTAGTTCCGCATGCGGGGTATTATGTGCAAGTATAGTGGGTAGGGGTATCCAGCAACTCCTTCGTGGTATCCTGAGTCGTGGACGCACGTGTCGAATCCGTAAATTCCAAATGTAGGTATCCTCCCGCCCATTCAACGCCGTTCTCGTTTGTGAATCTCACAGACCCTCGTCCTCGTAATAGTTACTCTCTTTCGTCGCTTGCTCCTGCAATCGCACGGCCATGCCGTCGCATATTCGTCCACAAAGCTTTTCGAATCCAGGGGTAATGCGGTCCCGCAGCGCGGGAAAGGTGGAGAAAAGCGAGAGAAGCTCGCGGAGCCTTCCAGAGACGGCTTGCTGCAGCGTGATCGAGAAGTGGTATGGGCTGCAGGTTACCCCCTCTGCTGGCGGAAGTACCGTGTTGAAGACCTGTTCCATAACCGTCACCTCGGAGCAGGTAATGGGGTTGAAGCGGCGCTCAGAATAGGTAGAGGCCTCCTCTTTGGCCTTAAATTCATTGTACCAATCAACCAGGATGGCGCAGTTTATCGTCACTGGTCGGTCAAAAGGTCCGAAGACTGGCGGAGGTGTGATTGTACGTGGAGGCGGCGGGCGGATTGCTTTTCGGCAAGCTGGGCAAGGCTTAGGTGGACTGCTCGACTCGACCCACTTCTTAATGCATTCCCGGCCGAAGCAGTGATTACATTCTAGCCGGACAGCTCTATCAGAGCCCTTATATGTGAAGTCGTCAAAGCAGATCAAACAGCGCTTGTCTTCGTCGGAGTCGCCCAGCTCGTCGCGCCATACATCCGTTAATCGCGAATCAATTGGAGGGGTTTTCCACTTCTTCATCCCGTTGTAGCTGTCCAGTCTCCCGATCTTCTCCATAGCAAGCTGGACAGAATGGTACGCTCGGTCCGTCTTTGCGAGTCGTAGAGTCTCCAGCCGCTCCCACCATACCTTGAGAGGCTGTTGCTGACGCTCCGCCTGCCGTTTCAGACGAGCGCCCAACTCCGTCCATTTGCCAAGCGTCATCGAGTAGTCTTCCGACTCGCGCACGGGGATGAGGCCTCCGTCGGCGAGGTTTATATCCGTAGTTCGTGATATGAAGAACTGGAAGTAACCAGTCACGAGCCCTAATGTGGTCGACCCTTCATATTTGCTCACCCGATCCATATCATGCTCTAGCCGCTCCGCTGCATGGCAGCTTTGTCCGTTAGCGGCCTGCTCGTTCTCGTACCTGTACTGCTCGACCCGTTCTCTCTTGATGAAATCGCTGGACATAGGGCGTGCTGCTGCTTCGGTGATTGAATAGTACATGCAGTCTTCCGGTCTCGAGGAAGATGGTCCGGGGTCTGGTTCCATCCTGTTCTCTTGATTGTCTGGTCGGAAAAGTCGTAGTATGAAAGGCTCATCTCGAGAAGAGTCGTAAATGGATCTACATCTCTCTAGTAGTGCGCTGTCCGGGCAGAGATACTGAGTGAAATGGTGCGGTCTGCTTCGCTCGCCGTTGTCTTGAAAGCGATGTTGGCCGAATGAGCTAACGAGATGTTGCGACTGTGCGTCGTTTGACATCCTGAATAATTTGGTTTTATGGGGTATTTGGGCTGTCGAATGTAGATGTGGACGCTTTGCGTCAAGCTCGTCCTGGCAGTAGTGGTTGATGTCGCGGTGTAGATTATAGTAGACGCGCTGAAAGTAAGTTGAGTGTCTGCTTTGAGCAAGCACACGAGGATGTTCAGTGGCCGTTTCCGAAGCTGTCGCAAGCCTAGGAAACGTTATAATAGGGAGGTTAACGACATTATTCAAGCAGAATCCATTGTCAGATTAGCCAGGGTAGTAGAAGGAGATCGAGTAGAGGAGTCCCCGCGAGAAACATCCACTGGCTTTCGCCGTTCAAGACCACCTCAGCGTTTCTTTCCCTGAGGCAGAAGGAGATGTAGTAGCTTGCTACCTGAGTTAGGCCACGAAGCTGATGTGGTGTTGTTGCCTGCAGGTGTGAGGCTAGTGGCGGACGGTTGGAACGGACCTAGCACTAGTCCTAATCGGCTACTAGCGCAGATGACTCCTCTCAGTCCGCGATCTCATCCTATATCCCCTATCACATACTCACCAGGAACCACACCTCCCATCTCCCACTACGAATAATTACTCACGTAATTGCCTAGATATACTGACTTGTAATGATGCCATCTATCGCCATTGCAATCCGCGAATCCAAATCCCCAAATTCCTGTAACTTCTGCCCATGTACTGTCCAAACGCTTGATTGATAATTCAAGTCTTAAAGAGGAAAAATTATTTTCTCCTTCTCATCATATAGATATCATAGCTAAATGCAGCGTACCAGTGTACCGTCACCTTCTATGAAGCTCGCAGCGTCTCAAGATATCCTTTTACCAGCCAAACCAGCCGTGTAGTCTCCTTCATTCTTTCGTATATAGGATTGCATTCCGAGTGTATCGCTGTATCCTCCGGGGAACCCATCAGGAACGCAGAAGACCTTAGCCACCGGCGACCGCTTAGTTGCCAATTTCGCCTTCGACATCATGGCGATTGCTTTAGCGTACTTCCCAGAGAACACCGACTAATCACTCGAACCTGAGAGCCAAAAACTCTCTAGTTCTCATGGAAATGTATATCAATATTCTGAGACGAAAATAGGGCTACCTCGACTTTGATCTCTGGAAAAGCTGCGACTATAGCCAGTTGACTCCTGAAAGGTCTCCTCGTCATGTGATATACACATTCACCTCGACTACCAAGTCGACAATAACACCACCTAAACTGTAAGATGTGCTAAGCACTCACTAGTATGTCACATTCACCCCTCAGGAGGCCTGCCTTGTCCTGTTTAAAGCCTGCTGCACAACTCCTAATGCACCATTTCCCAAGGACGAGCTTATTTATCACCCCCCCTTTCTCTAATTATCACCCCCCTTTTCTCTATTCATCACCCCCCCTCGATTAGGCCTAGCTCCGGCCCGTATGAATATTGTTCCACCAATTAAACTCACTCGCTTGCCCGCTCGTGCTCAATACGGAATTTACATCACCTACGCACTCGGTTGTGATGCATTAACACCACTTCCTCTACATTAACAGCCTCATCACTATAGCCCTCCGGGCCCCCCCTTGGAGCCGCTACGCGTCCGTAGAGGAGGGCATGAAGTCTATCAACACTTGGGCCAAGCGGGAAAGATACGCGATTATTAAATACAGCAAGAAAATGGACAAGCGCACGCCCCCTTAGGTGCGGAAAGTGCTTGTTTAATGTGATTATGCCGGCACCTATATGTCAGCCAGCAGGAAGCGGAACACCCGTACAAAGAAGTCTAATTACCTTATGAAAGGAGCCTTTACAAGAGACCTATAAGTAGGTGATTGGTTCTTTGAAGTTAATGTTTCTATTCACAATCACGAGCCGTATGATCCTGAGGATGGCACTCCAGCCGTGCATTGAGACGGTATGGATGAGGCTACAGTTTAGACGATACAGAATCAGCTCAACGGAGGCACGCCCGTAGGTGCTATCTTCAACAACCTTATCGCTGAGGGCCCTGAGGATGCCCCCCCCTATGTCCACGCCTGAGGAGGAGGCTGCTCGTAGTGAAGGAACCGGTGCAGCAGGAGGATATTCGGGTGTGAGGCCATGGTATACAGGCCTAGTCGGCGTTCCTTTTAGTCAGCAATTGGACGGTGGCCATCTAGGCGCTTTCCGCTTCTAGACTAGCTAGAGTAGATAGAGCGAATAGACTCCTGTTGGCCTAGATAATGCATCCTTTCCGATTCGTGTATATATACTCTCCATTTTACGCAGGAGGCAAGCGAGTGAGTTTGATTGGTGGAACAATATTCATACGGGCCGGAGCTAGGCCTAATCGAGGGGGGGTGATGAATAGAGAAAAGGGGGGTGATAATTAGAGAAAGGGGGGGTGATAAATAAGCTCGTCCTTTCCCAACCATCAACTTGGTACCACCATCCCCATCACCAAAAGCATTCCCCTTCTAGGAATCGTCTTTTCACCAAAGTCGAGCTTGCTCTCCATCTCCGCATTTCAGGGAAAACCCACCCCCACAACAGTCCTACGCTACTGTTCAGCACCGACATAGCAGAGGAAGTTCCTCGTTTTAACAGATATAGGTCTACAAGAAGCTAACAGAGAAGGTCGCGGACTTCCTGATCGACAATTCCGGATACACACCTCCGCTACCGAAGGATAATCGCTCAACGCCTTTGCAAAAGGTTCCGAACACGAAGACCTATCTCAAACTGACTGAGATCATTGTTGAATCAGGACCGCCCCCGATACAGGTTATATGTCTCCGAAAGAAACATACGGCGAACTTTACTGCGTTGTCAGCAGTGGACTTGGAAACTCGACAAAAAACCTGAGTCATGTATATTTCACCTCAGTGCTTGAAAGAGTACGGGATGATTTGCACAACCACCAAAAGCACATCTCCGCGGATTCTACGTCGATCGAGGATGTCCCCACTATTCCAGAGCCAGATAAGAGTCTTGCAATCTTGCCAGGGCAGACTTCCGTGACCCATATGGATGAGCTTGTCGAGCTCGACGACGTCCATCCAGACACCGCCTCCGCTGTCGCTGCTGAAGAAGAGATGACAGTCGATCTGGATTCCGAACGACAATTCGTAATTGATCTCTTCCTTGACGATCTCATGGAGGTCCGAGTTTACCTTCGTGGCATTTGGGCGATGTACACAGAGCGGAGGATAACCGTGGTCACTGCTTCGCTTGTCACCAACTTTGCGATTGACATCTTGAAGAAGGCCGTAGTGGATTTACACGAGGACATGTCACAACTAATAGTCCCGCCAATCATCGATTGCTGGAGCCAGCTCTGCAAAGAGGCAGGCGTTTCGGTAGATTTGTCTCCACCCGAGAAATCCGCCCAGTTGCCTTCGTTACTCGTCGCCGCAGACAGAATGTATATTCAGGTCTTGGTACACCATCCCAACGCTTTTCTTGTCCCGACTCTCCTCAAAGAGATGGGACGGCTGGGGGAACATCGACCAGACGCATCGTTTCTGCTGGAAGACCAGTTAACGGAATGGCTCTCTGTCAGCACAGCATCAGACGTTAAGGAGGAGTGGAATCATTTTGCTTTGCAAATTCTCATCGACATCCACGATGTTTTGAAGATGTCAATCGAGGACCCCTTCGCAGACCCTACCACAGTAATGGAAAACACCCTTACGTCCATTGAGGACTTCACTTATCGTGATAATGTGCTAGGGGTGTGGAAACATACGGAGCCGACATTGAAGAGCTCGTGGGACTAGGTCAGGATATCCTAGACAGTGTATCACCCGATTGTGTTGCCGAGGCCGTTGGAAAGGCCAATAAAAATCAAAGATTACGGTCCGCGACGTCTAAAACGCGACGCAACAAGAAGGGGAAGTGACGCGCCAAAAAGTCCGAAGTTCCCTCAAGAGCGAAAGAACCTCCTCCGTCATACTTTTTATATGGTAGCAACCCGATTCTATGTGGAGTCAATGTTTATGGCATGCAAGCGGCTTTGCAGAAGCTCAGCATCACTCGACTTGTGCACCACGCGCATGGCCTCTCCGTCATCCACCTATATAATACCCTCATACAAAGTGGGTTTCTCAACGACATGTGGCAAGATCTCGAGTATCTTATCAACCTCCATACGCCTCATCGATTATTTGTAGGCTCGCGCCCAGCGAAGCCAGAGGAATTTTCCAGTCGCTCACATCTAGTCTGCGGCGTGCCCGCCGTGCAAGTTGCTAAAAGTCGAGGGCGTTTGACCACCACTGACCGCTTCCAATTCGCCAATCACGATACTCGTCGGAAGAGACGGTTCCAAATCGAGAGCCCGCTTATGCTGCTCCTGCGCGAACGATATCTCGGCGATCTCTTTCCGATGGCGGTTCAGAATCTCAGTGCTTACCTTGTCCGAAAGTTGGACGAGAAGGCAGCGGCTCTTGAACCTGATGCACAAACGAGACCGTCTCAAGGTCTCACCCCTGGTGAAGACACTAATTCAGCTGGCAAGCTACCCGAAAAGAAAATGAAGAACAAGAAGGGCAAACACAAGAAACCCGAGCTTGGGGATAAGGTATTCAACACCCAACGCCCACCGAGCAAGTACTCGGCGACCGAAGTGCTGTCTACTCTCACGGAGGAACTTATCAAAGAAGAACCCCACACGAACTTCGACTATCTCGCATTACACCACCGATGCGTCATGCTTCTGATCTCGATCCAGCTCTTCTTTCGGTCGGAGTGCCCGATAATGGGTACAAGAGCTGACGGACTCCCGCCGCATATGCTGCCGGCCTTAGCGTTCACAATCATGAACCTGTATTCCGCGGAACCGGAATCTCGTGCGCATAAAGATATGATGATTGGGATTGCGCGAATCATGAAGACAGGTATCACGAAGGCTGGTAGGGCAGAGCTGGACCGGTTGGAGGACGTGTATTGATGCCGGAGTTTGCCTGCTTTGCACTTGCTCTCGTGCAGTGAGCAGTCTTTCAAGAGTCATACGTTTCGGTAGTTAACGGATGCTTATCCATGTTTCAAATATGCAGACGAAGTACTTTTGTATCGCCATTAGTGTGATGTTTCTTATATTTGGGCACAAGAAATAAGAAATATACAACATATTTATACAATTAACCGTCTACGTTTAAGGAAGAATTCATAGTCCACTATGGATGATGGCACAGAACCTAGCGGTCTGTGCCATGCAAACGCTGGGCCCTGAGTCAGGTGCTCTAGGTTGTTGGTCTCGGGTCTATGGACATGTTGAGCTAACCCTGACCTTGGAGCAGCCCTCTCCACCTAGAATGCTGCTACTGACTATTCGTATCCATGGCTATGCACGGCGTCGTATCTCGATTCTAGTATAAAGGAAACTCGTGGGTGCGGGCGTTCCTTGCGACCGCGTTGCTACATGGTGTGTTTATGTGATGCTGCAGGTGACTGATTATACTCTAGCTGAGTTCGCGGCTAAGATGTTATGAAATGATGATAAAATGACCACTATATTGCTCCAAAATGCATATGGAGGGAATGAAGTTTGTGCTTGCACAAGTTGCACTTGTTTCGCGTGGTTTAGTTTCAAGAGTGGAAGGATGAGACGGAGTATGCGGAGAGGAGATAGTCAAGATGTACATTTTATCAACAATCCGCATGTTCCATGTTATTGAAACAATACTCATATTGATAAGAAGCCAGACCTAAAGAGCTGGCTCCATAAAGCCAGACTAGGAGACTCGCAGGTACAAAAGTGACGAAAAGGGTACTAAAAGGGGCACGCAGCGTGTTAGGGGTAATTAGATCCCAGGACCCAAAACACAACAAATTGCCTGCCATTGTGTGACTGCTATAATCTCTACCTCCTCTAATGTGCATAGGTATTTATGTGTAAGAGCCTTTGCGTGGTTCCGATGAAGTGATCTCTTCTCGTCGCCCTCAGCGCGATTTCGGTCGCGCGACCTCACCTGCGAACGACGCCACTTGCGTCACAACCAAAAATTACCTTGAATAGCCGCCCAAAGTTGTTGCCCTGCTACCTGCCCGCGCAGCGTCTTGGCGCCCACAAGATTTCCTGCCTTCTTATAAAAGGCCCTCCCCCCCCAAACGCAGCCTGCTCTTCACCAACCTGCCTCACAACGATGAAGATGAGTCCTCCCCTCTCATTGGCACTATTACTCGGGGGGTGCGGATGCGTGTATACACGTGCAAGCACTCCGTAAGGGAGGAGCCGAGTAACCACAGCGGCTGACCAAAGGCAGGGGGAACAACGGTTGTCTTCGCCTCAGAAGCACTGGGTATCCCCGACCGGCCAAGTGGGGACATTGCGTCAAGGAGAGGTGCCCAGAGAGGGGCAGATTCCCGTCGGTGTATACGTTCCGGGGAATATTTGGAACCGGTCCTTTTTGGACGCGCTCTCTGCCTTTGGGTATGAAGCACCAGTCCGTCGCTCGCATTGCACTATCGCGAGTTGACTTCGAAGGACACCCTCTCTTAGGCCTTCGGGCCGGAGAGTTATTTGAAACTTGTCCAACTGGCTCTGGACGCTCTGTTTTTGGCAGACTTTTCTTCCGTCTTTTTTCATTGGTTCTTCCGCCTTGTGTGGAAAACTGAACAAGAACACCCAGTCATAGTATCCGTTGACTTTGCTACATACCTTGGCCTCGGCCTCAACCTTGACCTCTCTCTGCACGTCTCTCTCCGCGTCTCCCTCTACCTGTCCTTCCAACTCTTCCTCGGCTCCGAACTTCTCCTTCGCTTCGACTGATCCCTTGCCTCGACCTTTCCTTCGACCTTTTCTTCCACCTTCTCAGCAGCTGGTGCTACCTCCGCCATGTCCGCCACCACGGCCCCCTCGGAGAGCATTTCCACCCCCACAGCTATCCTCGTCCTCCCTCTGCCCTAGCAACTCTGCACCAGCAACCCGTACTTCAGCAGCCTCAGCACCAATCCTTGCAACCATAAGCGGCGGTGGCGGCGGCTACGAGGAAAAAGCTTGCTCGACAAGGCGCAGGCGTGTGAACGGGATTACACGAGTCGGTCTCTCCCGCAACAGGAATAGTGGTGACTCAGCTTCTCCCTCTCCCATGTGAGACTCTAGAAAGTCCGGCGGAATATAGTCCGGATGAGGAGAAGCTTCGTAGGAAAGGATGAAGGTGATGGAAAGAAGGCGGAGAAGGAAAGTACAAGGGAGCAGTCGTCGACGACTCGGTAGAAGATGATCTAAGTGGTAGGAAGCGCGATACGAAAAGGATGATGGGGACGAAGAAGAGAGGTGGATGCTGATCCGAGACGTCCAAGGAGACGTACACGAGAGCAGTCGCCGACTATTCAGATTTGAAAGTCTTAGCCGTACAACACTGTTAATTTCCTACCAGCTCTCGGCATCTTGCTCGGGAGCTTACTAAAGAGGGACTTCACTTTCGCTGTATGAACTTCCCTCACGGCTTGGATATGTCTTACTTCTCCTCGCTATCCGCACGTTCATCGACACTGTGTCTTCGCCATCGAGGGGATGTTTTGAAGGGTTGTGAAGATGAAATACTAGCAGGCGTTGTTGTCTATGCTGGACCTCTATGTGGCGTCCCCGGAGGACCTTAATGTTAAAGAGATAGTTCACGTTGCTGCGCTCATGAAGAAGGTTAATTGAGAAGACGGGCGCTTCGGTAGACCCGGCAGCCTGACCAAGCATGATTTGGAACATCTCTTGATAAGCGGGCCATCCCGTTGGAGACCATCGACATGGGTCACAGTAAGGCGAGCGCCGGTACACTGGATACGAGATCAAAGCACAAGTCGAATCCTGCGGGAGTACATCTTGAAAGGCGGAGAAGGCTGGCAGATTGGACAGAGCAGCTACAGGGTAGCTTAACATAAAAGAGGAAGCCGGTCAGAAATGACAAGGATAAGGAAGATTGGGGCTTGAAGTTCACCTGGGATACGCTGCCGGTGGATAGATAGCCCCCGTAGGTTGGGGCACATTGGGCCAGGGTTGGATCGCGAGAAGAACAAATGCTGGAAAGCTCCTAGGTATTCTGAGCTTCCTGTGCTATTGGTTCAGCGAGTAAGCTCTTTTAATGTACGGTATGGAGCTTCTTGGTCTTTCGTTGGTTGTGAGTTTTGTGATACTGACTGAGGTAAGCTATTTGGAAGGTTGATTTGGTGCCTAGAATCTTCGCACTTGAACAATTCCCGTCTACAGCCCAATCTACTATTTATCCACCTGCCGTATATAGCTATGATGCCAAGTAAGCGGTCGAGCAAGAGGTCCGTAGCGAGAGATAAGCATCCGGTTTCCGGGATCCAAATCCCGCGTCACCCTGCTGGTTCCAGCGTAGAGGGACTCTTTTTGTGGAGCTGCAGCTTCGGCATCGCCACCTTTGAACCCTCACACCGCGCATCGTCGAGGAACCACGCGGGGTGGAAACACCGATCTGGCAGCACTGATGACATCAAGATCTAACCCACGCCCTTATCTTCGGGAGAATTGCTGAAGGGCCTAGCTGTCGGCCGGAGCCGCCATGCGCGATGATGGAAAGCGTTACGACTCATGCGGTACGAGCCTCAGTGCTTCATGCAGCTTCGATTGCGAGTGGAGAAGATAGCCGCTCCTGGTCAGGTACGGCGAGGTGGGTTGTACTGTGCCTTGCTCTAACGCGGGATTCCGTGTTGGAGTGGTGCGGAGAGAGGTACAGAGTCGCCGGAGGTGTCATCTATTTACTCGTGGCCTCCTCTTCTTTCGTCGCTGAGCTCTCAGCGTCCCTCTTTTCCTGCTTCTGAGCTTCTCTGGTCACCCCTAGCTTCAGTGATTCAATTGAGCTCTCTCGTCTCGTCACGATGCGGACATCCTTCGTTCTCCCCGCTCTCGTGGCATTGCTTTCGTCGTCTGCTTCTTCCTCTCCACTCGCCCCCCGCGATGCTGTAAAGTCGGTAGAAGCTCGCTGGGAGGAGTGCAAAATCACGCCAAAAGTCTTTATCATCAGCATGTTTCCGCCTGAAGCTGAGGTCTGGTGGGGAATCCCAGAATTCGACCTACTGGCCAAGAACGTGACAGTCCATGGGTTCTCGCCTTTGTTCCAGGAAGCTCATTGCACAGCTGATGGCGAGATCTGCCAACTGATCACCGGAGAGAGCGGTATGCCGATGTGAGATCAAAAGACTTGAGCTTCATACTGACTTCTCTTAGAAATCAACGCAGCCGTGACCATCTCCTCCCTCGTCGCTTCCTCCAAATTCGACCTCAAGAGCACCTACTTCATGGTCGCCGGCATTGCTGGCGTGAATCCCAAAGTCGCAACTCTCGGCTCCGTCACCTTCGCGCGCTACGCTGTTCAGGTTGCTCTCCAGTACGAGTTCGACATCCGCGACATCCCAGACAACTTCACCACCGGCTACGTCCCGCAAGGCAGCACCGTCCCAGACGAGTACCCACAGTCCATCTATGGCACTGAAGTCTTCGAAGTGAACGCAGACCTCCGCTCTCTTGCAGTCGGCTTCGCTAGCGCTGCGAAGCTGAACGACAGTGCAGACGCAGTGGCATATCGCGCGAACTACCTCAGCACGCCTTACTATGCAGCTGGTGCAGCAGCCCCGAGCGTAGTCGAATGCGATGTCGCGACCTCAGATGTGTACTACAGCGGCACCCTCCTCTCCGAAGCCATGGAGAACTACACGACTCTAGTCACCAACGGCTCCGGCATCTACTGCAGCACCGCGCAAGAAGACAACGCGACTCTCGAAGCACTCCTCCGCGGCGCTGTCTCCGGGCTTGTCGATTTTGCGCGAATCATCGTTATGCGCACGGCTTCTGACATGGACCGACCGTATGCCGGCGAAGCCGCTACCACGAACCTCTTCTGGGCCGAGCAGGGCGGCTTCGAGCCCGCGATCCAGAACATCTACCTCGCCGGCGTGAAGGTGGTTGAGGGGATAATTGGGGGGTGGGAAGGCAAGTTTGCGAAGGGCGTGAACGCGACGAACTATATTGGAGATATCTTTGGGACATTGGGTGGCGCGCCAGACTTTGGCCCGGGCAGCGAGTTCAATGACAATCCGGTCAAGAGGAGCTTGAAGGCGCGAGGGATGGGGAAGAGAGGCGCGGCTATGTTGAAGAGCGGGAGGCAGTAGTAGATGGCGTTGTAGGGTATGGAGGTTCCACAGACATGCTGTGTAGATGTATGATGATATGAAAACAAAAGCTCTAGTTCCTGAATGGTAGCAAACCTACATCTTGTGCTGAATCTTTTGAACTGTTATGTAGGCCTTCATGTAATGCTGCTACGCGGGCAGAAAGATGATGGTGCATCGTGAGGCTGGTTTAAAGGGCTCCAAAACCTACATTCTGTTACTAACTTGAATAGGCTGGTGAAGAACTACGAAGACGCTTCACGAGTCTGTATGATCATACGAAAACCAGCTCTCGAAAGTGATGAGATGGAGGAGTTATACTCTGCTTTCGATCTCCAATTACAGTATTGTGATTGGCCGGATTTTGTGGAGGCCGACCTAGCGCGGCGCCTCCCGCACTGTTTACATTTTGGCGGGCGTTGTTGATGCTGCCTTCCTCTCCAACACCACCACAACACCCAGCATCGCCGCCCATCGCCACTTCCCATTGCAGCTTCGATTCACCCCATCTCCGATCCCCGGTGCGCACACGCCCAGCAAAATGAGCTCCTCCCGCAAGGGACAGGCGATCCGCCAGCTGTCGCGAGACGCGACGCAATCCACCGTGTCGTCGGCGTCGCTGTCCTTCAGTGACATTGAGAACGACGCTTTGATGTCGACTCGCCCCTTCGATGACGAGATCCTCGGCGACTTGCCCAGCCAACGTGATGAGACACGCGATAATACCATCCGGAGTGACACGCGCGATTCACTCCCAAACCATCCTCACATCCGATCCACCGCCAAAAAGTTGGGCGCCTGGCAACCATACAACCCGGCTGCCGAATCCCGAGTGACTAGCTCAGTAGTCCGCAACGAGTTCAAGGACTTCGACCAGGACAGTGAATTCGACCGCGCCACCCAGGACAGCAATTTCACCGACGACAGCATCTCCATTGAGCGAAACCGAGGAGTCAAGCGTGGCTCCCGTAACACCCCCCAACACCTCAACTCCTCCTTCATCATGTCACCTGTGCCACTCCGTGACAGCCTCTACGATATCACTCCTCCAGCAAACCGTGCCTCGGGGAACACTCCCCAGCAATCCCCTCTGGCTGAGCCCAGCAGTCTACGACGCGACGGCCAGATGAGACGCGCCTCTGGATCACCAGCGGCCTCTGCTCCGCCAGCTGCAGCTGGTCTCGCCAAAGGGCTCCGCAAGACGACTCTCTCACAGATGCACGCCATGGTCACAGACGACGAGTCTGCGATTGACGACCAGCGACCCACCGTTACGCTAACCAAGACTGCGCGATTTGGTAGCGCGCCCAGCCGCAGAGAGCCTGCACAAGAGCAAAACAGCCATCCTCGCAAGTCTCAGCAAGCATTCAACAATACTCCACGAAGTGTTCACTCTACTGCTCAGTCTTTCATCCTCCCAGATCTTCCCAACCTTACCGAGCTGGTCTCTGGCGTCTTCCAAGACGGCACTCCGGTCTTCAATCACACCTCGCGTCCTCGCTCCCATTTCTTCCGACTTCCAACTTCACCCACTCACCCACGCCACAACCCAATCGACAGCGTCCCAATTCCTTCCGAGGAAAAGGCAATTTTCGCGTCTCTGCAGCTTCTCCAGGAAAAGGTAGCTCAGCTGGAACGCGAAAAAGACGAGGCGGAAAAGCGGATTGAAGAACAGGATAACGAGATCGTCGAGCTCCGCGCCACGCAAGATGCCCAGGAGAGGAACAGGCGACCAGACAGTGGCTTGGGATCAACAGATGGCGAGGTAGCTGGCGATAGGCGTGGCTGGAGAGTCGAGAAGACCAGTAAGTTCATGAGCATAGCTGAATTTGACAACATAGTTCCTAACCGAGCATTTAGAACTCGAATCCTCCCTAAATGCCCTCCGGGTCAAGATCGACCATGCCGAGCGTAAGGCTTCCGTGGCAGAAATCAGCACAAAGCGAGCTACTTCGGAGCGAGATAACCTGGTCACCCAGCTCGGAGTTGCCTATCTTAACATGGAGGAGGTGAAGGCAGAAAAAGAGACTCTCTTGGTTGAGAACGAGGACCTTCGCAATGAGGTGGATGAGCTACGTGCAGAAAATGCGGCGTTGCGAAGCCGCTTGGGTGAGGTCGACGAGGTCCATACGCAGAATGAGCATCTGCGACAGCAGCTTGCCAATGAGACGGCGAGGCGCGAACACGAGCGACAGGCAAAGCGAGACATAGAACGACAGGCCAAGCGCGAACAAGAGCGCCAGGCGCGACGCGAAGAGAAGCTTGAGGCACAGCGCCAGGCCAAGCTCGAAGAAGAGCGACAGGCTCGGCAGGAAGAAGAGCAACAGGCTCAGCAGGAACTAGAGCGACAAGCTCAGGAAGAGCAGCGACACATTCAGGAAGAAGAGCGACGAGCCAGACGCGAAGAGGAACGACAGGCCAGGCGCGAAGAGCGACAGTCCAGGGAGAGACGCGAGAAGAACACTCAAACTCGCATCGCTGATAGGGTTCAAGAGGAACTCCGCAACAGCAAACTCACGGCTGCAGCTCAGTCCTCTGTCCAGCAGCCCCAGCCTCGTTTCAGTCGCTATGCCAGCGCTCAATTCTCTTCTGATTCTCAGCGAGTCCCAATGCCAGCCGCTCCCATCAGGAGTGTTTCGAATCCCGATCCTACCGGTTCGAGGCGTGGCCTGTACCAGAGCCAAAAGCCTGAATCCACTACCGATCTTTCTCTTACCAACATGCAGACACCTGGTATGATGTCTGGTGGCAGGAACGGCATGCAGGAAGCCGTCGAAGCCAAGCCGGTAGAGGCTCCGTCTTTCGATCTTACCGAGCTCAGCTTCATCAATCCCGATGACATTGCCCAGCTCAGGAAGAAGCTGGAACAAGAAAGAGCGGCTGCCCGAAAAATGCGAGCATCGGCTCAGACGGCACCGGCCCCGACCACTCGGGATGAGACTGTTCGCTCAATGGCATCGGCCAAGTCGGCTCGACCCCAATCTTTCCATGGCCTGTCCACGAAGGATGTTACCGCTCAGAGCAACTTCACAGCTCAAACCGAGCACACTACCGAGCATACTGGCAACTTCACTTCCCACTCGAACCGCAGCGCCAAAACTCAAGCTCAGCAGCCAGATGAGTCTATTCTGAGCAACTCGAGCCGTCGTCGTCGTAGCGCCCCGGTTGAGGAGACTTCCGCCTTCATTGTTCCAGACATCACCATGGGAGGTCGAAAGCAGCCTACTATCACCTTAGGCAAGATCAGGCTTCCATCGCATGACAACAAGAACTGCACTGTCTGTGCCCGCGAGTCTCAACAGGCCGGAGACTCTGTCGCCATCCCGTATCCCATTCCTGTCTCTTCTCGCACCGAAGATGATGTCGACGCCACTATGCGACCGAGCCAATCTCCCAAGAACGCTCTCGCCAAAGTCATCAAGGAACTCCAGGACGAACTCTCTCACCTCCACCTGGAGCTCGCAGCCCACGAGGCTCTACTCCGCGCACACGACACTTCCCTCGGCCGCCGCAAGCGCAAGGCCATCCAGGAGGCGATGGAAGACTTGCTCCGCATGATCGACATCAAGAGCGACCAGATCTACGACCTCTACGACGTCGTCGAAGGCCAGAAGGCGGACGACATGACCGAGCAGGAGATGGAGGACACGCTCCGCAGCATCACCGAGGCTGCCAAGAGCAAGGCGGCGACGAAGAAGGTGGTGGTCGAGAGCCACCACAGCGACAGCGAAAGCGACGACGAGAGCCTGCCCCGCATCGACGACGAGGACGAAGATTTGCCATTCGAGGGCTTCTCGGACACGGAGAGCCTCCCTATCTTTGGAAAGGCTGGACGCCTCGGCGTCTTCTGATTCACGAAAAGTTTTTGCACGAATTCGGGCGTAAATGGTCACGAGTTATGGGCCGCGCGGCGTGAGGCGGATGACACGATACGGGCGGCGTTTCTGGCTCTTCTTTTTCTGGGCGGGCTTTGGGTACGATACCGGGGATGATGCATTGACATCAGGCGTTTTTTGTGCATTTTCTGGGGCGAAGGGGGGTACCCTTTGGGTGGTCACTTGTGAGTGGCTTTTGGCTGGTTTGGGGTCTTTTTCTTCTTGGGATTCCTTTCTACGTGACCTCTTGGGCTTGAACCTTTGACTTCCCCTTTGCGGGGTTGAAGTTGGGTTCGCCGTCAAGGCGCGGGAATTGGATAGTTTGTAGAGCGGGTTTTTTCATATGGGGTAGCGGGGGAGGGGCGCTCCCATTAGTTTAGAGTAATGAGAATCGCGGTTCGATAATTGTTGCAATTTGTGGGCTTCTGGTGTCATGTGATGTTGATTTGAGGCGGGTTTGGTGGTGGTGTTGGCGCTTGCTTGGCGCTGGCTGAAGGACGCTGGCACCGCTTGAAAGTTACTAACTAGATGTCAAAAGCTGCGAGACCTGAATCAGGTTCGTGTCTAGGGGAAGTCTGGGAATAACTAGGGCGAAGCACCTCAAACAGCGGCGCGTCAGTGTACACTCTTTACAGACTCCACTAAGGGAAGTCAGCCTTGACGCTGTCTGAAGGACCTCGATACTGGTTCAGGAGTTGGGAGTGGATGTCAAGTCTGCAACGGCGTGAATTGGGATAGAGGTGTTTGGCATGTTTATGGTGTAGTGAGGCACGTCAGATATGGATGTGCGGGTTCTACTGTTTTGGAGCTATCTGTGTACATTCGAATACCACTGCATGAGGTGCCTCGAACTTCGCGCTCCCCTATCCCTCAACCTCTACCCTAGCCATCTCACAGCTGACGTCCCACAACCTCTCCTCCCCCTCCCGATCAAACGCATACGGCCCATACCCGGGATCCAGCACAGACCCCAAATCCTTCGCCGGCCCACCCACACCGCACTCACTCAGGTACTTCCCCCCCTTCCCCTCCCAAACCCCCGCTACCGCCGCCCACGTCGTCGTCGCAGCCCCCTGATCTGGTGCCATCATGCTCGCCATCATATTCGGGTCAGCGCCCCACGCCGCGATCATCTCAGCGGGGACGTTCTGGTGCAGCGCTGTCAAGGCGCCGCCTGGGTGCACGGCGACGGCGTGCACACCGCGTGGCCCATAGATGCGGTCGATGTGGGTCGCCATCCAGATGTTGGCCGTTTTGGACTGGCCATAGGCGAGCCAGGGGTCGTAGGACGACGCCAAGTTGACGTCGGCGAAGCGGATGGTGGAGTAGCGGTGCGCGGACGAAGTGACGGCTATGACACGCGAGTTGAAGGCAGGCGTACTGCTTCGGAGCAGTATGGGGAGGAGGAGGGCTGTCAACGTGAAGTGTGCGAGATGGTTCACGCCGAATTGCTGCTCGAAGCCGTCGGCGGTCGTGGTGGCTGTGGGGATGGCCATGATGCCTGGACCGAAAGTGTCAGCGGCATGGCGCGAATGCTGATCTCTTCACAGCGCGTAAACACATAGCAGGTTACATACCGGCGTTGTTCACGAGCACGTTCAGTCGATCGGACCTGGCTAAGAAGTCCTTCGCGGCCTTCTTCACTGATTCAAGCGAGTTCATATCCACCGCGATTACTTCGAGCTTGCCGTTGCCATGGTCTGACTTGCGGATGTCTTCGAAGACGTCTTCTGCCTTTCTGATGTCTCGTGCGGTGATGAAAACGTCTGCCCCCGTCGTGTAGAGGGCGCGCGCTACTTCGAGACCAAGGCCAGACGTAGCGCCCGTCACGAGTACGACCTTGCCGGTCCATCTGTTGAGGAGGCCATCGTCACGAATGATCTGAAGGGCGGTAGGCCGGGCGTCCCCTGGGCCTTTGGGAGTAGCATAGAGGGAAGCGTAGGGGTGGAAGGGGTCGGTCATGGTTTCGGTTGATGCGAGAATGGATTTTCAAGATGTTTGCGAGAAGAAATCCGATAGTAGATGATTGAAAGATGTTCGAAAGTGAATACCGATGCTGTCTGTGTCTGAATGGTTTCTGACACTCAATGGGCGAGCTCATGCCCGTATTTATAGGACACGAGGCGATGCCTTTTCTCTGCTGAACAAGCATGTCCGGCATTATCGGAGCATATGAAACGGGCGAGACGACCAAACCTGTTGCTTTAAGTCCTTTAAGACCGATATTGGGATATCGGACACTAATAATGCCCGCTTGGAGAGTTGTGTGGAGGCTGATAGTTGTGCCGTATGTATGCATGTATGCTCAGCGTCCGTTCGAATACTAGCGGGCGGGACACTTGGGCCTCCAGGGTGCAGATGCAGGCATCGGATACATGCATCCGACAGAAACGTCCGCTCTACGTCCGCTCTACGTCCGCTGCCGTTCTATACCATCCAACTCCAGCACTCGCAACGGGACAATGGTCGTCCATGCGTCTACCTCCCCCGAGTCGTCTGAGGAACAGAGTAATGGTAGCTCAGGACAGGCATCGCAGGCTTGTCGGCCATGCAGGTACGCCACGTTTCGCAACCAGCTGCGGACGTACACTGACCGCGGTATTAGTCAACTGAAAAGGAAGTGTGAACGGGAGCTTCCGTCCTGCTCTTTGGTGTGTTTGTTACTTTGCCAGGTGTCCATGAGCTGACAGCGGAGGGTGCGAAGTGTATACGCTTGGGTAAGACGTGCGAGTATGCACCCAAGCGGAAACGCCATGGTGGTTCTACGCCTCGATCTGACGAAGCTGGGTCTACCTCATCCACTGCCTCCGTTGCGTCGAATGTCAAAGTAGGTAAATTTTTTGCTCATATACTAAATCCTCAATTTCGGGTCTCTAAAGTGCTTGTCAAGTTACGTCTGGGAACCAGTCGAGATGAGTTTTACAGCCCTTTTACGAGGATATGTCTGTGTACACGTCTCTGCACCTGTCTGAAGTGCCTCGACACGTTCCCAAGATTCTGGAGTCAACTGCTTTGACAAGTCTGAACATGTACCAAAGCCCTTCAGACGGTGACAAGTCAGTGTAAAAATGCAGACATGTCGGCTCCATGTCACCCTCTTTTGAGCAAATGCTAACATGTATTGGGGTCTCTAGCCCGCGGGCACTTCTCAGTTTCCTGATACGTTCTTTCTGGACCCAGAGCTTTTCCAATCCGTAACCCATTCCGAGTTAGAGGTCGCCCAAAATGTGAATGTCAGTGCCTTGCAGCTAAGCAAAGCGGATCTGAGGACTTTTTACGAACAATACTCACGCTCCACTGATACGTGGTGCCCGATAATTAGCCACAAGCGTCTGGCTCAGGATGTTCAGGCTGCAGTTCCGACCGAACATCCTGGAATTCTATTATTACTGCTAAGCATGAGATTGGTTTCTGATATCCCGAGAGACGACAATATGGCAACCGCGGAGTCTACCTTTTACAAAATGACAAGAAGCAACTTGAAAGCTATGGAAGAGGCGTCACCAGGGTCTCTCCGTGTCTTTCAATCGCTTGTACTTGTAGCTTTGTATGAAATTGGCCACGGTATTTTCCCCGCGGCGTATCTGACCGTAGGCCGGGCTGCAAGAATCGGGCTCTTGAGGGGTATACACGACCGGAAGAACGCTACCCAGCTCTTTGTGAAGCCCCAGACGTGGACGTACTGGGAGGAAGAGCGGCGCACGTGGTGGGCTGTGTCGATACTTGAAAGGTTAGATCTTTGGCTTCCAGCTCTCTCTACCGTTTCTTTAGCCCGTTGCCCGTGCTAAAAGATACATAGGTATATCAATCTTGGCCCAACAGGTCTCCCTCTTGCCACTCCGGAGCCAGAACAAGGCGAGCTGCTACCCGCCGCCGACGCCGACTGGCACCGAGGCAGTATTGGGACGAATCAAGCTCTATATACCACAGGCTTCTCCCCTGATCTAGACATAGGCCCCTTCGCTAGGCTCTGTCAAGCGTCCCATGTCCTCGGACGCGTGCTCAACCACCGAGACTGCCGAAAAGACACGTTAAGCCGAGAACACGTACTAAACGAAGCACTCCAGCTCAACGTGACCCTCACGGCTCTGGACAAGCATCTCGCTCATCCCATGGACGAACAGCACCCCGTGGAAGGTATCAAAACAGCTGACGTGGCCCTCTGCACCTCCGCGCGGATGACTTTGTACCACATGTACGCATGCAACATACCCGACGTCTTATCGGAACGACGGGTAGAAGAAGCCGCAATGCAGACGGCCTCAATAGAAGGGCTTAAGCACATTATTGCTACTCGGGCGCCATTACTAGCACGCTTCGTGCTTCGACAGGGCGCCGAGCTGCACAAGGCTAGTCCGCTAGTCATCCACTGTCTGTATGATGCTGCCAGTGAGTGTCAATGGTTTGTTCGCGAAGGTGGTGTTATTCCGGAGGCTAAGGGTACGCTGAGGGTGCTTATTGAGGCCTTGACACTGATGGCGAAGCGATGGTGCGTTGCAGGTTGGTGACTTACCGCCCAAACCTGCGTTATCTATACACTAACATGTGTAATTCTTTCTTACAGGTAAATACCTGGCTCTTTTGAATCAGGACAGCAATTGTCAGGCCCTTGACCTACCTGCCTTTGATTCTGGAGCTCAGAATGCTACGTAGTTCGGCACCTGGAACACCCTCTGGCCCTATAAACTCACAGAATTATACAAGCTCCATGCCCGCCTTCAACCTCCCGGCAACCACTCTATCTATATGGCCGAGCTTGACACACTGATTTTGTGCCTAGTTAAACGTCTATGTACAACAGCTTGCCATTGCTTGGGGTAGCCGGTGGGCTTTCAAAAGGCTCAACACGATGTACAATTTGGTGGGGCAAGATCTAAGCTATCTTTAAAAGTCTCTGCATTTATCGGCTACTTGAGAGTCGGGCTACTTCTGACACTAATGACTGGCAACCAAAAGTGGCACCGGACGAGTGGTATACTCGTGTGTCCAAACCTGTTACGAGGCACTGTATTTTCAGGTCAATTCTCCCTAAATTCACAGACCAATTTCTACCATGGATGGATCCGATCGATAGTCTCGTTAAAGAACTTCTCTGAATGTTCCTCCTTCGTGGCATTGTCGATCTATGGCGGCAAGTCAGTGAGAATCAGAGCGTACTATCTGTCACATAGCGCAAGACGTACAATATGCGCAGTATTCTTACTACTCTCCTCAAGAGTAAGCGTCGCCTTATCTAGCCCGAAAGCTTGCGCACCGGCATTCCCCATATCAGTCTGCACTAGCCTATCCCAAAAATCAGCCTTCGCAAAAGTCACACTTCAATCCAACTCACCCCGGATGAATACATAACGTAACCAACCACTCATTCTCCATCCCCATCTTCACCACAAGTACATTCGCCAGCGCCTTCGAACTCGCATAGCTAGCATTCGGATACGGATACTTCGGCATCTCATTCAAACTGCCCCCCGCCGCGCTGATAAACGCGAACCTCGGCCCCCCGTTGCCCCTATCCGCCTGCCTCAAAAGCGGCAGCGTCGCTTTATACAAAACCATAACCGAAATCGCATTTACCATCAGCACCTCCTCATACTCCTCAAGCGGCATATCCTCAATCGTATTCAGCTTCGCGACGCCCGCGGCGGAGATCACAACGTCGACGTGGTCGATGCCCTGGGCGCGAAGGGAGGTGATGGCGTCGTAAGCGTCGGTTTTAGACGCGGAGTCGATTTTCACGAGGATGACTTTGGTGCCCTGACCCTTTGGGACGGTGAGGAGGCCTTGGGAGCCCGCGGTGTCGCGGACGGCGGCGATGAGGGTGTTGGACGGCTGGGCGACGTAGTGGTCGAACATGCCGCGGCCGATGCCTGGGGGGTATTTAGAAAGGATAGATGGCTGCAGGAGGGGAATGAAGAGGTCGTACCGCGGTTGGCGCCGGTGATGAGGTAGGTCTTGCCGGGCATGGCGGTGGTTCGGGGTTGGTGTGTGGTGGTTTAGAGGGGAGCTGGAGGCTAGAGATGGAGAGCTGGATATTGAGGGTCCTGAATGACTGGAAAGCCTCTAATAAAATAGTAAGGCTGATCTGGTGTACTGCGTCGAGCTTTGTAATCCGCACGACGTTTACCCAAGAGTCCTTTGCCAACCCCGCTAAAAGGATATATTCAAGGGCTGCTCAGTAAAGAACGAAGTTGTTTGGTAGGAGCTTTCTACTTTATAGTTTGCTTAGCGTGGGATCAAGGTTGCGGAGTTGCGGAGCATTTGCGGAGACAGGGGACGTGGCAGCTCTGCTGCATTATTAACCTACATGTACCTAGTACTTAAGTAGACGTCGACATGAGTACTATAGAGACAGCGCTATAGCTGTCACATGTGGGATGGTGTTGGAAAGCAGGGAGAGCTGAGTACTTGCACAAACGGCACGTGACTCTCACGTGCCCTAACCGAATAGCGGAATCCCCTTATCTACTCTCCTTTGTAAGACTAATTATCATGATAGTCATCGAACAGCTTTGGAGTCTTGAGAAAGGATATTTCGGGTTTCAAGTCGTGATCGTCGTCACGGTCGCCAGTCGTGTGTCTGACATACTCTCTTTTCTTGCTCTTTGCCCCATCCAAGATTGTCGCAGGATGAGATTGCATAGCATGCCATTACAGATGTGTTAAGCGCTGGCAATTTCTGCATTGAACGGTGATTTGCTCGCGCACTACCTCCTACGTCATTCCAACTTCGCCGTGAGAGATCGCCGTGTCGCAGGCCTCAGCAAGCTAGAAAGAAAACCAAAAGCTTGGTTGCGGATCGGAGAAGCTTATAGCTGTAAGATTCGGACATCTCTCTCTTCATTACCTTTCTGCTTTTCCAAAATATCCTCGTCTTCTAAGGGCTTTCTTTGTTACCTTTTGTTTGTAAGATTTATTCTACAATGCGCTGACACTTCGACATGTCGTCCCCAGCACCAACTTTTGGAGTACCAGACTACGAACCCGAAAGCGAAACAGGTACCGGCAACGCCGAGCCAGCGGCCGAGAATCGTGTTATTGAAGGCAGTCCACAAGCAACAGATCTCCCTCAACCCGCTAGCGACGATAATGTTCCTCTAGACAGCAAAAGCAACCCGTCTCGCCCGTCGTCCTCAAAACAGGACTCTGAGAATGACAAGATCCATGCCAACCAGATCGATGCCGTGATGACGAAAACCGATGACACTTCCTCCAACCACCGCCTCAACTTCACAGAAACTGCCAAACATGCCGCGGGAAAAGTATCACGAACGCTCCATCTGCACCGTGGAGAAAACGCGCGCGGCCCCAGCGAAGCGCGCCAAAGGCGACAGTCTCGCCTCCCTGCGAGTGATGATGATGATGATGATGCACCGAACTTGCCCCTCTATATCCACCTCCGGAACGCGGTGTATGGCTCCCTGATCATGTTCACCACCTTCCCGTACTGGGACATGGCATTCTGGAGCGGCTGGTCGTACACCTGGGGCTCTGTGCTCTTCGTCATCGACGGCGTGTGGGCATGGACGCCTCTCCAATGGCCCAGTTCAGAGTTTACTGGAGAGTCTGAATACGGAGTCGGCTTGCTGTTCTTCTTCGGCGCCGTCCTCTACCAGCTCGGCGCCACGATGGCGTATCTCGAAGCGATCAACGACGGGTCATTCGGGGGCCCAGCGATGAAGCGACATCTCGAAGGGCACGATGACGAGAAGAAGAAACTGCTGGACGGGAAGTTACACATGTTCTTCGGCCATATGATACCGCACCACCACCACCACGATGACGACGATGAAGATTTCGACAAACAGAAGTCAGTTGACCCCGAAGCTGGTTGGAACACAAGGGATAGGGCCGAGCGACCTGGGTCTATCTACCCCGAAGACAAGGCTCCTGCTCCGCGACGTGGTGGCGTAGACATGGGCCCCACCGACGAAGGCGAGTTCCATGAGTACCTGACCTGGCGCTGGTGGCCGACCTGGCACGCTCTGAAAACGTACCATATCAAAGAGATCGGATATGTCGCCTGCTCCATTCAACTACTCGGCGCAACACTCTACGGCATCTGTGGAGTCATCGCGTTGCCTGGCATCCTCTCCAACTTCCAGCCGTGGCAAGAACTGGGCGGGTACTGGATCCCGCAAACGGTCGCCTCATGCTGCTTCCTCACGGCCGGCGTAATGTTCACACTCATCACGCAGGATAAGTGGTACCGACCCCTACCGGGCCGTATCGCCTGGTGGATTGGAGTCTGGGCTACGATAGGGTCTATGGGGTTCTTGTAAGCTGTGCTTCCTCCAAGCCTTCCATCTTTACGCTGATCCTCGAACTAGAATGTCTGCTGCCTTCGGAATACGCGCGAACGACCTTACCTGGTGCGAATACCAAAGTTCTCTGGCGAGCGTGTGGGGCTCCTTTGCATACTTGGTTAGTAGCTGGCTGCAGTGGTACGAATCTGTCAATAAAGGACCCGTTCTAGCGTTCCCCAACAATCGCATTCCGACGTTAATGAGAGACCGTATGGCTAGAACATGATGGTTAACGAATATGTATTTCATATATACTTTGTTTGTTCACACCCACTCAATCGTGCTAATTGGCCACGGTTCCCTGACTCTCTGCTCAAGCGATCCGTCGTCAGTTCTTCTGTGTTTGTTCAGATGCAGTAGTCCCGGTGCCCAATCGCCAATGATTACGCGCAAGCATGTAAGCCTGCGCCATTCATTCTCTCGATGTCCAGTCGTTTCGAGGACCAGCGTCCATAGTATCACATCTTCATACACGCTCACTAGCATGAAGAGTTGCAAAAGAGCAAATATTTGTCCAGGGTGTCCTTCGTGCATATGAAACATGTGAGAGAGCGTCGGAGGCACAACGATATCGTGACGTTCCGCGTCTACGTGACGCAGTGCTGTAGTGTCTCGTGCAGCCTGTTGGAGTGCCTCGTCTGGCTTGAGCGCCAAGCTGGGGTGGTCGGGCAGTTTAAAGATTGGGCCTTTTAGGGTGAGAGCTGCTTTCGTGATACGACCGAATTGGTTCCCCGAGTGTGATAGAGAAATGAGCTCATGGCAGAGCGTCAGCCCACCTACACTGGATGCTGCATGACGCTAGCTCCGCTCCGGACCAGAATCCTGCCAAGAGTCAAGTCGTCGCAGGGGTGGCACCCTAGTTGCCTGCGGTCCAAAATATTGCCAAGAAGCTAAAGGCTCGACGAGGACAAAGTCAGCGACAACCCTCCTCCCACAGGTGTAACCTCGCCTTCCCGCACCTGCACCCTTTCATGGCCAAATACATCATGGATTTTGACAGTGACAATGCTCGGGAATGGAAAAAGCACAAGGACACGATTCGGACTCTCTATCTCATCGACGGTCTGAAACTACAGGGCTGTAATGGTGTCATAGACCACAGGAGATCAAGATTTGGCTTTGATAAGAGGTAGCGACATCAATTTAGTAAGAATTGGACAACGCTGACTTCAGCCAGCAAATCCCAATATGAGCGCATGTTTAAAAAATGGAACTTCAGGAAGTATCTAAGCGAAGAAGAATGGGCAACGATCGGATACAAGGTCGAGAAGAGAAAGAGAGACAACAAGGAGAGCGAAATTTTGTTGGGAGGAATACCAATTCCCCCTCAAAAAGTTCGAAAGGAGACGCAGCGATATGGTTCTAGAGTCTCAAGGGCCAGTCAGGGTACATTACCTTTAAATTCCCATGAAAGGCTTGCAAGCTAACATGGGAAGATGGTTCGAGTCCAATAATTCCAAATGGAGTCGTCATACGCTCGCCCTTCCTGGCGTCAACAGCTTTAAACTTTGATACTGCAGAGAACTTTCAACAGCACTCTTTGCCAAATGGTGAGACTACCATTTGTACTGAAAAAGTACCTATGCTAACATTCATCCGTAGCAACTTCAATGATTGATCAATTTGACGTCATGACATCAACACCACTCATCTTTTCACCTCAAAATTTTCCTAGTTTTGATCTTCTTTCACAGATGAAAGGTATGGCAAACCTTTAGAAGTGGACTTTTCAATTACTCATATCAGTGAATATTGATTTATCACATGGGGATTTGCTGACACAATAGTAGCATTCGGTTCACATACACCGGCGGAAAACGTGTTAACTGGATTTTCGAATGCCCTCTCGACAGATGTCCAAACAGACATCGTTCATCACTTTGTCAACAGACGCACCAAAGGCTGCTACTTGGAGTCCTTTGACAGGAAACTGCAAGCTCTGATGCCTGATCTGATCGTTGACTCTACACCTACTGAAACGGATTCGACACAACGCCATGATGCTGGAGCCTTCAAGTTCCTGAAGCTCATAATGTTCATGGCTTCGAATAACATGCTCGACCCTGAATTAAACATCAGTAGCAAGGTCTTTCGAACATTTCAGCATAAGCGATATCATCATCTCGTTGAATATCTGGCATCACTGAAAGGACCAGCGGCTGAAGCCTTGGTGGAAAGCCTGTTTCGGCTTGCAATGAACGCTGAAGACTTTACTACAGCACAGCGCTTCATCAAAAGCGGTTTGAACCCAAATGAACAAGTTATTGTCGACCAATACGGTGAGCGAATGACAGCTTTCGAATACGCATGCCACATGAGGAATTCTGAGCTCATCATGTGTATGATCGATAGCGGTGTCGACGTGAATAGGTCACTTTCTTCAAAATCTCCCATGGTCAGATTCATGGCTAATTGGACCGAAAATCTCGACGACATCAAAGACCAGATTGATGTCGACGTTGTGAAGCTGATGGTTGAGGCCGGAGCAGACGTAAACCACGACACTGACATGTCACCACTCTGTTTGGCAGCCCGCCGTGGGCCTGTGGAAGTAGTGGAGATATTGGTCGAAGCCGGAGCCTATCCGAATTTTAGAGATGATATATGCGGACAGACTCCACTCAGTTGTGCTCTGGATTCATTCCTCCCCAACGATCACGTTTTATCCATTATTAAAGTTCTCATTCAAGCAGGCGCATATACCAATGTGGCAATACATTTTGAAAAGGACGAAAGCTGGTCACCACTCAGTTTGGCGGTGCGATACGGACCACGGGTAGTAGAGTTTCTGCTTGAGAATGGAGCTCGCGCAGATAAGCATGCTTTGAAAGAGGCAGTGAGAAGAGATGAGGCAGAGATCGCAAGAATTCTCTTAAACGCTGGAGCTCCTCTCACTTCCGAAGTTGTCAGCGCTGGGACATATTCAAGCAATAGCCTATTGGATGATATGTTGGATCATGGAGCGGACGAAAATGTGAAGACTCGATGCCGCTCTGATGCATTCATCAGAGCAATAGCCGCCGGCAGAGAAGATCTCATCATCTCATTACAAGAGGAAAATATCCGACTTCCTGAGACGGAAGCATTGTCCGAGGCCATCGAATCTGCTATCCGGAACGATCACAACGGCGTTCTTAACCGGATACTCGATCCAACTTCAAAATTCCACAGAATCGTACGGGAAAGCCTCGGAACCTCGCTTGCTGTTGCTATTTCATTCAAGAGGCTCGATCTTGTCGACACGCTTTTACATGCAGGGGCCGATCCTAATCCGAGAGGTAGTACTGCAGCACTCGCTTATGCAATCTCTCTCAAAGACGCAGACTTGGTCAGAAGGCTTCTAGTGGCTGGAGCGAACATCAATTCTGATGAGTTCCGTTCCGACTGGAGATCGTATCGCTGCAGTGTGCTTCCCCTTGCTGTCAAGTGGGGATTTCATCCGATCGTTGAGGAACTCATTGTAGCTGGGGCTGACGTCGACGCCATTTTCGATGGCAGTGATGACGTCCTAAACCTTGCGGAGCAATTACCTGCATCGTTGGCTGTTGCTGTCCAAAGAAAAGACACTGCAATGATCCAACGATTGATTGCCGCGGGTGCTGATATCAATTGCAATGCTTCTAAACTCAGTACACGGACGGCTTTGGGAGTCGCAGTCCTTAACAAAGACCGCAAAATGATTCAATACCTTCTCCATCTTGGGGCTGACCCAAGTGAAGATATGGCACTGATATCAGCTGTATCAGCCGGCACGGAGATTTTGCAACAGCTTTTGAACGTAGCATCAGCACGTAAGCCACTTTGTTCAAAGGTTTATTTCAACTTTGCCTTACAAGAAGCGATCCGGTCTAGCGACATATCCGCGGCAACTCTGTTAATCTTGGCTGGCGCAGAACCAAATAAAATTTGTCGGCAGTCTCTACGGTATCAACCATATGAGAACTTTCGATGTGGCATTTCTTGCTTTGGAATAGCTGTGGAAAGCGACGAAACGCCTCACTCGGAGATGACAAAGCTACTTCTTGACGCAGGAGCAGATCCCAATGCTGTGGTCAAGTACAAGCCAAAGATGACCGCACTGATGATGGCCATCAGTTCACAGAACCTATCGGTCGTCAAACTCTTGTTAGATCGCGGTGCAGCAGTCAATGGGGGCGTGAACTTTGGATTTACACGGACTCCCCTACAGCTGGCTGCTGAAGTTGGCAATATCGATATCATTCAGGATCTGTTGAATTGTTCAGCTGACGTGAATGCGGCTCCACACGATAGATGTGGTGCCACTGCGCTTCAATTTGCTGCTATTGGAGGGCATGTGGGCATCGCAAAACTCCTGCTTAATCATTGGGCGGGTGTAAATGCCCCGCCTGCGAAGATTGGCGGAAGAACCGCCCTTGAAGCTTCTGCTGAGCACGGTCGTCTTGACATGCTACAGTTCCTCATCGATTCGGGTGCTGGATTGATCGATCAGGGCCAAGAGCAGTATGAAAGAGCAGTTGAACTTGCCAAGGAGAACGGGCATATGGCAGCGTCACGTCTCCTGGAAAGGTCTCATGTACTGTGTTCCACCCATGTATGGCAAAACAATTTTGCATGCCAGGATTCTTCCAGCAGTATTGGTTGGACGTCGTAAAGTCTCTCTTCGGTGTTTTCAAAGAGAATTTTTGAGTTCTCCGTCCTGTACGGACCTTGGCAACACGGTGGTGTTTGCGACGAAAGGCAGGTAACACCCAACGAGGTTCCAGAGCATGACGATCATGTAACCGGGATCTGTATGTCCCACAAGTGCGATACTCACCGACCAAGCACGCGCAATGGGGGCACTCGCCTTAGCAAAGAGACATGAGTCATACTTTTTAGCGGTGCCGCCCCCTTATCAGTGAAGCGCAAGGTTACGCAGTCAAATCAAGATGAAGGGAAAGGCGACGCGAAAACAGAAAGCGTAGTAATAAACTTCGCATTTGAAAACCTAGAAAATGCATTGCCTAACCTGACTAGCCAGATGCGTAAGATCCAACCCCTCAGAAAGGTGAGGTGCAAACCTCAAGAGTCCGAGGTTGTTGAGCGCGGGTCGATAGGAATAGATGCTGAATGAATATACCCAGAGATACAACAAGCCTAGGTTTCTGGTAACAGTGATGGCATCTCGAATCGTTGCTGGGATTGTATGCATCGGGATGGATTGCCTATACTTGGATATGTTGTCCACTCGTAACATAGTTCGGTGCTCGTCGGGAGGCCCACAGCAATATGAAAGCGCAGCCCATTCACCTCGAGAGCCTGTCGGAGGGTCCATGGGAAAAGGATCTCGAGAGCCGTCCAATGGTCCAACCGCGATGACACGAGTAGGCAGCTCATGCTCATTTGCAAGTGGTCTAGAGCACTGGTGTCTATGGTGCTCGGTTGCGCAAGTATATAGCCACTCTCTTGCTATCGAAAGACACTCTGTTGACCCAGAGTGTTCGCAGCGCTCGTATCCCAGTAAATTGCCCTTGTGACGCTGTACATTGTCCGCTATTGTCAATGATGCTGCATAGAGAATAAATGATTTGACTGCTTACCCCGCAATGCACAAGCATCAAAATCTCGGACATGATGCGCAATAGCAAGCTGGAATTGGACCTCCACTCCAGTCCAATAAGATCACTGACTCGAGCTGGTCGTCGGTTCTTTGCGAAATTGATAGCTGAAGCGCCAATTGCTATCATCAGTTTCTTCTTGGCGTATTCGAGGGTCTTTGGTAAGCCATTAAAGAAGAGATACTTAGGATCTGGCGAGTGCGTTAGAAGTTCCATCTCCGGCTCGGAGGAAGCGTTAGGGTTGAGCAATCGGCCTACAGAATACACGTGTGCTAACATGTAGATGCTTCCCTGCATTATAATGAACCCCAGTGCCGTGAAGCTGCAAATAGAGATTGTACTTTAAGATACCACACAAGATCGGATGAAGCATTAGGAAGAAATCTGGCTCTTGGAGCAAGTGTGCCATTACCGGATGGCCTCGCAGTATTGGATCCCTGGCTATGATTCCCCAAACCCGTGTGAGGTTGTCATGCAGCGTCCACTCTTTGACATCATCCATAATCTGTTCAAACTCAAAGTAGATATTCTTTCCTTGGCTTTCTGACAGGATTACAGTAAGTCAAGGATTAACCACTTATCCTTGATTCTCCCGTATCTGCGATTCAGGCTGAGTCGCTCTAGCATACATTGCTATAGCGTTGTTCTCGGCCTCTTCCAGCCTCGTGTGGCTTCCAAACCCAACCGAATGGTCAGCTGCAACAAACGTTTTTTTTTTCAGCTAACGTGATATAGATAGGACATCAGCATTCACCGGTGAGCTGTTTTCGGCTACAACAAGCGACGGGCATTTCTGAGCTGGTACGCGGTGTAGCCGATGAATGTGATATTGCCAGCATGCCAACATGCAACTCATCCATGTAGTGGACACCGATTCGATGCCTCGTCATTGCGGAGGTCTTATCGCTTGTCCCGACAATTTGGTTGACAGGCGTCGGCCCAGGGTCGGACCATGGCATGTCAGAGTTAACGTGGGTAAGCGGGATGTGGCGTGCAGGTGCGTTCAAGGGTCTTCCTTGCATGCATCGAGTACACCACTTTCTTCATTTTCTGTGTAAGTATTGGTGAAATTGTCTTAGCGCTTACTTCGAACAACAAAAGATTATACGAAAAGGGATGTGTGTGAGACCGGGATGGTTTTCTGTCTCATTGAAAGAGTACATTGCACGTTTGCTTATGCAATTTCGTAACCAGCCGCGAGTTGCTTTGTAAAAAGATTGAGATTCTACTACGACAGACAAAACGACGAAGGCTGATAGAAATTAGAATAATTACGTTCAGGCATCAGCCTACTCTTCAGCCGCACCCTGCTCCTGACGATTGTTCTGGAAGTTGTCTAAATCCTGTTCTCTCGTCTTGCTGAGTGTAATAGCTTTGATAGTCTGCATAGCAGCCAAAAAATGCCGGCGTGTCAAGGTGCGCTCGTCGGTATCGACAGTCTGTTCGCCAATGCATTCGGTCGCAGCCGTCACACAGAGATTCTTAAGATCCGAACCAGTATACTGTGGCGTTAGGTTCGCTAGAGTCGGTATGGTGATGTCTGGGCCAAGAGTCTCATGCTCAAGAAGCAAACGCAATATGCCCATTCGCTCCACTTTTGATGGAAGATTGAAGAGAATGCGCGCAGGCGCCCTTCGAAGCACGGCAGGGTCGAGGTCGTTAGGTCGGTTGGTGGCCAACAAGATGAATGGCGAGTCGGTACCGCTCATGATGCCGTCCCATTCCATAAGGAACTGGTTCAGCATGGCCCGGATGTGGCGTTTCTCGCCTGCCTTGCGTTCACCTAGCATAGCGTCTGCCTCGTCAATGAACACAATGCTTGGGTACATCTTGCGCGCCATGGAGAAGATAGCCTTGATCATCTTCTCGTCGTCACCATGACACTTCTGCCATACCTCGGAGGTAGAAATCGAGAGCATGTTGAAGCCGGACTGCTTAGCCACTCCCTTTGCTAACAGTGTCTTTCCCGTGCCTGGCGGCCCGTAGAGAACAGCTCCGGTGACTTTGTTATTTTTTAAGACGCCGTGACCGAAGGCCTTGGGCCTCGTCAGTCCCATCGCTGTGACTCTTTCGACCTTGCCAATGGTCTTAGGGTCTATAGATATGTTCTCGTAGTTCGGCGGGATTTTATCTAGACCAAACTGGATCAGTAGTGTACTCAGATTGACAGTTTGCAGTCGCTGACCTGTATTGACGATGCATTCGAGTAGCATCTGCTCGAATTTGCCCCGCGCTAATGAGGACCATTTCTTCATCTTGTGTTTATGAGACTGGAGGCGAGAATCATCCACCTCAGGGTCAGAGTCGGAACAGCTGTCTGACGTGTTTCCACCATCGTAGCATTCCTCACCATCGCTGCAATCTTGCGCGTTCACTTTCTGACATTGATCCTTCGTCCGCTTGGAGGATCGACCCTGGCGTTTCTTGTAACATTGACCACTCTTGCGACTCCCAATGTCACACGAACCCTCGTCGCAACTGTCATCTGAGATGTATAGCAGCTTTCTTTCGTGTGCTTCTTGTTCTTCGTGGGGTGGGGATTTGTTGGAGTTTGTCGGAGAGGCTTCCTGGGCTTTGTCGGCGCTCTTTACCACGACAGGGCTAGGATGTTGTCCCCCGGTCTTTGGTGTGATTTCTTGCTCGACATGCACTTGCGATATGACTTTTGGATTATCAAGGGTAGGGGCTGCTGCAATCTCAACTTGTTCGCGTTGTGTCCAGGAACGCTGGATTACACTGCGGTAACGAGAAACAGTACAGGCACCGTTTGGATTGCCCGTGTCCAGTATCATGGCGGGCGTATGTCAAAATTAGACGTTGCAAATGGATTACAGGAAGCAGCTCAAGGTGGGATTTTCATGTTTAGGTCGCAAGGCTGTACGCGCCGCACGAGGCCTGCAGACTAAGAATCAACTTGCATCTGCGCATTGCAGCTGTGTAGCTACGGCCTCTCTGTGTTGTACAGAGAGGCTGTATCCTCCGGATCAGCCGGGATATGGACTGCGAGAGCCACGGGCGTCCCGATCCAATCAGAAGTTTGAAACAGTGCCACCTTCGTTGCTTGGCTAAGCTTCCCCGCCGCACGCTGCATGAAAAACACTGCCTCGCTGCTCCTTCAGGCTCCCTGCGTTATCTGATTTTTCCCTTCCAATGACTTCTGCCGCATCCGATATCACTTGTTGGGCACTCACCGGTCTTTTACTTTCAGCTCGCACAGTCGTGAGGCGCCCGCCAACGAGGCGAGCTGATAGCGCATGAATCCGACGCCCTGCTTTCGCAGCCCTGTGGACTGATGTTGTCGTGGGGGCCGCTGCCAAACTGCCGGGACTGCTATGTCCAGCATAGCTGAAGCTGTTGCTTGGAAATGCCGAGAGCGATATGCCTTTGATTGAAACTATCCCCGGAAATTCCTCAGGAAGCGAAACTACTGTAATCGCTGAGTTTATTACCTTACCAGACTTGTCCACTAAAGAGGGCGGCAAGCGGGCTCAAATCTCAGGCTGGCTAAGCTTTACTATTTCTTCTTAAGCTTCTAGGGCGACAAGCCAATATCCGCGTAACAATTCCCCACCGCCGCCATTGACTACGGCTAGTCTTACCGACTACAGCTATCACCATGTCGTTCAAAATTGACAACCTCGACCTGGAAAAAGGCAACCTAAGCCTTGAACCCTCCCTGAACAGCAACGTCGAACAACCAGCATCCAGAGAAGGGCACCAGCGCAAGGACGCCCCAAAGCCAAACCATGTCAATTCGATGCTTTCCCGGCGTTCGACTATCCCTCTCGTGGTCAAAACCCAGAAAAAAAAGTTCTTTCGAGGTTGGAAGCGCTTCAGAAGTGCTGGCTCGGGTCAAAAGGCGGCTTCAATTGCGAGTCAGGACGATGGAGACAAAACACCGGTCGAGACAGATATGCTTTCCATTCTTGAGTTGATAACGTCCGGCGGACGTTGTGTTCCTTCCTCTGCTGATCGCTCGAAGACTGTGAAGATGCCGCAGTTTGACGATCTCCGAGCGTACTTGCCCGCCGACCTTCAAGCTCTAGAACTATGGATGGATGAGGCTAGCAGGCTGGTTAGCGCTGTAAAGAATCCCGACCCAGTCCTCCCCTTCGACGGAAAAGGGCTTTTCGATGAAGCGAATGAAGAAGGATACCAGAATCTTGGACGGTTGGCAGAGATGGTCTTGTCTGCGCTTTCACTATGCATGCTGGATAACGAATGCATCTACGTCAAATCCTGCAAGCCGCTAGCGAATCGAGATCGATTGAAGAAGCTCATCCAGCAGGCTAGAGTGAGTCAAACAAACAGTATGTGGGAAGAAGCAGGAGGGGGAGAAGCGACACAAGAACAGCGAAAAAAGAAGGATTCGTTGCTCGACGCCATCTTCGCGCTTATCGATTACACCTCTGCTATTCTGGCCAGGCTATTCGCTCAGGTGGCCGTTGGAAAATATTGGTCCGACAACGTCCTGGCCGTGCTGACGCAGAGGGTCGCCAAACTGAAAGTGCTACTAATCGATATGCACGCCAACACGTTGATTTCCTGTCAGGTTGGTGAGGCCTCTCTCGACCAAACAGACATCTCCAGTCGCTTGTCGAATGGAATCATGGATGAGGAAGAGTGCGAAGAGGTCTTGCGCATGATCGATGCCGAGAGCAAGGAGGGTCTGACGACGACCGCTAACGCAGACGTCGCTCGGTACTGCGTTGACCAAAACCGCTTCCGATCCGGCATCGATACGATTCTGCGCTATCTATTGCTCTCGCTCCGATTCAATAACCGATCGGGACTTCAAGCTACGTCTTTTGAGATTTGTGGCATGGTTTACGGGACTGGATTCGAGGACTTCAAGGCTTTGCTCTTCCAGGACCGAGACCTGGAGTATTCGGCCTCCTCGGATCAAGATGCACTCAAAACAGCCTATCCCGCCTTCAAGATCTTGAACGAAGCCTTTCACCAGGTGAAACAGAACTGCCCACCCAAGTCTCAAGGTAACCTGCGGACGACGGTGGAATGGAGGTATTGCGACGCCCACAACAAGAGATCCAGTATCGCATTGCCGGACAATGCAATGAATGACCTATCGAGATGCGAGCCGCAGAAAGCCGTAATGGATTCCATGGCGGACATCATCAGTGTCATGATTCCTCTGGTACTCACAAGCCCCGTGGTGGTTTCTAACTTGACCAAATTTCGCGCCTCGTTGGCACTGGCTTGCGATGCTAAAGACGTTGTCCAACCTTCCAAGAACAAGGACTATTGCGCTTTCTTTCGCATGTACACAAACCAGTTCGAGAAAGACAGCCAGTCATGGGACGTCATGCGCTTATCAGCGGCAGTCCAGCAAGGATTCTTTTCCCGCAACAATCTCATTGAAAGAGGGGCCTCTTCCAAGAACGCCGGAAAGGTGCAGAGCAAGTTAGTGGACAGGTCGCGGGAGATGGAAAGTTGGGTGATCGACGAGTGCAGCGTCACTGTTGCCTGCAAATACCAAGTGTGCTCCATCCTCCTGGTTGCCTTCATAATCGCCGGCGGCGGGTTGGCAATGATCGCATGTAAAAACCGCATCAAAGGAGTTGACCCATCTAACCTGTCCATGTATCTCTGGATTTTAGCCGGTTTCTACCTCCTGGTACAAAAGAGTCGATTTGTTGAAGAATGGCCTTGGAGCGACTTCCTGCGATTTCGCGTTCGATGTCGGTCTGTGTCGGAACTGCACGCCATCTCGGGCATCAACGAGCAGCTCCTCATGGCTAAACTCTTACACGACGAGCGTGGTGGAAGCTTGCTCAAAACGCGAGGTCCATACAACAAAGTTTTCTTGCAGCGCGATTCCAACGACGGTTTCTCCATTGATCGTTCTCTCCACATGACGACGCTACTGCTTAGCGGGTTGATCATGCTCAAAGTCGTGACTCCTCGCGGACAAGCACTAGTCTGTTTAGATGCGAGACGCGGAACAGAACTCAAGGTCGTTGAACATCAGGGTAACCAAGCCCAGGAACATCTACTCTGCGAAGATATCGATCGTTTGCAGGATCGATATGGCCAGAAGAAATCGAAGGATCGAATGAGGTTGCAGTTGGCAATGTCAAAGGAGTTGAAATGGAAGAGAGTTCAGGGTGTGTACAAGGGGATGGAAGCGGAGTTTGTCTGAGATGAATAGACTTGGGTGGTGTTGGTCACAGGGCCTGCAGGTTATTGGAAAAAAGGCGTTTTCGCAAAGATGATCTCGCAATGCTTCTACGCTTTCGCTACGCCATTGTTATTGTTATTACATTCTTCAGTTTAGATCTCCTTTTGAAGATTTAAGATGCAGGCTTTCTTTTCGCAGCTCTACAAGCTGTTAGTATGCTCATCGAGTTGCTTCACTATATAGGCAAGGATAGAATCTGCGCACCCTGCGCAATTCATAGATCGAGCTCCTGTTCGATTGATCATACCTCTCTTTCCGATTTGCCTTGGAAACTAGGTACTCCAGCCCCATATCCTAAGGATGTATTATAATGAAACATAAATTGCGCAAAACCTCACTATGAGGCTCAAGTCCGGGCGAAGAGCTGAAACTACGAGGACCCGAGGCCGCATGCAGGGTGACGTGGAACCGAAAGCATGCATTGCTGCTGCCTGCAATCTGACCTGGTCTTGCAGGGTGACACCCACTCGAATGCGTTCAGCCACCGAGCCAACCCAAGGTAATCCGAATCAGCCTTGGACCTCTTTCGAAGGCTTTTCCCTGCCTGGTCGACTGTACCGAAATCCCTCATTACTTCCCGAGCCTCATCGCTTCGAATACTGGGTAACATACAAACCCGCCTTTCACAACTCGCTGCTACTTTGGCTCTGTCGACAGAGACTGTAACCTCACCATGTCTGCATATCCGGACTTAGATCCTGAGAGCATTGGCGACATTGATTCTCGGAGCTCTACCGACATGGACGAGTGTGGTTCGACTCGGTCTTCGAGTTCCTTGTCCCTAGTTGACACACGCTCGTCCATTTCCTCTGCGTTTGAGATGGAGCCTTCCATTATCCCAAAGGAAGGCGGCGAGCTAGGAGAACCATACAACGTTAACACCAAACCAATGGATCTTAATGCGTTTAACACCTCTTTCTTTACACCCAACGGCACCATCTACCTTAGATCACGCCTTCGTTCTCGGTCTGTGCCAGCGTCTACCTCTCGCGACTTGATGAAAGATGCGACAACCATGCCCGAGGAGATCAATGGTCTCAAGTCCTTCCAGCAGGTTTGGGACAACAAGCAGAGGAAGACGGAGAGCGTATCCGATTCGGACGCTTGCAGTGAGGAAAAACGAGAATCAGAGCCTTCTCCCGTCGACGATGGTTTTGAATTTCCCTTCTTCCACCTAAGTCCCGCAGACTTCGAATGGCACGAGTACCGATTTCCGTTCTCCCGCCTTGATGCAACGGACTTTTACAAACCTCGCGAACGAATTCGATTCCCGTTTTCACATATAGATCCGGAGCGTTTGGGATGGGGGCGGGGGCAAGAGAAGAAGCCGGATTCGCCTCTAAACGAGCTCATGCAGATGGTCGGACTCGACGAGGTGAAGAAGGAATTTCTATCCGTACAAGCGAGAGTCAAGGCCTTCCAGACTCTCATTGAAAAGCCTGGCCTCAACGAGACATCCTCTCGCAAAGAGAAGCCCTCGGTGAGGAGTCTGAAACTCGATCTGATCATCTCCGGGGGCCACGGCACCGGCAAATCTACAATTGCACAGCTCTACGTGGATTTCCTTAAGCATTTGGGCATCACGAGCTCGAACAATGAGCCATATATCATCGATGAAGAGTACGAATTTGAGATGACGGATTCTAAAAATGGCGTCTTCGTTGTGGAAGGTAACAGGGAGCTTGTTAAGGGTATGCTGGGTTACCCCAAGGCTGGTGAACGGTTCTCGAGAAGAATTGACATCAAGGACTACTCCGAGGAGGAGCTTTTATCCATCTTGGTGAAGCTACTGAAGGAAGCTTCCTTGAAGGTCGAGGGCGGATACGACGCACCGTTCCTGCACACATTCATTCGCCGGTTAAAGCAACGAAAAGGCAAGAAGAAGTTTCAAAATGTCAAGACACTCCAGGCCGAAATCAATAAAGCACGTAGTCGTCAGGCAGAGCGTCAGGAAAAAGCTACATCCAAGAAAGATGCTCTAGTTGCGAGCATTTCAAATACTTCCTACCGCTTGATGGAATCGGATTTCCTTGGAGCAAAGCCGGACAACTTCTATGAGCGCAGCGAGTCTTGGAAGAAGCTCGAGAAGATGGCCGGTATGGATCAGGTCAAAGAAACTGTGAATGAGTTAGTCACTAGGAGACACCTCAACTACGCTCGTGAAATGGAAGGAAAGGAGCCTCTAAAAGGGACCTTCAATCACGTCTTTCTGGGTCCACCGGGCACGGGAAAAACAACCGTTGCTACTCTCTTTGGGCAGATCATTGCGGACCTTGGGTATATTGAGGACAGTAAGGTGGTGATAAAGAAACCTACCGACTTTCTGGGCCAGTATGTCGGTCAGTCAGAGGACATGACTAGAGACATTTTGGATGAGACCGAAGGCAAGGTCTTGATCATCGATGAAGCTCATATGTTCTACCACGGTTCCGAGCACGGCACGGACAAATCCGACATCTTCCGAAAGGGTATCATCGACACAATAGTCGCCCATGTCGACAATGAGCCCGGCAGCAATCGATGCATCATCCTGATGGGCTATCCGGACCGAATGAAGGAGTTCTACCGCAACACCAATCCTGGTTTCCAAAGGCGATTTCCCTTAGACACTGCATTCGTGTTTGAGGATTACGATGACAAGGCCCTGCACAAGATCATGGATATCATGCTCGCCAAGGACGAGATCACAGCCACTCCGGAGGCTAAAGACGTGGCTATGGAAGTCCTTCGAAGAGAGCGCGATCGTCCGAACTTCGGTAATGGAGGTGCAGTACGCAATCTTATCAGTCGAGCGCAGGTCACATACAGCAAGCGCATTGCGTTACATGCGAAGGAAAACCCGCAGCCAGGAAACGACAGTCCCCTTCACGTGACTGAAGCGAGCCAGATAGTGCTAGAGCCGCAGGACTTTGACTCGGAATATGATCGTGGACTCCGAGCCAACAAAGATTTCCGGTCTTTATTCAAGGACCTCGTTGGATTTCGAGACATCACCGGGATCTTTGAGGGTTACCAGAAAATGACAGCGAACATGAAACAGCACGGCCTTGACCCGCGTGAGGAGATCCCGTTCAGCTTTGTCTTCAAAGGTCCACCAGGTACAGGCAAGACTACGACAGCTCGAGCCCTAGGCCATATCTACCATTCCATGGGTTTCCTTTCTACGACTGAAGTCATGGATTGCTCTGTAACCGACCTGGTTTCGAGTAACGGCCTTACGGGCCAAAAGGTGCAGAACCTACTTGAACGCGGCCTCGGTAAAGTTCTATTCATTGACGAAGCTTATCGCATGGGCCAGAGGGATCTGACTGGTGCTTTCATCAGCCGTCTTGCGCAAGAAGCTGTTGGAGAGCTAGTTGATTGTATAACGAAAGAGAAATTTGCGGGAAAATTGGTGATTGTTCTAGCAGGCTATGAGAAGGACATGGATCAGCTCATGAGTACGAATGAAGGATTGCGCGGCCGATTTACCGAGATGATGTTCCCTAACATGAGACCGAAGGACTGTCTGCGACTTCTTCAGAAGAAGTTGGAGCATAGGAAGATTTCGATTCTTCATTCGGGCGGGAAGCAGGTACTGGACAAGGTCATTGGCTTGTTTGACAAACTCAGCAAGACGGAGGCGTGGGCGAATGCTCGTGATGTGGAAAGTATAGCCAAACGCATCACGCGTCGGGTGTTTATGAAGGAGCTCCCTACTCAGGGCACGCTGGACATTACGCTGGAGGAGATCGCTGCAGTCTTGAAACAACTCTATCAGCAGCGAAGACCACAGAACGTCGGCGACGAATCTTAATGATGAAGGCGTTGGTTTCGATTCTAGGTTGTGGCCTATCCGACTTCAATTTCTTTCTCTTCCTTTTACCTATTATGTCTTTCGCAGTCTCTGTTACTCGTCTCAAGGCTTTCTTGATTACATTCCCCAGCGTTCCGAAACGCTTCTGCTTGGAGTCTTCTGGTATCAAGTTCTCGTAGAAAATAGACAAGGGGAATATAACTTAACGTATTATTGCCACGACTCCCTTAATCGTCGGTGTATTGCTGGCCAAGCCTGCTGAGCGCGGACACTTCCACTGATCGACAAACAATGTTCAAGGAGGGCGACATGCCAAGTAGGGCCGAGGGGCTAATTTTAAGCGCCGCCGCCAAGAGCATTGAGGTTGCCGCTTGTTCGACACCTACCGGCTCTGAGTCGGATAGAAGGTTTTTCGGCCAGGCAAAAGACATGCATCAAAGAAAGAGACAAGATGGAAAACGCGCGGCACACCTGGAGTTCCACGATGGCCGGCCATGACGGGTGACATGATGTGCAATAGCAAGCTGGAATTGGAATGGTTGTCGAGATGAAGGTTGTTCTGGGGTGCTTCCGCAGGTAATCCAGAGCGTTGCAGTTGTTAACCTCGTACTTTGATCCTCAACAGTAGCCGCCATTTCTAGGTCGTCGTCGAATATCAGTCGGAGCAGAAATTTGCACAACCCGCACCCATTTGCCGAAGATGCTTCTAGATCGACGATATTTTCATGGTGACGGAATTTAGGATTTTGGAGCCGCTTTATCTCAGCGAATTCGACTGCCTCTTCCATCATGGAATGAGGATCGTATCGGTAGCAGACCTCACACAGCATTATGACGTAGACTTGGGTAGCTAGTAAGCCCGGAGACCACTTACCAGAGTGGTAAGCTTCAGGATGGATGAAAGATGATGGGCCCAAGGCTGAAGATGAAATGATTGTGACGGAGCAAGTCACGGGAAATTTCACTGAAGGCTGAGAACGCTATGCCAATACGCTTGCGTGACTGAAAATGACGACTAAGACAGGAAGAGATTTAGTCAATTGACGAGTGAATACTGTCTTGACATGATGAAGGTTGGCAGAGTAAAATAGAAATGACTGCGCTTGTGTTCTCCTGACGTCTTGGGGCCACGTCAATTCGCCGCCAACCGCGTTGCCGGGCAACCAGCCCGCCCCAACAAACCCCAACCTCGCATCCCATCCCAAATCCTCCAGAGCCTCAATTGATCCCAGATCTACAGATTCCACATTCCATCGCATCCTCAACTACATTCCACCACAGTATTCCCCTCCCGGCGCCCGAATGGCCCGGGACACCCCCTCCCACGACCGCCCGCCCCGCGACGCTCCCTCCCGCGACCGCGACCGCCAACGCCGCCGCCGCGGCCACAAAGCAACCGACAGCACCGGCGCACTCCTCCGAAACACCGCAGCGCCGGGCGCCGACACGAGCGCGTCGGAGAGCCCAAGTCCGCGGAAGCAGCGGGCGTCGACGCGCGCGAGCAGCTCGAATCCGTTGTCTGTCGAGGGGCTGGCGGCGCTGGATAAGCATAATCATAAGAAGGGGTATAAAGGGTACGAGTATGATGAGAACTATATTAAGGAGGTGCGGGAGAAGGAGGCGAGACTGGAGAGGGAGAGGATGAGGGAGGAGAGGGAGGTGAAGCGGAAGGAGAGGGAGGCGGAGAGGGAGAGGAGGAGGGTGTTTGAGGTTGATGTTGTCAAGGAGAGGGATAGGGTGAAGGAGAAGGAGAGGATTAGGGAAAAGGAGAGGCGGAGGGCTTATGAGAGTGATGGGGAGAGGAAAAAGGAGAGGAGGAGGGCGTATGAGAGTGATGGGGTGGTGGAGGGGAGGATTAGAGGGGATAAGAGAAGAGAGAAGAGGAGAGACCTGACGGATGATGAGAGGGGGGACAAAAGGAGGTCGCACACTGATGACGAGAGGGGTGACAGACGACGACATCTTACTGAAGAAGAGCGAGAAGAGCGGAGAAGGAGGTATGAGGAGCGATACACGCCGTCCGAGAGAGCTGAAAGGAAAGCGAAGAGGAAGGAGAAAGATGGACAACGGACAGACCAGAAGAAAAGGAGGGTCATTAGTGGACCGCTACTCGAAGAGGGCGGGAACGACGAAGAATACGAGGAATACAAAGTTGCTGAGAAGAGAGGCGGCGGCGGCTCCAGCGATGTGTACACAGAAGAGGAGTGGGCGCGAAAGAAGAAGCGGAAGAAAATATGTATGCAACAATTTTCTTTAAAGTATTCAGCTGCTAACAGTAATTCCAGTCATCATCGTCGGTATTTCACTCTTACTATTAGCCATTATAATACCCGTCGCCGTGGTACTATCCAAAAAGAAGAGCGGGCCTCCCGAGAGCAAGGCCGCAGAAAATGCGAGTACACCTGGAAACAAAAACTTGAACGGCATATCTGAAAGCGACATACCGAAAGCGGCACAAGGCACTGTATTGGATCCCTTCACGTGGTACGATACTCTGGATTTCAATGTCACATACACAGCAGCAACCGTAGGAGGCTTGTCAGTTATGGGCCTAAACTCTACATGGGACGACTCCGTCCAAGCCAACGAGAACGTCCCGAAGCTGTCGGATGAGTTCGCTTATGGATCTATGCCAATACGAGGGGTAAATGTTGGCGGCTGGCTGAGCCTGGAACCTTTCATTACGCCATCATTCTTCGAGCATTATAGTACTCACGATGGTGTAATCGATGAGTACACTCTATGCTCTAAGCTAGGCCTAGCTAAGTGCACTACGAGTTTGGAGACGCATTACTCAGCATTTGTTCAACGCGAAACGTTCGAAGACATCCGAGCAGCAGGTTTTGATCACGTTCGTATACCCTTCTCGTACTGGGCCGTAACGACATACGAGGGCGACCCATATGTCCCCAAAATCTCCTGGCGCTACCTCCTCCGTGGCATTGAGTATGCCCGACAGAACGGGCTGCGTGTAAATCTGGATCTGCACGGCGCTCCTGGGAGTCAGAACGGCTGGAATCATAGTGGGCGCCAAGGCGTTATTGGCTGGCTGAATGGAACCAATGGCGCCCTCAACGCGCAGCGCACCCTCGACATCCACGGCCAACTCTCGACGTTCTTCGCACAGCCTCGCTACAAGAACGTAGTAACTGTGTACGGAATTCTAAACGAGCCGCGTATGGTGGCCCTCAACACCAATGACGTTCTTAATTGGACGACTAAAGCCATCGAGGTGATCCGCAAAAACAACATCACTGCCATTCTGGTCTTTGGCGACGGTTTCATGGGCCTCGATAATTGGCAAGGAAAGCTGCAAGACGACCCCAAGCTTGTTCTAGACGTGCACCAATACGTTATTTTCAACACCGATCAGATCAAGCTCAAGCACACCGACAAGCTCAACTTCGCCTGCAAAGGTTGGACCGCGCAAACTCTCCGCTCGCAAGACAAAACCACCGGCTTTGGCCCCACCATGTGCGGCGAGTGGAGTCAGGCTGACACGGACTGCACCGAGTACATCAACGACGTCGGCGTCGGGTCACGCTGGGAGGGCAACATGAACACCGGCAACGCATCCACCAGCGTGCTGGACCCCACTTGTCCCACAAACAACAGCCCGCAGTGCGAATGCGCCGACGCGAACGCAGACCCGAGTAACTACAGCGACGCGTATAAGAAGTGGCTGTACCAGTTCTCGGTCGCACAGATGGAGAGTTTCGAGAAGGGGTGGGGCTGGTTCTACTGGACGTGGGAGACGGAGGCAGCGACACAGTGGAGCTGGAAGCTGGGTATGGCGGCAGGGATTCTGCCGCAGAAGGTGTGGGAAAGGAGTTTCAGCTGTAATGATACGTTGGACGATTTTGGGAAGTTGGGGTTGCCGGAGAACTATTAGATGAGAGGCGTACGATGGTACATTTGGGACATATGGATGGTTTGGGAGTTCTGGTGAGGGCGTCACAGGCGGTTGGGTTATATTTGGGACGCAGCCTGATAACATTGAGCGCTGCACATACAGTATTAACAAATACTATTCATTCGAGTACAAACGTTTGACATGGATGACTTGGACTGGAGTTTACACGCCCAGCTGATGTATATGCGTAGTACCAGCTATAACAAATCAACATAGCAAGAGGGTGTCTAAGGGAGCAAGTACGGACGTTGTCCTTGGAGAGGTGGCTGTCACATGACTTTATCCGAATATATCACTGTGAGAGGTCGTGCAAAATATCCCGAAGCATTGGGAACCGGCGTAAACTCTCGCAAGGCGTATACCAAAAGCTGGGAAACTAATTGCTCTGGACGGTCTGGGATCCTCCTAGTCCCTCCCTCACCGGCCCGACTCACCGGAATCGCTAAGCCTTTTGCCGAAAGCTTGAATTGTGCAAAAAGCTTATCGGCCGTGCATGAACCTTGGAGGGCCACTTACAAAGCTGCAAATTGCTTTCGTCACCGGAAGCTACGGGAGCCCAGTGGTTACACCACTACGTAGCCGTGTTTTAGACCCTCGTCCACGTGAGAAATCCCGCACTATCTGTCCCTGTTTCCGCTCAGCTCAACGTCCCCTCTTCTCATCTTTCCCATCCTCCTCATCTGTCATCTGCGATATCAGATTGCCATTACTCGTGGCCGATCGCTATTGAGTGCATTGTGCATAGCGTGCTCCCTTTGGTTCTTATTATCACTCTATTTCTCCACAGTCATCTGTCCTGGCGTCATTCCTCTGCAACCTACCCCTCAATATACCCAGCTCTACCAATTCCCCCCAAAGCCTCTATCTTCCACAATGTCCGACTACGACTACTACTCCCCGCGTCCCCGTCGCCCAAGAACACCAGACGGCTTCATAGCCAAGCGCCGCTCCGAAGTGCGCCCCGGCGAAGTCATCGTCCGCCGAGCCCCCCAAGAGTTCCAAGACCAATACTCCACCCCGCCCCAATACTCCGACCGCCAACTAGCTCCATACAACGATCCCTACAACGACCGCCAAAGCCGCAGCCTCGCCCGCCGCCGCCGCCGCCGCCCCCAAAGTGAGGATCTCGACCGCTACTACGACAGCGAAGGCTCCATCCCGCCTCGCGCGCGGCTGCCCCAGCGCGCCCGCTCCCACGACGACGACCAGAATAGTGATCAGGACCAAAGAGGCGGCCAGAAAGGCGGCTCCCAGAGAGGCGGCTCCCAGCGAGGCGGCAAAAATGGAAAAGGCGATAAGAAAGACAACGACCAATCCTCGTCCGACCTCGGCTCGACCTCCTCAGACGAGAAACACATCAAGGCCGCGCGGCGGAAGAAGTACCTCACCTTCGGCCTCACCGGAATCGCGACTATCCACGCCGCCGGTTCGATCCACAAAGCGATGGAGCTGGCGAAAGAGCGCAAGGCGGCGGTCGCGGAGGGGGAAATGTCCTCGGACGAGGCGAAGAAGAAGAAGAAACAGCAGCGGTGGCAGGAATTGGGCGCTGTGGGGATTAGCGCGCTGGGGATTTATCAGAGCGTGAAAGAGGTGAAGGAGGCGAGGGAGTTGCATGGCGAGCATAGGGAGTTGATGGAGAAGAGGGAGGAGAGGCATAGGAAGCGGGAGGAGAGGCGGAAGAAGGGGTGGGAGTGCAGGCCGGGGATTGGGTATTAAGGGGCGGAATGATAGACTTATGAATTATGAGACGGGTATTCCGTGGGAATGAAATGTAAGATGGTTTAGCGGTATTTCGGGCCGGGTTTCTTTGCTTTGGGACTATTCTCTGGGTTTCATTTCTTCTTGTTGGAATAATCAAGCGATTTCTTATTGTCTCATACACACTTTGCAGTTCGGAGGGTTCCCATCCCTTTTCTCTCGGGTTGTTGAAGCGCTCCTAGAAGCGTTGCGGGACTAGACAACATCATTGTATTTCCCATCACCTACTTTACACGTCCTAATCCAGTCCACATTCCTGCACCGCAACTCAATCACACAAGCTCAAAATCCCTTATCGCGGTCCCCCTCGTCCTCAAAGCCTCCACCGTCAACCTCGGATCACTCCGCCACCTCCTCTCCGTCTTCAACCCCTCCAACGCCCCAACATCCTCATCATCCCTTACATACCAATTCCACATCCTCTCCTCCGCATGCCTTCTCACCCCCCACCCCTCCGGCAACGGCCCGAGTCTCGGATCCTCAATCCTCACCTCCCGCGTCCGCCCATCCATATACGCCGGCCACCACTTCGCCGTCGCCGCATCATACAGCGCCACATTCGACCAACCCTCCGGCAGCGGCCCCAGAATCGCCTCGCGGTCATTCGCCCCATCTATATACGCATGCCCAACCACCGTAAACCCCTTTTCTCCGCCTGCCACCGGCCGCAAGACCAGCGGCCACCGGCACCCAAGAACGTGCACGACTTCATCCCCCGGCTCCGCCTCTTGCGGCGCGAGCCCGACGTACCCGCGCCCCGTCGTGACGAGCGAGCGGCCGGCCGTCTGGATCCGGTAGTCCTTGACGAAGTGCGCGAGGCTCTTGCGATCGTGCTTCGGATCTTCTGAAAGGAAGTGGCGTAAAGCGTCGGCGTAGTTTTGGAAGCCGAGGAGCTCGCCGGCGGGCTGGTAGCGCTCGGTGAACTCGTTGGCGAAGAAGGCGCGGCAGTAGGCGTCGAGCGTCGTCCCGCCAGCCACATACGGTGTGTCGAGCAAGCTCGCTGGCGCGAGTTTGCGGAGCCGGTCGATGATGGCGGCGTCGGACTCGGTTTGCCCGAGGGGCTCGACGGTGCAGATGGTGCAGATGTGCGCGCCGGCTGCGGAGAGGATGCTAGGGGCGACGTGGTGCGCGTGAGCGGGCGGCTCGCCGGCGCCGTCGAGGTCGAAGAAGCGTTTGCGCTGGTTGGGGAAGCGCCAGTCGGGCGCCCAGGAGGGGATGTCGCGCGGGCCCTTGCGGTGCGAGCACGAGCTCAGCAGCTCGAGGTTGTTCAGCTGCGCTAGGTTCTGCAGCAGCACGTCTTTGTAGACGTCGCCGACAGGGAGCGTGTAGTCTGGCGTCAGCTTCACCTGGTCAGTCGTGATGCCCATGAGGGCGTAGACGCGGTCGCGTGGCTCGCTGCATTTGCTGTGGCAGGTGCGGAGGGAGAGGGAGGCCATGGGGGACTGCGTGATGTTGTTCATCATGGCGTTGACGATCTCGAGGCGGTCTTTGACGGTCCAGTAGGCGTCGCCGAGCCCGAATTCGCCTTTCCACAGCAGGAAGAAGCTGACGACGTAGAAGCGGCGCCAGAGCATGCTTTTGTGGCCCGATACTAGGAGGGATTTCTCGTTGCCGAGGCGGATTTCTTGCCAGACCCAGAGGCGTTCGAACCAGGGGCGTTTGTAGAGGTTGCATATGGCTTGCACCTGCGCTTTTGTCGTGAATGGCAGGACGGTATGCCGGTCGGTTAGATGCTCTGGGTCGGCTTTTATTGGCTTGAAGGTTTGTGTTGCTAGATCTAGGTCGATCGTGTTGCTGAGATCGATGAAGGTGTCTAACGCAAGGTTGCTGTCCTCGGATTCCGGTCCCAGCCATACAACAACTCTGGTCGCTCTGGAGTAGATGTCTGACATGCGGCCTACCTGCATACTGCGCTCCGCCATGTCGCCTTGATTGATGCATAGAGCGTCGATCCACAGTACTCTGGGAATCTCATAGTGTCGAAGATACTTCAAAGCCTCGCCGAGATTCTTGGTCACGGTGATGATCCTGCCGTCGACATAGAGGATGGTGCGGTCGGTAGACTCACCCCATGTGTATGACAAACACTCGTACAGAGGAAACGAAACGGAATGGTCGTCATTGAGGGAGAGATCCACGTCAGTGAGGGTGATTCGGATGGTGTCGTTTTGTAGCCCCGGGAGGAGCGTCAACAGCCTGATGTGATTCGGAGCGCTCGTGATACCACTATACCGGTACTCGTTGTGCACCATGGCTAATTTCAGGGTCCAAGAAAGGCCCTAATGTAATGCTAGTTAAAGTAGGACCTCAAGTTTCAGTTCGTCCGGGAAAAAGAAGTGCGTATTGCGGGGATAATAGCACCGGCCGAGGGGCTTCAGGCAGAAGTGTGGGGTGTAGCAATTCTCTCTCGATACGACATACGCCTCGCCTACATGATACAAGGATAAGTGTGATCAAACCCCGCATGGTGGGGGCCGTTTCTCTCGAACTAAGCTACTTAGACGTACTGCATGCTGGGGCTGGATAAAGCATACGTTAAGATTGGATAATCTCCTGGAGTATTCCAAGATTGGGAGGGGCTTGTCGGCCTGTATCAGATGATTTCGAGGAAAGAGAAGGCTGAGGCTATCGGAATGCAGAGCTTCCACTTCCGGTGAAGCCCACGCTGGACGGATTGAGTTAGACGTACTGCGTGCCGGGGCTTGATTACGGGAAGGTCACGATGGGACGATATCCCGGAAAACTAGGGACGAGATTTGTCGGCATGTTAAAGTGCTTCATTCTTTCTCGAGGCGATGACGGCCCTAGTTATACGATCGAAGTTAGATTAGTCATCGGCTAGCTGCATTTACCACCGTTACAAGCTTCTATATGCACCTACCGGGCCCTCAGTGAGAAGTAATTTTGACTTTTGGACATCTGATTCTATGCCACATGTGCAGCACGAACATATGTCTTTATACGTACATCCCGATCCGGAAAGGAGCAGCTAATAGCCCTCAAAATATATGTACATGGTTTTATTTGGGTATTGTGGAATGCAAAACCACGGTAATTTCTGGACAGCTCTGCCGGCCTATGTTGCGTGAGGCGCCGACCTACACTACCACGCATCGTCCATCTCCTACTTTCATTCAGCACGATCGCATCTCAAGCCTCCTTCCAGTCAAAGTATCCCAAGGGTTAAGGCTGCTTCGTCGATTAATCCTGTGGCCAGCCAACGACTGGACCATTCCTAATTGGCCCCGAAGTGCCGTCTCCCTTAGCCAGAAGTCCAACCCCAGCAAATTCTGATATACAACTTTGGAGGCTTCAATACGAGCCAAGACTGCAGTGGCCCCAGAAATGTCAGAAAGAGCAGCCACCAATTGCCATAATTGTCGGCGCCGGAGAGTGAAGTGCGATCGGCTGCTCCCTCAATGCCAAAAGTGCTCCGACGCCGGACTTGAGTGCATGGGCTATGGGAGACTCATCTTATGGAACAGGGGAGTGGCAAGCCGCGGAAAGATGATGGGAAAGACGTTTGACGAGGCCCCAGTTGGAGGCATGAATGGTGTGAGGGCCATGGAAATGCATTCTGCCACCTCTCAGGCCATGGCCTCTGCGAACAAGACGCAAGAGCCTTTTCAGAGTGCATGGGAATTGAATTTCTCACTGGTTGATCCTCTCTTGCAAGATCTTGATCATACATCCCGACGCTACATTTCCCATTTCGCCTCGCATGTCGCTCAAGACATGGTGATCTACGACCTCCCGGAACAGAACACATTCCATTCATTACTCAAATACATCGGGTCATATCCGATGCTGCGGAATATGGTCATTGCGACGTCAGCCTACCTCTTGTCCAATCGCTTCAGGCCTGATACTCGCCCTCCGACTCTTTATAACGACGCCTTGACGGCAAAGCATCGAGCGATCGGCATGTTAAGGCCAGCGTTGCAAAACATCGAGACGATGGATGTCAACATTGTCCTGGCATCAATTACGCTCTTCATTCTTTTCGAGCTGATTGATTCAGGGAAGAACACGTGGAAAATCCACGTCGAGGGCGCAAAAATGTTGCTGCTCCATTACAACAGCCAGGACATTTACGAGAGTGTCTCTACCCCGTTGGGGAATGGTGCCGTGAATTCTGGTCTTATCTCGGAGTGCATAGTGTAGGTGCCATATTCAATCATTGCACCCTTGCTTGGTAAAGGCAGGATCCCGTGCTGACAGTGGCAAACTGATTTAGGTTTGACATAATTGGATCGACTCTTTCGGGCACAAGATCGAAGTCGCTTGACTATGAAAGTCGTGGTCTTAATCCCCGTCCTTTCGTGGAATTCGCCGAGATGAACAACTGCTTCTCGTTCCCCGCGAAGCTTCTTGAACTCATTCTTGATACATCGAGACTCGCAGACCGAGACCGAACATGCAACGCGAACGTAGAAATAGAAGCAACCGCGTTAATGGAATCAGCAAGAAGCTTCAACCCGCTAATATGGGCAGCGAGGCTTCGGTCGCAATCGCCTTATAATGACATCGAGCAGCGCGTCTTAGTTGCTTCGGCTCTCAAAGCAGCAGTTCGCCTCTTCATCTGGAGAAGCCTCTTTTCGGATATTCCGAATGGCCTGAGCACGGCGAGCCGTCACGCTCTTCTCTCGGAAATCATCCATCATCTTGCGCAGATCGATACTAGGAGCCCTTTATTCAAGGCAACCGCCTGGCCTTGCTTCATCGCAGGAGCGGAAACCGATGACGCCGGCGAGCAGAGCTGGGTCGTGGATCGTTTACGGTGTTACTACAACCTCATGCCATGGAATTACATCATCAGTATGATTGAAGTGCTTGGATTTATATGGTCACTGAAAACGCAATCCAGCGCCGAAAATCCTCAAATTGATCTAAATTGGTTACAAGCGATCAAGGAGCGGGGCATCGATCATTTTGTGGCCTGATACAAGAATACCAAACATCAGGATAGACATTGAAAACGCTATAAAGCCAACACCTTCGCGGGCCATATTTGATACTAACTCGATACATAAGGCGGCGGTGGGCTCTCCCAGTCCGCCTCGTACGCAGGACTGATTGCACCCTCCCCCGAATAATCTACGGAAGACACGAATCGTTGCGCCCGCCGCTCTTGCATTACGATAGGACAAGTCACAGTGTATATCCTCTGCACGTCCTGCCGTTCCACCAACTTGCCCGTCCCTATATCGAAAGTATCCTCACCAACGTAGAAACGGACCTGCACCTTATGCTGAACTTGTACCGTAAACCACTGTTTCAAGCTTGCAGTCGACTCTCGCGATGGTTGTAAGCCAGAGCAGAGGACCGGATGGGCATGCGGTACGCCTGTTTGAGAAGCGTCGGTGTCGTTGGTAAGATCGGTCTGCTTAGGGAGGAAAACGTCGAAGGATTCTTCGACCTCTGCACTCCCCATACGCCTGTTCGCTGGTTTTTCGGACGAGCATCTCGATATGGGTTTGCCCCTCCCTCGGCTGATCGTATGTGTATATTCCGACCTAGACGTGTTGGACGCAGGAACGCGCTCGAGGCCGTCCGTCTCTCCAAAAAGCAGCACTCCGGTCTCTTGAACTTCCCACCGGATCTCCCGTAGTATTTCCCGTTTTGTCTCCACGTGCCCTGTCACCACCTTCAACCCATTCAATCCAACAGTCGTGGGGATTGTTACTCTCGGTCCAAGAACCGGTTCGGAAAAGCGGATATCCACGATGACTGACGACTGTGGAAACGTGACCACGGAGCACTGTCGGAGACTTGGGTTGACGACCCTTTGCCGCAAGACTCGCAACTCCTGGCCCGCCCAGATAGATCGGCCATCTGCGGTGGTCATCTCGGCGACGAGCGCGTACGAAATCGCTGCTAGTGGGATGTTGGTCGTAGGGGGCAGGTGCGGAGGGATCGAAAGGTTGAAATTCCACGTCCCACCCGTGGATCCATCAGAGTGAAGGTGCGCCTTAGTTGGAGCGGCATGGATCGAGTGCTCGACGAGCTTCTCTGCTTCCGCGAACTTGCGCCAGTCGGATTTCTTCTTGAATTGGAGAAAGCAAAGTGGATTTCTAGGGATCAGGCCGTTCACGACTTTGGTGATTGTTTTGAGCTGGCCAATGCGAATGAGGAAGACGTTGATATGGGAGGGTGAGGTGGACGGTAGTGGGCAAGAAAGGGAGACTGATATCTGGCCCGAGAGACATGTATTGTATCCATCGTCATCAGCCGTGAACACTTCCGATGGGGCGTCCAATTTCGGGGTGGGTTTCTTCATATTAAATGACGGCATGTTTTGGAGTCGTCCGGTGTGCTGATATAGCGATACGGGCTGTCAACCTGAGTGAGGGACTAGCTTTCTTCTTAAACATCAGCCGGCGATTTCTCTTATGCTGCTAAGGGCATCATCATATCGACGCTAGTGTCCCCATCGAGCAGCCAAGACGCAAGCCTCGCGCAGGTGGCGGTTGAGTGGCCCCCGTCGTAAGCTTGGGACTAGACACTTAGAGACGCCCTGGAAAGACAACTTGGTTCCACAGTTTGTCAGCAATGGCCTATGTATTGTGGCTGCTAGGAACTTTTCGGTATGACCTAGTAGAATCGACGCTAGGCTGAATAAGGCAGCCAAGACACTAGCGTTGATGAGTGCATCCAGGGTCAGTTTTTTAGGCTCTGACTACTTCGAATCTCTATCGTCGACATTATCAAGCATCAGAAATGCTTGAATGCGCAGAACCTTGTTTCACCTAATTTGAATGTCCGAAAAATGTATCTCCAGGTTTCGGGACTTGGAGATGTTTGTCATTTCGGTACTGCGGAATACAAAACCCCGGTAATGGGCCGTCCCTTTCCGTCTAATCTTTTTGGCTGGAGCGGCTCGGAGCTTCCTCCGGAGCGTTGTTGTGTACCAATTGTCACGTGCATTGTCACGTGCATTCTCTTGGAAGCGAATACGTAAGCGAGCGATCAAGCTACGTGTTGTACTACTATCTGCCGCGTCTACGTGCCTTGGAGGATGCTGGGAAAAACCTCAGTTCCTCCCACTGGATGTTTAAGCGCCGGTAGGCGTGCTTGGAGAACCGTAATCTGCCAGGAGGTACGCACGGTCATCCTCTTGTTCAATCTGAAGTTAGAGTTGAGGTCTCCATACTGCTTGAGAATCGAAGGCTCCAGAATAGCCCTCTGGACCAATCAGAAGGTGGTGAAATGACAGTGGTGGAGGGGGTGTGCGTGTAACTAAAAAGGGTGTGCGCCGAACTACTGTGTAGAAGGGAATGTGGGATTAGCGCACCCCGGAAATTTATGTTAGTGTCAAGACCCGAGCGGTGTTAGGAACTAACCGGCGGTTATAGATGTGGGATAAGAGGGTGTATATATACTATGTACGGTAAGTAATCTAGGCCATAATCTAACACGCAGTTTACCCCCTTATTCTAGGCCTCTTAAAGCCCCAAACAACATCAGAGCAGCAAGCTGTTTGAGACAATTAAAACAAACTCATCTGTCGCCTATAATAGATGAATCAACCCCTCTCCTGACAACGGCTATGAGTTTCCATAATTCAACAGATACCCAACTTGGACAACCTGGATAAAGAAGCGGTTTAGGCCTCTGCCGCCCTCGGTCGGAGGAGAGTATAGCTACAAAAAACATCGCAGCGGCAGTATATCCAGCATGACTTTGCGTATAACGGGCTAAACGTGGGAGCGGTATGCTTCCGTCTCCTCCGTGAATTTAGGATCCCAAGACATGAGTGAATGCTTTGCGGCTACTCCTGGGTATAGAAAACCACAACATAGTCTCCAGTGATAAAACGCTAGAGCTTCCAGAACACATCATCTCAGTGTCCGCAATGAACTTCATAGGCTTCACCCCCGAGACCGCCGTGCAAATCTTCAACAACTACTACACGCGCCCGGACCCCGACCAAAACTGCTACAACTTCCTAGACCATGGCACAGGGCATACCCTAACCCTCTACCACCACCAATACGACGACTGGGACCCAGCGCGCCCCATGACTTTGATAGGTCTTACGACGGAGTTCCAATCCGCGCTCCTCGACCCCGACTTCGCCGCCATCCTCCGCACCGAGACGCTCGTGCACTGGATCGACAACACCCTCCACGCACGCTGGGCCACCTTCATCGACCTTACCATGCGGCTGAAAGCCCACGCCGCGCGCCTCCTCACCGCGCAGCGGAACGCAAGCGTCGACACGACCGACGAGCATCAATGTGAATATGCTGTTGCGCAGCCGCGGTGACTTCACTCGCGACAGTCCGGCTGTGTACCTCCACGGCGAGGAAAAGACGGCGGAGATGTGGAGGGCGTGGGCCGCGCGACGGGACCGGTATGCTGAGAGCTGGCTGATCCAGGTGCAGGTGCCGCAGGAGGTTGTAGACGGCGTGCCACAGGTGGAGCTGGAGCATGGGGAGGAGTGGAAGGAGTATGTGAGGGCTTGTAGGAAGTGTATGCGCCCCAGAATTGGGTCGGAAGTTGAGGGGTATGAGAAACTGGAGCTGATTAAAGGGCATGTGTATACGAACGACGTGGTAGTGATTAGCAGGGCGGAAATTGAGGAGATTGGGGAGGAGAATGTGTTGAGAGTTGAGGAGGAGGAAATTGTGGCGACGCAGTGGTGCTTTTTGCGGGAGTTGGAGGACAGAGAGTGTCGGCTGGAAAAGGCGATGAGAGGGAAGGTTTGGATTGATGTGAAAGGGCCGGAGTGGCTATTTGGGGAGTCGCCTTGATGGGTGAGTCGCTATCGAGAGGAAGGTTCATGATCACGGTGCACGATTCATACAGTACCTCGACGTAAGTCTGTGCACCTTTCCGTGAAGTCCCTTCCAGACTCCTTATGATATGTACATCTACCCCATGCGACGGCAAAAGAGGTTAACCAGAGGCGTGTCGGTCTGCTCCGATCTATGCTACCCAGGATTGAACGTATTTCCAATTTCCTCTTAATGTGTCAGAGTACCTTACACAGTAGCAAGCAAAAGTGCATAGACTTAGGTGTAAGTAATGCGTATTAGATAGGGTTTCTGGGGTGGAGCAGCCCGACCAAGTTGCGCTTCAGTATTAGGACATAAGTTTGTGCACTCTCTTTTGCCTTTGCTTGCAATTTGTCGTCCAGACTCCCGATGATACATCAGGCTCCCCGATCGGAACAGTGGGGTGCAAGTGTGTGGAGCTGCTCCAGACGGCACTATGACAACTCTTACATCTCAGCTGTATCCCTAATGGAAGTCGAAGGACTTCAGACAATGGTGAGTAGGAGTGCACAGACTGATGTCCAGGCACTGTACTGAATGTTAGTTATGACAAGTCTCATTCGCGGCATTAGGAGTCTGACATCGTGTCCGGATTTCTAATGAATTATCGAAGGACTTCAGACAGTGGCAAGCAAGAGCAGAAAAATTTATGTCTAGGCAATGTACTGAATGTCAATATATGGCCGTGTCTGGTTCGCGGTCTCAAGAATCTTACATCGTATCTGGATTTTGATGACGCAACGAAGGACCTCAGACAGTGGCAAGCAGGAGCAGAAATCTTCATGTCTAGGCGCTGTACTGAATATCAATTTATGGCCGTCTGCTTCGCGGTCTCAAGAATCTTACATGGTGTCTGGATTTTGATGAAGCAACACAGAACCTCAAACGGTAGCAAGCAATAGTACACAGCTTAATCTCCAGGCACTGTGCTAAATTCAAATTATGGCTTCGTCTGGTTCGCGGCCTTATGAGTCCTACATCGTGTCCAATTTTCAAACAGTGCTTTGTAGCACTTCAAGCAGCGGCAAAGCGAAGTCAAGGAAAAGAATTTGAGAGCCAGTATTGAAGCCACTAAGTAAAAAGCAAGTCGCTATCATCATAGATGGGCCTCTGCCAAGCATCTGCCCCTTTTCGGGGAAACCCAAAGCATCCGCAAAATTATTGTCCCAAAACCAAGCCCCAAACTTTTGTGACCCGTCCCCAGTATATCCCAAAGTGCTGGGCAGCCCCAGTTCCCAAGAGATAAAAGCAAACGCATCCGCAAATGATAAAGATTCAAACCCAAACGCCATATACTTTTGAATGCCATCCCGACCTGCCCTCTACTAACCGTGATGTATCCGCCAGGGATATCTCAAGCAGCTCATCTCATCCCCATGTATTATGTCCCTTCAGTCGAGAACCAAGGGATCGTACCAGCCACCAGGCACCCTATAGAACCATCAGCACCCACACCATCCACAATGGACACAGAAATACTTACACTCTTCTCTGACGCTTCCGCTGATTAGCCCTAGCCTGGAACTTCGATTCTGCCAACTTGACCTTGGCCTCATCGAGATCGATCCTCAAGCGCCACATATCCTCGTCTGCAGCATCGTCGTCAATGACCTCGACGTATTGGGCCGGGCGTTTGCGGCGAATAGGCATATCGATATCAGGTTCAGTCTTGATATCAGGTCCGGTCTTGGTCTCCCGTTTAACGTAAGATACGAACTTGATGTCTGGTTCGCGCTTAATGGATGCCTTGGATGGAGGACCGTCTGTAGCGGCTGGGGAAGTCGGGTTCGCCTTGTCATCTGTAGTCTGAGGTTTAGTCGTAGTAGACTTGAAGCTAGGAGAAACGCTGGGGGATATGTCTGTGCCATCGCCGAAGAGCGAAGCTTTGTTCTGGATGGTTGAGTCCCGGATGGTTAACCGAAGTCCATCCCCCTGAGCACAGACGGAAGTCGGCTCGGCTTGGTCCTGTGACGTCTGAGGCTCAGTCGTGGTGTCTCGGCCGGTGGTTTCTGGTTCAGGAGAGTTTCCGGTAACGAACAGAGTGGACTCCTCTCTGGCGCTCTGTGTGATTGGGTTTGAGGCGTCGCGCTGTGCATTGGGGTGGGTCAGACGGTGCTGAACAGTGGTAGCCGAGCCCGTGAGTGCGCCCGTAGTGGCGGTCCCGTTCTCAGCGGGTTGCTCGCCCGACGTGGGGACATGGGAATTCCTAACAAATGGGCGAGTAGCGGTGGTGCTGAGAGCACTACCATCACCATCACCATCACCATCACCATCATCGTCATCCGAATCCTCATCGTCATCCTCCTCTTCTTCATCATCATCATTCTCATCCTCTTCGTCTTCGGTCTCGCTGTCGCAGTCTACTGGGGTAAGTGGGCAACCCGGGGATCCTGCCTCCGTGGCTATGATAGGGCCTAGAGGTGCGTACGTTTTCCCAAGCAGATGTCCGAGGTCTCTTAAATCCTGAGTAGCATCGTCAGTCATCAAAAGAGACATCGGAGAAAGAATGCGATTGCGTGTGTCAGAATAGACCAACTCACCGTCGGACAAACAGCGGCCCAATTGTTCACCATCTCTGGGTGGGTTTGCTTGTAGTGGGTAATCGCAAGCTTGAAGTTGCGAGGCCAGAGGCCAAGCAGTCCTGTAGCTAAAGCGGCTCTATTATGCTTTTCCTGGGCTTCCACGACCATTGAGAGGGATGCCAAGCCGCCCGCCACATCTCCCTTCGAGCATCGACTAAGCTTTTTCAACTTCCTCAGCACTCCGTAGGACCACCGGGCGGCATCTTCCTCCGTTCGTCGCGGGTTGACGAAACGCACATGGTTGCTACGAGGCACGCGGGCAATGTAGCGGAAGCGCTCGGGGATCGTCTTGCCGATGTTGTCCACGGACCAATTAAGCTTCATCTCGTCGATGATCTCAGCGACCATTTCATCCGTTTGAGGGGTGACTTCGCCCTTGAGCTTCTTGGTGGTCCATGTAGACACCATCTTGACAGGGTGTTGAGAATTCGTGATTGGTGAAGGTGATGATATCGAGGAATAGATAGACCACACCCGCTGCTTCCGTGTGTGTTAGGGTTGAAATGGAAGTCGAGAGGCTGGTACCTAAGAAGTCGGCAGCGGTAGATTTCTGTGGTAAAGAGTCGAGAGGCTGATACCTAAGAAGTCGGCAGCGGTAGATTTCTGTGGTAAAGAGCCGAAAGCCTCTTGTTGCAAGAGGTAGGATAGGAGCCAAAGCGTGATGGAGGTGGAGTGGAGCGTAGGTGATGAGGATGTAGGCGGAGGTAGTTGTAAGTAGAGGAAGTTGTAGGAGGAAGAGGGTAGAGGAGGAGGGGTGTAAGAAGAGCGGTAAGTAGGTAAATATGTAAGTGTAAGATGGAAGGTGAGTAGTGAAGGATGTATGGAAGATGTTGGAGATAGAAAGGTGTGGAATCAATAGTGAGCTGTTCGAGATGAAGGGAGTGAGAAAAGCTGGGTGTCTCAGAGACAAAGCCGAATTGAGATGTCTTTAGACTCGATAAGAGAATTAGTATAGAAGTATGTGAAAAAGAGGGGAGACGCCACGGCGAGGTAAGGAAATAGTGGGTGGGAAAGGAAGAAGACAGAAGGGAAAGATAGAGATCATGGATGGTGAGCGTCGAGCAGACGGTCGACGAGGATGTCTACGTCTATGCAGAAGCAAAAGGTCTAGCTCGGATAAGCTGTGCGCACTTGTTTGCCGCTGTCTGATGTGGTTTAGGGTTTCTTCAAAATTTGTCGGTAGGAAGTTGCTGTATAGTAAACTGAGACTTTACCCTGCTGAGTGTTGACGCGGACGACTCCCAATACTTCCATAACAACATAAGCATCCCGTCCGCCAACATCGTCAGTTATTAGTTGTTGCCTTCACAAGTAACCTGCCCCTCTCCACTCATTCATTTATGCCAAGCTGCTACGGTATCCATCTCAATTGCCCTGCTCTATGCGGCCTCTCTTCTCCTTCGTTTCACTCCTTCACTTTTAGACCTGCATCGCTCACTGCTGATCCTTGTTTTTAGGTTAGCGTGTAGATCTCCCAGATTATGTAGAGCTTCAAAATACTCGAACATCTTCCTTTTGCCCCCCCTAAAAGTTTGCAAGGCGTACATCGATCTATTTGTTAATCTCCGCGAGAACGGTGTCTACTTCGAGTTGAGAGCGGTGTGTAGTGGAACATGGCCCCGGGGGATGCTGAAAATCATCTTCGCCATCCTCGGAGATATTGTCATCGTTGGGATTGGAAGTTCTGGCTGGGAACAGCTGCTCCATTGGGATCGATCGATTCCCATGTTGGACGTAATCGGTTGACGGGGATCGAATGTCCGATGTATCAACGCGGCAGGCCGGGTGAAGCGCAACATTTTGTCTAAAACCCATCCGCATCGCTCGTCTCCGCCGTTTTGCTACGCACCGGCTGCAGGTGTGGTAGGTTTGAACCACGCCTTTCTCATAGGCCCTCGTGAAGCATTCCGGACAAGCGCACCGCCGCAGACAAACTTTGCACATGGCGGTGCTAGTGTTAGGAGGTAGCAGTTGCCGCAGTGGTCGAGGCTGGGAGTTGGCTCTTTTGATGGCGCACTCCTTGCATGTGTCGTGAGTTATTTGTGATTTCCTGATCTTGGTATTCTTGGTTAAATCCGCTGGGAAGAGGTGCTGGGCCTGGTAGCGACTGTACCGTCGGGTGGCCATGGTGGGATAGGTTGATAAAAGCCGGATAGGTCCGCTCCAATTTGCGTTGTCTAGAATATTATCTCTTTTCCAAACTCCTCTTAACGCGTTGGAGTACCTGAAACAGTGGAGAGCAAGAATTATGTTGAGGGACGAAGAGTGGCAATGAAACTGCGAGCGTGAGAAGAGAGAAGCAACTAGGAGAAAAGAGATCGGGAATAGATAGAAAAATATATATGAGGAGGATAAGATATACCTAAAAAGATAAAGATGACACACCTGTTGAGTCTTTGAAGCATAGAATCATCAAAATCAAGTATGCATCTGAACTGTCCCAACCGCATCTATACCCAATCTGCAGAAGATGAATCCAACCCCAATTCTATGCCATGTGCAACCCACCCATCTATCCCACTCAATCAAACCCAACCGCCATAATACCCGCCTTTCTCATTCTCACACCCCCCTTCAACCAGCAACCCACCTAATCCAAATCACAAAGGTCGATCACGATCGGCCCCTCAACCCTTGCCCTCTTCGCCCTCCTCTCCTCTTCCATCCGCTTCTGCCGCTCAATCTCCCTCTGCTGTTTCCTACCACCTATCAAGTCAGCACTGATCGAAGCACAGGAGACAAGGTATGAAAACGCTCCACTTACTTTAGCTTCGCCGCCTTATTATTCGCTAACTCCCACATCATGCGCGCTTCCTTCGCCTCCAAACTCACAGCTTTCAGCTCCATCTGCTTCAGATCGTCGTTGTCAGACTCCTCGGATGCATCGACCGAGTGGGCTCGCTTGAGTGGGTTTACTCCTTCTTCGATTTTGATTTCTGGGTCGGCGCTGTTGTGAGGACCTTGTTCGGTAGTAGTTTCGGGTTCGGTTTTAAGATTCGGGGATTGGGCGTGCTGCTCTGGGGATGGTGCGATTGATGGAAAATCGTTAGGGGAGGAAGATGTGGAAGCTTCGGCGATAGGAGATCCAGAGTCTAGAGGCGCTGGGGGTGTATCAGGATTGGGAGGATCAATACTGTTACGTTGGTCGACAGTGAGAGGCTGATGGGTGCTAGCCAGTTGGGAAGTTGAACTCAGTTCGTTGGTCTCAAATGTTTCGGTGGTAACGATGGGCCGAGCAGCGGATTCATCGGTGCCTGTGGTAACAGTATCTTTCTCCGTGTCGTGGGTGTCAACGGTCGCAGTATTGACATCTCCCGAGGCCACCTGGGTACCTACTGTGTCTGCAGCGTTAATGGTGCCATGCTTGCTCGTGCTCTGATTGTCCTCGTCTGTGAAGTGCAAGCCAAGCATGTAGTCAAAATCATGACCACAATAGGATTCAGTGCTACTTTCGTGGCTATCATCATTTCTCTGCTGCTGCCCATCGGGATCGCACTTTATGCCAGGCTCCTGCTTAGGCGCTCCGAACCAGTTGTTGGAGCCGCTAGCACTATCGGGTTCGGCATCCTCGTTGCGCTATGCTTCATTGTCAGTCGTTTTATGTTACAATAGTCAACCAACTCAACTGAAATCATCATTCTTACCTTGCCACGAATCCTTGTCCAGTTAGCGGCCTTGTGCGGTTTGGTCCACTTGTAGTGGTGTATTGTTTCCCTTAGATCTGACGGGTCCAGCCCACACAGCCCGCTGTCTTTGCACTTGTAGCTGTGAGTGAATTTGTTCTTTGTTTCTTCCTCGAGGCACTTTAGGGCGGTCTCTAGATCATCTTTCGAGCATTCTGCCAGTTCCTCAACCAGGCTGAGAACTTCGTGCGACCATCGCTTAGGATCGTTTTCAACGCAGAAAGGTCGTTTCAATTTGTGGTTTCTTCGGTCGACACGCATGAGCGGCCTGACACGTTCGGGAAACGCGTCCGCCAGAGCCGATATACCCCAGTGGCGTTGTGCATTGCCGATTCTGCTGTCGATTAGGTTTTTGGTGCTTAGAGTAAGCTCGTCGTGATTCTTCTTGGGTTTCCAGCTAGAGCCCTCCTCTCGAAGACGTGGATTTCGAGCTTGGCCCCGTTCGATACCGAGCGACCCGTTCATTGGGCTCGGTAGATTGCACTCTCTTGAAGCATACTGCTCTTCCGCCGGCTCTTTCACTCGTTCTTCGATCTGATCTCTCGTAAGAGTGTCCATGATTCGTTATGACTCGGTTGGTCAGCAATAGATGTCCTGAAAGAGCGAACTGCTTTAACCTACAGGCTGCTAGTCTGGTTGATGTGGGGTTGAGGTTGACCGAAAGAGGTCGAGGTTGGAAGGAAGGAAAGAAATGCAGGAGGAGCTTCACGTTGATTGGCGGTGAGCCGTCGCACGCGGAAGCGGTGAGACGAACAAGACGGCTAAGTGAGAGAAAGTCGGACTTAAGAGGAGGAGATAAAGAAAAGTAAGATTGGGAGCAGGATATATGGCGGTCGGAGAATGAAAGGCAGCCTGATCGATATTGACTTGGAGGGCCTTGGGAGCGATAACAGACCTTGAGGTCTCATTCAGATGGTTGAGAATGTGTTGAAGCACGTCAAACAGCCGCAAATCCAGTGGTAAATTGCCTGGTTTTTCAGCTGGTGTTTGAGTTGCTGATGAGTTTGAGATTACTTTCATATTTGCTTGGTGCCTAGGACCTGTAAGAGACGTGCGAGATTTTACATACCACCAAAGCAGCAAAGTAATGATGATACTAAGGAGAGTAGCCATTTGCTAGAAGATAAGGAGAGGCGTAGATTACAATAACTCCTTCATCCAAACCTGACAGCGATGGGCACTTGAAATCCGTCTCCAGTATATACACTATGATACAATCAAATACACGCCGCTACTATGATATTACGGTCTTTTCTGCTCTACGCCTTTCACGCCGACGTCAAGCCTCCGCTTACCTGAGCCTCTCAGGGCGGCAGACTGCTGCTTAGCAGCCTGTTGCACGAGCCTAACAGCACGGCGTGACATTGAGACGCGGCTCCCAAGGACCAATACGCCAGTGAGAAGAGCAAGACTACCGGCCTGGTGCGTCGCAGCCAGCCAAGTTGGGACCATGTAGATCAGCGTGCTGATACCGAGAGCGACTTGCATACAGACAAGATGGACAGAGCCCATGACGCCTTTCCTGGCATTTGCGGGAAGGATGGGACGGACGCGGGACGAATATCGGGTGTATGCAAACAAACTCATGATGGCCGTGAAGGTGGTCATCGCAAGAATGCGATGATCGAGTTGTACCAGCGAAGGATTCTCGAGCATGTTTCGCCACCAAATGTCGGACTGGTCTGGCACGTGGCTGTAAAACGGATCGAATAATTCCTTCTTGGGTGGGGTAAGTCCTAGACCCATATATGGGAACTCGTTGTAGATGAGACCGGCATCAAGACCAGCGACAAGCGCACCAGACATAGCTGTTACAAATACCAGGACTGAAAGAGCGGTCACAGATCCGCGAAAGAGGCGCAGATTGGGGTTCTTCAGAGTAGCAAATAGCTTCTGGGCGGCTTCCGGGTCTTTAAGGAGGGAACGTTCGCGAAGGATAGAGAGGCCAGAAAGTAGCATGGTGGTATAAACGATGAAAGCAGCGCCTAGATGCGTAGTCAGACGGTACTGGCTCACGCGGGGATGGCTTCCCTTCGCGAATAAATCGTCGTGGAGGCCGCTTTTCACCATCCACCATCCGATTACGCCCTGGAAGCCAATCAAGCCAGATATTCCAATGAGTTTCCAGGCCATCGGCACCGATACCTTGCGCTGCGCAATGAAGTATATAGTGGGAACGACGAATGTGAGTCCAATGACACGTCCCCAGAGGCGATGTCCCCATTCCATCCAGAATATCTGCTTGAACTCGGGGAGGGTCATGTTTGGGTTGAGGAGGGCGAATTCAGGCGAAGATCGGTATTTTGTGAATTCAATCTCCCAGTCTTCGGGAGTCATGGGAGGGATGGATCCGGTGACGGGGCGCCATTCTGTTATGCTGAGTCTATGAAGATATTAGGACAATGGAAATCAAATTCTCGTGCCATTCCATACCCGGATTCCGTAAGCCTAGTCAGCCCTCCAAGAATAACAATCCCAAATACGCTTGCCGCGCTCCCCAATAGCCAGTATGCCACGGCTTTGTCGCTTGTCTCCGGGAAAGAGCTTGTTTTTGGAGTGGCTTTTGCATCTGCCCTGCCGCCAATTGTTCCACTTAGAGTGCCGAGCGGGGATTGGTCACTCGTAGTCGGCCTATGGGTTTGTGTAGACTGGGATCTCAAGACTTGGGCGAAGGGAGATTTTCGGAGAGATGGTCGTATGGCGGACGGGAGGGGAGTCTTGACGCATGCTCGACACGTGAAGAACTCGCGCGTAAGACGAGGAGCTGCCTGGCGCAGCAGCGGGAACGTCGTGAAGATTGAAGCCATCGCAATGGCGGTGGGATGGGAGCACGCTGGAAAAGAGCGAGGGAGCAGCTGTCATGACATTTAGTAGGGCGTCGATTTGGTGGTTCGACTCCGGCCGGGCTTGGCACTTCTCTTCCGCCCGCGCCCGCCTCGGCTCGCTGCAGAGCGCAGGTGCAGGTGCAGGTGGCGCGGGGCGGGGCATGGAAAAGGTGGCACACTAATTCTAGAACAAGCCGTCTCATGTGTATACCTGTTTGCCACTGCTTGCAGCTTGGGCTGCTTCAATATATTTTGAGAAATCTAAAGAAGATAGAAGCTCTTTGCCCGGGGATATGTGGAAACTTGTTGAAGCACTTCATGCAGTGGTAGACAAGTGCATCTATGAGACAGCGTATTCGAAGAGTGCGAACCAAAAGTGGCAGTCCGCGAATCCGTGAGGTGTATGCACACTCCAGCTGTTTCTGCGCTTGTGTGCGCTTGTTTAGCACCGCTTGAGGGCCTCCAGTATGCTATTGCTATTCCTGAAATACCGGGTTTGGAAGGCCTGATAGCTCTCCGGGCCACCTTAAACGGTTGAGTGTGCCAGCCTTTTTCCTGCCTAGCGTGGTGGGGCGGACCCTGGCCCAGCAGGCAAGTGGCAGGTGCTCCCGTCGTCATTCCGCAACACCACGCCGCCTCCCCGCCTCCCCGCCTCGTGCCACCAAATGCTCCTGTGATATTCATGCTTTCTCTTCTTTTCTTCTTTTAGCGCCTAGCGATTGTGTGATACCCTTTCCTCAGCTTGATTCTTCAACATTCCCGCAGCACCAGCCCCTCGATCCCACGCCATGCTCTAGCCTTGCCCATTCACCTTCGCCGCAATCAGCAGCCATGCACAACCAACAGCAAGATGACCGCGACACCTCCGAAGACATCGACCAGCTCATCACCACCTTAGATCTTGACCGATCCGGCCGGACACCCAGCTGGAGCTTCGACAGCGGCACAGGAGCTCCGCAAGACACCGGACCCACCAATGCTCCTCGCCCTTCGCTCTTCTCAAGCGGCCCTCCCTCGAGGTACTCGTCGACCACACCTGCAGCGTCGAGCTCTACAAACGAACCACCTCGACCGCTTCTCAGAGCCGCTTCATCTTCTAATTCATCCCGACCACTCGCTGCACTGGCCGGTTCCGCTGCGGGTTCAACGAGGACAGCTCGATTTGACGAGAACTCTCCCGCAATACTACACAATGACGAGGAAGTCCCGAGGGCGGAGAAAGATGCCGATGATCCTACCATTGCTCTAGACACTCGGAGGCCTCTCGAAAGGCGGGAGTACACGACCCTGACCACCTTGAGCCGCCTTTTTGCTTCCCAAACTTCACCCGATGCTTCAAGAGCACCCTCATATGGCCAAGGAATGGGCCCCTTGCGAAGACGACGTATGTTCATGTCTCTAATACTCCCAACTTTTGCTAATATCCATAGCTCTCGCATCTGAAGTAGCCTCACTGCCTGATCACCTATACACGAGAGGTCTCCTTGGCGGACGCCACTCCGATATCACAATCATTGCCTTCGGACACAAGTACGCTCTACACCGGCTTCTTCTAGATCGTGCACCCTTCTTCACGACAGCCTTGTCGGAACCTTGGCTTGAGAGTCGTGCCAAGGAGGTCACCCTCCATCCGGAAGAGATCGACCCTAGTATCACGCAGACTGCTTTCGAACTCGCCATCAAGCGACTATACGGCTGTGACATCTCACAAGAGGAAGATGCGGAAGCTATCGGATTATTTGCCACTGGATGTTGGTTGGAGATGCGGGACCTGGTCAACTCTAGTATTGATGCCATCTTACGTCAGATGAGTCCCGAGACGCTATCACCATTGATAAAGCTGGTCACTGCAAACTACTATGGCAGGTCTGGCGAGAGAATATTAGCTTCTGCCAAGTCTATGCTTTGTCGCGATGGATGGGAGATGCCTCTGAAATGTTGGGACGGAATACCTGGTGACATCATTCGTGAAATAGTTGGCGGTGACGGATTCTTCGTGGATGGCGAGTGGGACCGGTGGGTGCTCGCAAAACGTCTCCTGGATCGACGACTTCGACGAAAGGCGATTGAGGCAGGACTGATCGAACGAGGAAAACATCCGACATCCAAGGCTCCGGATACGTTGTCGATGATGGCTGTACGATTTGACGCTGTGTACCGCCAGAACTCCATCACTACTCAGGGGGCTACGCCGGATAGCCATCATAAGTGGCTGTCCCTCTACACCAATCCGGATATCGAACCTCTTCTGGTACTTCTGGACGAAGGTATACACTACGTTCATCTCGATTTTGAGCAGCTACAGTTCATTCGCCTTTCACGTGATATCCTAGGCTTGCCCGTCATGCCAGAGAAGGTTATATCCAATGCGCTATGGAACCAGATGGAATTACGGCAAAAAGTCCTCAATTCTGGGGATCTGGACATGGAGCTTGGCCTGAGTAAGCCTATCGAGGACTCACCTTCGAACAATGAAGGTGCTACTCCTGTCCAGTCTCCAAATCATGCACGGCCGGCATCGTCGAAAGGAAAGCAAACGGAGGGCAGTCATACACCCGAGGAGGATTCCGACGACATGGATTCTGGGAGCTGGGACGCCAACGGAAAACCACGCAAATTCTGGATCCCAAGCACGGACTGTAACATTGTCATGGGAGGCAACTCGGAGCCAGTGGTCACCACTTCGAGCGCGTTCCAACGACACGCTTCCCGTCTCTCTGCCACTCTTCAACCAGAAGACGTTCAATGGGCTACCGACTTTGCCTCGTCTCCAGGGACGTCGTCTAATCCCAACACACGGACTGACTATCCTGCTCGACCAGGGTCAGCGAGTGGTAGCAATGCTGGCCAGCCAAAGCCGATTGCATATACCCATTATCCACCTTTCCGATTCTCTGCCGAGTTTCCCAATCCGCGTCTGCTAAAGGAGAAGAAGCGTGTATACTCTCGGACTGTGTTCTACGCAGGCTCTCTATGGAACATATATATCCAGAAAGTTCGGTCTGCAAAGAACGTCCAACTAGGTGTGTACTTGCACCGTGCCAAGGAACGGGAAGCAGAGGAAGCAATAGCTGGCGTTGGAAATGGCCTCGCACAGAACAGTATCGGTACTGTCGACGAGCGTATCGGCCTATTGGAACGCGAGATGCTTCTACGCAGCGAACGACGCGACCGTCGCCGCGGCCGTGGCAACGCCCGTGCCGATCAAAACGATAATCCTGGTGAAGAAGACACAAGCGGCAGCGGTGGTGACCCCGACGCAACTCTCGTCTCCACCGGCTCCCGCAACCCCCTCTTCACCAGTCTCTCTGCCCAATCTCGCCGCCGACACCAACTCCCACTTCAGGGCACATCCCCTTCCAGCGCCAACTTCTCCGGCACGGGCGCTCCATCACACCATCAGAACTTGCAAGGCCTCTCCACCTCTCCCCCCTCAGACGGCGACATCGTCTACCCCTCTTACGCTTACGCCCCCTCACTTCTCTCCTCCGCCTCGGACACAGACACTGACTCCGACCCGGAGACTAGCTACCCGAACCCCTCCCTTTCCCTCCTTGCGCCTCGCAACCTTAGCTCTAAATCCAAATCACGTGCCGTCAATCCAACCCTCCCGCCGTACGTCGACGCACGGCCCACTATCAAGACCTACTTCAAGATCTACAGCCCGAGTAAAGGTGGCAGGTTGCTGAGCGTGTACGAGAGCGCGCCGGATCGGTTCAATTTCAGTCAGAGCTGGGGGTGGAAGAGTAGCACGCTGATGCTGGATGATGGGGTTATGGGGGGAGAGGTGGATACAGAAAGGGGGTTGGACGGGGTGGGTGAGGGGAAGGTGAGGCGGGCGGGGGATGGGAAGTTGAGGTTTATGGTTGTGATTGGGAATTTGTGAGGCTGTGGGAGTTAGGGTCGATACGGGACTTCTCTAACCTTGGCGAGGCGTTTTCGGTTCGGCTGGGGATGGAATGGTGTGGTGGTGCAGTTTTCCTATAGCGATCTTGCGAGGGGAAGGCGTTGAGGTGTTTTGTGTGGTCTGGTGGATTTGTTGGTGCGATGGGATCATGTGGGGATGGGCTATGTGTTACGATGATTAAGATTTTGCTCCAAGAGCGTACGAGCGAAGGTGATCATGCTAAGTGTTCTGTGCAACGTGAACCATGGGCGTGGTGATGGGATACGTGTGTAGCAAGCTATTCCCGCGAAGGCTGTTGCATTTAATTCTGTCTCTACCTGCAGGAAGTATAGTCTGATCCTATTGTTCTAGTTTCCTTTTATGCCTTTTTTCCGTCTCAGGCTCAATCTTCCTAAAAATTCCGCTCCCCATTCACAATTGGAGGTATCGTTTCACCATGTTTCTCCTTTGCTCGCGCGATAGAATCCTTTGGAGGTCTTGGCATTTTGGTGGAAGACGAAAACGAGAATGGATTGGAACGAGGAGGGACGAAAGAAGTGGAAGAGCGAAAAGAACGGGAAAGCGGTGGATATTCCCGCAAGCACAGCGTATCGTAGCAAGAGCGGAACGGTGCTCCGTTGCATGGCCGGTAGCCCATAACTGCTGCCCCATATTTCGCGTACAGTTGACAGCTTGCAGAGTACGACTGTATCTCCCACGACACAGCTCTCTACCGTTCTTTTTTGCTATTGCATCCATCTCTCACTCCTCTCTTGTGCTCCTACTCGTCTCTCATCCCACAATTCTCCACACATTTTGTCTCTTTTTCAAGCTCACAAACGCAATGAGGGCTTTTCTTCTTCTATCCGTGGGAACGACCATACTCGCTCCTATCATCCATAGCACTCCCATCGCTCCCTTCATTAGTCCCGATCCAAAGATCCACTGGGCATCTTTGGGTGACTCGTGGGCTACAGGGGTGACCTGGTTTAAAGATATCGATTATGATGAAGATTACGACGAATTGATCTGTTGCAGACGGTTAAAAGAGGCCTACGCATACCAACTGTCACAAAACAATGACTTCTTTCACGTTGGCAAGCAGGTCTTCAAATGGCCAGCTTGTTCGGGATTGAATTTCGGTGACATGGAGGGCCAAGCTCGTAGATGGTTGATGGTACCCTTTTCGCGACCATAACGTATGCTCCACCCCTTCCCATTGTTAAGTACGCTAATGGCAGCCTAGGGTGGGGGGAAATTTAGCTGGTTGGGGCCCCCTAGTAACAGCGTGTATCTTCGTGCCAGATCTGGAGCAGACCACCTGCAGCCCCAAATGCCCCGACCCTGCGGGCGACTGCTATAAAAAAATAGACGACTCCAGGAAGACATTGACCAACGAAGACGAGTTTCTAAAGAACTACGTAGAAATGCTGGACAAGGTTACAAATAAAGGGAACGAGAAGGATTGAGAGTTTTAACTATGTGTCACCAAGTTAGTGTCTTCCATTTAAGTCCCCAATTAATACCAGATTAAAACATCTCTCTTGCAACCACACGGTTATCAACGCTAACATCAAGTGTCTCAAGCTACACTCATCCTTTCAACATTGATCCGAACTAGTGTGACGAGGAAAGTTTCGGTACGCTCTGGCGCCGCCCAAAACTCACGTCTCGCCTCCGCCACGACATCAACGACCTTGCCGAGCTCCTCAAGCAAAAAATCATGGAAGGCGTGCAACGGTTCAAGGACACCGACCACAATGGTAACAGTGTGTATTTCGTCGAGATAAGCAAATCTTTCGATGGACACCGCTTTAGCGAGAACGATCATAACATTACTGATCAATGGGACAGTATACCCACCAGAGACAGGACTTGGATCTACCTCCCTCCACGACCTCCATGGAACGACCCTTGGGTTGTGCCTGCGAAGCGCAGAAAGCCCGTACAGCAAGACATAGATGACTGGGTTAAGCAGTATCCGGATAGTAGCATAGGGACGGACGGGAGTGGTTCTAATCCAGATCGACCGGGTATGTGAGTACATTGCTTCACCAGACACGGATTTCAGTCAGTTTACGTATGGTAGAATCATGAAGACTTTCCATCCCAAAACCTTGGGATTTGGAAGCATGGCGGACAATATCCAGAAAGTTGTCAAAGACAGGCTGTGAGGAGGCTTGTTCTCCCCTTCCCACGGGATTCCCCACATCCACCTGCCAACCCAGCCCAAACAATCCTCCCCTTCAAGGCAACTCTGGGCCTGCCAAGCTTCCAAAAAGTAGAAAGCCTTTAATCGCCCATCTACGGCGTCATCTCGCCATTTCCGACATTCGCACACAATGCCACAACCACAATACCTAGCCCTAAACTGACCGCGGGATGGTATTCGCCCAGGTTATGAGAACATATGGATGAGTCTTTGTGGGTTTTTGTGCGAAGGGTGGGCGTAACGTGGGCGGATAGGCGGATGTGAGTTGGCGACGTCTGAGGTAGGCATGGTAACCGTTTCACTTGGGCTGGATCCGTTGACACAGTTGGAAGGTGCTTGGAGGTGTTGATGTGACTAACTTATTTGGGATTGTATACTCTTTTATTGCCTTCTCATCTGAATTAGACTATCGGAAGCATTGTCTGTGTTGTATTGAGTGGTTTAATAGGGAAGCATGCCCTTTTTGTCTGTATGGCCGGGTTAATAAATAGATTTAAGATAGACTATTGCAAGTGCGTTAGAATTATCGCCTGACGCTAGTGGTATGGCATAGGTCTGGCCGAAATAGGCACCGAGACCTTCGTGTTCTTTTATATGGTCCATCCATTTCAACGCCCAGGTACTTGTCCGGCACCCTCTCAACAAACTTGCTTCCAATGCTCTTCACGAACGCCAAATGTTGCGAAGCTACTCAAACTTAGAGCAAAGACACTTGGCCAGTTCATGTTCGACAGGTTAAGGCCACTACCTTCTTGCCGATTGTACCGATTACGATGGCGTTGAATGAGTTGGGTAAGTTGCAACGTTTCGTATTCAAACCTCAACGTTTGGGTCTTGAAAAAGGTGTGTGGGCGTGGACTTTGGTTTTGGTGTACTCAAGTGAGCTTTGATTAGCTTCTCGTCGACTACAATCTCTCAACTACATCGAGCGACATACCTATACAGCTCATTCAGCATTTTGATGATGCGTTATTGAGATGATGCCAAAATACTGACATCCGTTGAACTTCAATTGCATTTCGTAGGGTGTGTCGCGATTGTCCTTTGTTTTGCGGCAAAAGGCAAAACTGCAAAAACACATGTCAGTGCCTAAAATACAGCGGTAAAGCGTTTTGGTAGGCTTAAGAGTCAAGGCTCGTGAGAATTGGCGTCCAATAGGAACTTTTGCCCGTTCGCCTGGCTCTGAAATTTGAATGACAGCTTATATACTTGATGCGGTTGAAAGCACTTATCACAATTGGGTTACGTCACCGGCACAATTAGTGTGATCAAAGCACCCCTCTTTCATCCGACGAGAGCACTGAAATGCAGCTTGATGTAATTTGTTATGGTAAAGTTGATGCTTTAATTCTAGCAGCTATATAATACAACCATGGAAAAGCCTAAATGGAATTCAGGATGTCATCGTCTTCGGAGAGGCATTATAATTTGGATGAAAAAAGCAAAAGCATATTTCAGGGGTGAGTGTTCACCAGACAACACGAGGGCATCCCAGATCGGCACGGCACTCTTGGACGCTTGGTTTATTCCCTCCGGGGTTAGCCGTGGGCGCCTCCACGGATCAAGCACGAGTCAAAATGTGATACGGTAGGATCCAGCCTGTGGCCCTAGGCTCACTTTCCGTTCATCTCGCTCTGCACTGCATTTTGTAACCAACATCATTTCTACCCCAACTTCTACCTCTACCGCAAATCTATCGATCATCTTGTTACCGTTTTCCAATGCCATTGCCAGTAACCCCTGCGAGCGAACGGACGGGGACCACTCAACGGCGAGTATGCGAACTGCTTCAGCGGAAGAAAATTGGATGGCAACATGATCTATTCCTCGCGTTGCTACGTGAGACACTGTCAGGAGAGGGCCATGCCAATGCTCGCTTGAACTCGGGTTGCAGCAACCTAGGATCAGCAACTCATACTCGGCCCTTCACCGGTTCTTCGAAATTCGCTTCGCGAACAACTCGCTCAACACAAATACTAGCTCAACACCAACACCTAAAATCACCAGAATCGACCCCTTACACAACCACAACGCTTTTATAGCATTAGCTAGAAATCTAATAGAGTGTATAGTGGTGCTAAGGAACATTATTCTAGCATATAAACTTTAAACCTATGCTGGTTCTTGTGTTACTTAAACTGTATACTATAAATAGTACCACCTCTTTTTAACGCAAGAACTAGAAGATGAATTAAGTAGCGCTCTTAGAGGCTTATCTATAGAGGTCTACTATTTGCTCTATTAATATTTCAGCTTATCATATATAGTGGTTGTGATTGTATATAAATGCGGATTTGGCTGATTTTGGTGGGGTCTTCGTTGAGCTAGTATTTGTGTTGAGCGAGTTGTTCGCGAAGCGAATTTCGAAGAACCGGTGAGGGGCCGAGTACGGTTCGCAATCACCTGCGTGCACACCACCCCAGGTATCCCTTACTCTCCCTTTCTCTTCTCTCCCTTTCTCTTCCTTACGGAGTTGTGTTGCTTCCTTGCTGTCAAGGGAAGGGAGCGTCCTAAGGGGTGTGGCTTCCTTGCTGTCAAGGGAACGACCAAGGGAGCGCCCTAAGGGGTAGTTCATCTCGTTACTCTATATAGTCCGCCTTTACAGCATCTACAATAGAGCAGAGTTCACATCAATTTCAACCTGAGTCTTGAGCATCAAGCATATCAGAGCGGCCATTCGAAAGATACCCCCCCCATCGGCGCAACGGACCGCCAATACATCATCGAGTTCCCAACCTCATGGGACTAGCACTGGCTTGACCCAGCTGCAGTTCAGCCCTATCGCGGATCATAACCTAGTCGATGAAGAATTCTTGCGGGATATGGCGGGAGATACAGACAACTCGGGCTCGCTTTACGAGGATACGAGAGATGAGACACTGGACCAACACTCACCTGTTCCCAATCGTACTCGAGCAAGCCGAGCAATGACACAAGTTGATTCCACAGAAGAACTTTATGTCAATGCACCTATCCCTAAAGGAATGAAAACAATACGGCGTTCTGCGAACGATCGCAACGAGGTGAACGATGACAGCGACAGGAGATCCGGCGTACACGGCACATCCCAGTCTGATAACAACGCCCAAACTTCTCCAAGACCCGAGACATCCCTTCCTTTGACGGATCCTATCCCAGAGCTGGACCCCAACATTCCATCTCCACCCGGGGGCTGGGCTTATGCCCTAGCTAGTACACCGCCTTTACGAACAGTGATGCATCGTTCTTCTTTGCCAGCCTTTAGAGAGATGGCAACAAGGCCGATTAGGGAGCCTACAAACATGCTTGCGGATGAAACGCGCAAAACGCGGAGCTTTGGTCAGACTACCGCCGGCCGTCGCCTTCCGTGGACTCCTGGAGAGTCTGCCCCGGGAAAGAGCCTCGAAAAGAGAACCGCTAGTGCACACGCAAGTCTACCAGATTCCGGTCGCTCCAGTGCGCCAGCTCCTACATACGTCGGTGTTGCTGACCGTCCCTCTCTGCCGATCTCTACGGAGCCCGCATCAGGGGCACATATCGCAACCAGAACGACACGCTCCCATGAGATAACCATACATCCAGACGTGGTTATCACCGGCCATCGAAGTGTTAAGAATGATACTCAGAACGGTACACGGGAAATCTTACGTGAAAGAGAACTGAAAGTAAACCTTCATGTCATCAAACGGTCCGCCCTCCAAGCTGAGGTTCGGAGGCTTGCGTATCAAGCCCAGTGTGCGGAAATACAGAGGGAAATATGGAAGTCGCACGAAGAGGAGCATGAAGCGGAGCTCCAGGCACTTCAGCACAGACATTTGAAGAGGAGAAGGTGGGAATAGAAGGAGTCATTGGACGGTACACAACTTTGAGCCCCGACGCATGACACATGTATGAAGCTAACAGCAACGAAAGTCTGGCTGAACGCTTGAAAACTCAGGGGTAATGTTCCTATATTGGGAACTTATATTGAGACGTAAGGTTATTATGTACGTGGAGTATGAATACATAACTTGGTATATTGTTATTTGACATCATATACTTCGTAATGTCTTTGGCTGTGTTAGCAGCGTGGAAAGGCCAAGTTAGTTGGATTTGGATTATTATATGCCCAAACCTTTCCATTGGGTTTGTTTGAATTTTTGTCCAAGGTCTCGACAGCATATCGGATTTCTTAGGCGATGAATGGTAATCCTACCGTCGTATTGGGCGGGATATTTGTGACTTGTAACCTGGAGAGAGACTTTTCGGGGGTGGAATTCTCAGCGAAGTGAATTTGGAGAAAGAGCAAGGCGAATGCTATGGGTATTCACAGCTTGGAGGCCCCGTAGAAAATACGACCGCTAGAATCTAAAGGGGCCAAACATGAAGGAGGCATGTACTAACGGCGAACCAATCAAATCAATACCGACTTGAACACTATGCAATATGCACGTGCTGGTTATTGCAGATTATAAGCTCACGCAAAGCTAGGCACAATCTTCCCAGCAACCCTCTCCATGACCCGCTGCAGCAACAAGCTCTCATAAACATGTTTTACCCACTCGCATACCACCGGCCGCGTAACTGTCGGGTCAATGATTTCCTCAATCCCAAAATGGTTCGCGGTCCGCACCGGGTTCATCAGTCTTCTATACTCTTCTTCCAAGTCTCTGCACCACTCTTTACGCTTTTCGACGCCTTCTTTCCGCTCGATTTCTTTCAGCTCATAAGAGTGCCCAACCTCGATCCCACCATCAAGTGGTAGACTTCCCCACTCACCACTCGGCCATGCCACTCGCATGCTGGGGTCTCGGGCGTCTAGCATGAGGCCACTCGCAACGCCGTACACACGACGTACGACGACGCTGAAGATGGGCATTGTGGTGCTGCAGTAAGCGAGGCCGAGGGCAACGCCGTGCCGCATAGTAGCCGTGCGTTCGGCCACAGTACCGATGGCGTAGCCCGGGGCATCGACGAATTGGACCAGTGGGAGATTGAAGACATCGAGAAATTTCAAAAGCCGAGTGACCTTTTGTGAGCCAAGTGCGTCGATGGCGCCGGCGTTGACTTCACAGTTCAATGAGACAATACCATCGGGATGCCCATCGAACCTCGCGAGGTCGACGATGGCGGTGGTGGCCCATAAAGGACCTATCTCGAAGAAGCTATCCTCATCGACCACGGTGTTGATGATTTTCCGGGGGTTGTACATTCGCTCTCGCTTGCGGAGAATAATGGAGCGTCGGTCAGGTGACATGCGATCTGTTGGGTCTTCACAGGTTATGACTGGAGGCATTGCTGTACCGCAGTCTGGTAAATAGCTGAGAACGGTCCTGATCTGCTCGAAACAACCTGCTTCGTTTGGTGCAACGTTGTCGATTGTGCCGTCAGTGCAATGCATTGCGGGACCTCCGAGATCGGGAAAGCTTAAGCCTTCTTCGGATGTTGCGCCTTGACAGTGTTAGTAATTGCTACGTGGCTAGTGAATTGTATTGCTCACCAGCGACTACTTGGGGTCCAGCATTGAATAGTGACCCTACGTCGTTCGCCATCACGGAAAAGTGGCAAGCAACCACTCGAGCAGCGCCTAGACCAATCGCTGGACCTACAACAGCACCCAAATTTTATATACCAGCGTTTAATTGCTGAACAACCTAAGTGAATAATGGCAGAGGTGGCACGTATGAGAATCCGGTTGTCCTGATGGTTGTTACAGATCCACCACCCGAAGAGCCGTCCACGAGTTTAACTATCGGAAGCTTGGGGGCTATTGCAAGCTTTTCCATATATATCTAAATAGGGTGTTAGTAGAGCGTAGCTGTTAGACTGGATGTGGCCCTGGATGTCGCAAAACTACGCACGGTCTTCTCCGTCAATGCACCATCAGCATGTCCAGCCCGAATGGAGAAGTCATCAGGCGTGAAGACTATCTTCCGGCCTCGAAGCTTTCCAAATCCTGCTACGGTCAATCTTTGTATCTACACCCCTCAAGACGACGTGAAGTATACCCTGGACATTATTCGACGGCACAAACTCCACAGGCTCTTCCTTCACCCCTCCGAGGTGTTTCCATTTAACAGTGCCACTAACGCTTCCAACCTCCCGGAAACTCCCAGGATCCAACAATTGTTCGACACGTTCCCTCACCCATAGCTTCCCTGCCTGTTTTTGCCGCACGTAGCCTCTATTGTTCGGATCTGGCGTCGCAGCAATCTCCTTCAATGCATCGAGCTGACCGAGGATGTCTGAATAGTCCTTGGGTAGGTCGGATTCCGCACCCTTTCGCCGGCGTTTCTTGGGGGTATTTGGAGAGGTTTGGGATACGTGGGAGGAGACTTGGGCGAGCCGTTCTGCGGCGGTCGCATTGCGAGTCTTTGGCGCGTCGTGGGCTTTGGGTTCCTCGTTGTCATTTCCGCCCGTCGTGGATAGTCGTTTGTATACGTTTCAATGCTAATTGGGGGCTCATCGAGGGGAGCAAGAGCGTGTTTTCACATTGCTGGAGGATGATGGAGGTGGGATGTGAAGCGTGAGGAAGTTGGGGAACCGAGGCATCTTTGAGATGCCTGCCATTTATAATCCACTAGCGAAATTGGGTAAGCTTGGAAGTGATCGCAACCCCGCACCTCAGAAGCATTAGGTCTTAGCTGAATTGAAAGGCCTCAGTACCTACAATATCCTTTTACCCTACTTTGAAGCGCCTGACGTCTCGGTACCGTTAGCAAGATGAAGATATCCAGTACATTTCTTGTGTTGTTGGCGGCCGCGGTTTGCAGGATAGCTGCGAGAGGTATTTCCCTCCCAATAACTTTATTGTCTCTGACGCTAATATGAGTAATGCAGAAGTGCTCCATACCGCCAGCGTCAATTCTGATGGGGGTGACCGTATCTTGACCCCCCAAAACAATCGCGGTGGCTGGGTCAATCCTGAAGACTTGACTCCTATGCCACAGTGCATCGCTCAGCAGGATCAATCCACCTGGCTGAGCACCATGACGAAATGTACCGGCAAACGATGCACCTCACACTTTGGAGTCATCTGCACCCACCACCAATGGCTCACTCAGCTCAGCTGTCTCAGCACTGGATTTTCCCCCGATGTTATCAAAGGTTATCTCCCGTACTGCAGTAGATCAGTACTCGCCAAAGCGCAGTTGTATCGGTGGGTTCGTAGCATTACCGGTCGAACGTGGCTTGTTGATGTCGGCGACGCGAACGAGCTGCAAAATCTGTCCCCCGCCTCCCTGGCCGAAGGGTATGCGGCCGCCAACGTGATTTACAAGGCACCAACATGCTTAACGGGCTCAGTTTCTGCTCTATTAATGGAGCCATTTCAACACGTAATGGCCTCCTGTAGCTTCACAAGCACCACCCGGCATACCGGAAATGCCGCTCGTCCTTGGGAATATAGTGGATCCCTACGGTCCATGGTCTCTCTGGATTTCGAAACTGTCGGTTACGATCTCACCGGGCACAGCGTCGGATATGGCGACTATTTTGATAAAGAATGTTTCTGCGGCGCCTTCACCATAGATCCGAAAAGGGAACCCTGTTCAGGGCCAGGGCAAATAGACTGGACAAAGGAGCGACTATGGATAAATGCCACTTGTGGGTCGACGTCCCTACCCGACAACTGGACAGACCTACTCAAAACCACAGAATTCGCGTATATCCCCATCGAAGACTGGCACTGGCCCACGTGTGTCACAGATATGCCGAAGCAGGTAACCGGACTTACTGATAAATGTGCAACCGATGCGTGTGAGATCGACTCTAGTGGCTACTGCAAAGTCAAGCGCGCAGTAGATAGAGCTTGCTTCTGTCACAACATTAGCTACGATTCCTGCGGAGGTTCATGCCATATTTTCGAGACCCGAATAGACTATGTAAAATGGCTCCACGGTCTTTGTGGCAGTGTGCAGGACTGGCACGGTCTGCCAGATAATTGGCGCCAACTAGCCGCCCTTACCCCCCGCGACATGATTCCATGGCGATGGACTATCAAACCATCCAACAAGTCAGACACCGCCCCCATCACCCGTCTGGGACCTATCGAGGCAACGGAGAAATGTGCCTCGAATGAGTGGAAGCTCGGAAGCTTTGCTCTGGTAAACATAGCTCCTTTTCTTGCCGCATTTCTCAGTCGAAGAACAGGAATCTATCGCATCGCACGCGGCTTTCTATGGCACTCGCATCCGGAGGGTTGGATTTCCACGGGGATTTTAATCGCTGCTCTTCAACTGCTCGCAAACTGGTTCAATGCGTTTCTTGTCCAAAATACCCCTGGTTATGAGGACGTTCCCGTCATTCAATTGATGTTCCTCTGGTGCTCAATGCCTCGGCCTGCTTGGCTACTAGTTTTGTTGATTGGTTTACAACCCTTCGAAGCGATGAATTTCTCCGCAGCCACCTCTTTTTTGTTTGCGGAAATGATCCTCCAGTTTTTATCATCATATTACATGATTCTGACCGTTGATTATGGTCGAGAACACAACTTCTACCTTGGAGATATGGAAAGCTTGGAAAGAGGGGGATCGGCAAAAAATATGTATACTGGGGCACTCATGTGGCTTATTATTATCAGCGTGGCGTTCCTTCTGTCGATGCAGACTATACGTATGAAGGATAGGCTGACTGGATCTGGTAACCTCGATTTACCAAAGTGGCAGAGAAGCAAGCAGACAACATCGAACGTTGCGGAGTGGCCAACAGCCCAGTCGAACGAACATCGCACACGGGCAGGATATGAGTTGCCACATGGGAAAGGCAAGAGTAGGGCCTCAGCAGAAACATCGTTGATGAGGAGCGAGGGAGGAAATTACACAGTGTATGGCACTCTTCCTGTTCAAAATCAAAGTGACTCGGTTTCTCAAAAAGCATTTGCGAAACTACATGCGGTCACGGCCCTAAGCATGCTCCTTCTTTGGATTGCGCAATGGCTCTTTTGGGATGGATTCATTGGTCTTAGTTCCGAAGAGTACGTATTCATGCATATACTCGGCTTATGTTAGCTAACCGGACTTAGTTTCTGTCCCCCTAATCTTGGGATCATCACGGCTGTCTGGATTGCCTTCTTATTGGTAGGCGCTACTATTGGAGCCTAGACTGGGAGGAGTAAATAGGAGTACGATATAATGAATTTCAGGCTGTGAATTAAGACGTCGAATTGGGCAAAAGCGGAGTTAAGGAGGAAGGCCTGATTTCTTTACATCGCTTGGTCAAGGTGTTCCTTTTAAACTTGTCTGAAAGTGAAAAGGGGGTGTACAAGGAGTGATTAGGGGGTGTACCGTTATCCCTCCCCAATGTTTAAGCAGTTTTTATAGCTAAAATATGCATTGTGGAGAGAAGTCAGGGGCTGATCTGTTAAGAAACGTGACCTAGATATAACTTGAGCGTGCTCAAGCGTGACTCTCGCATCAGTAACCCTCACAACTTCGCCTCCACTACCACCCCATCCCCACCTGCCCCCCTAGCCCCCCTTCCCCTTGCTCCTTCCTGCACCTTCCCCAACACCCCCTCAAACGCCGCCTCAACATCATGCTCCGTCAACCACACCGGATCCTCCCTTTCTTTAAACCTAGCTCTAAAAGCCCCATCCCCCTCCCCCACCCCCGTCCGCCAAACCCCCTCCAACCGCTTCCTCGCCTCCCCATGTCCCTGATGCACAGTCCTGAGCACGCGATCCGCCTGCGGGCGGCGCGTTGCCTCGTACAAGCCCAGCGCCAGACTGATCTGCTCTCTCGTTACCACGCTCTCTTCTGCAGTCGGGGTGGTGAGAGGGACTACAGGGATGGTAGCTCGTAGCGCGAGAAACAGCGCGTAAGCGTCATCGATAGCAAGCGACGCACCGGCCGCGAAGGCGCCGCCGTGCGTGTGGGCCGCGTCACCGAGCAGCACGACGCGGGCGGCGGCGAAGGACCAGTGCGGGAGGGCGGCGCCGGCGATGTTGGCGTAGCGGCGCAGGTGGGGGATGATGGCGATGATGGCGCGGGGGGTGGGGTGGAAGTCCTGGGGAGATGTAAGGGGAGGTAAGGGGAAAGGGGAGAGGGGGAAGGGCGACGCACTTTGAAGGCTTCGTGGAGGATTTCTGGGTCTGCGGGGGCGTTCCAGACGATGTCTTGGAAGGGGGCGGTGGGGTCGAGCTGGTTGATGGGGAAGGAGGCTGTTATGGCGTATTCGTCGTTGCCTAGGGGTGTTTTCGTTAGTGGAGTTCTGATGGTTGGGATGGGGAGGCGGGTGTTGGTCTTACCGATGCGGGTTCCGAAGAGCCAGGCTGTTGGGCCGGTCTATTAAAGGGGTCAGTGACTTGTGGGTTTGAAAAGGAGGGCCTTGGAAGTACCCAATGTATTGAGTCTTGCGGTAGATCCTTGATATCAGAAACTAAAGAGTACGGAAATGTTGATCTGAAGATGGCTTCCCCGGTCCAGCTTAATTCATGGTTGGTGACGAAGGCCTTCCTGACTCTCTGACATACGAATAGGAGATCAGTAGAACTCCTAGTGTTTGACTCGAGAGGAAGACAACAGTACCGATTTGATCCCATCAGCACCAACGACCAGATCGGGCGTGATTGACGTCCCATCCTCAAATGAAACGGTCACTTTCTCGTCATCCGCGATGACAGATACAACCCTCTTGCTAAGATGCAGAATATCCGCCGGCAGTTTCTTAAGCAGCGCCTTCTGTAACTTCGCGCGATGCACCCGCGCAAAATGATGGCGCCGATCCTGGACGTTATGGTACTGATCTGTACTCAATATCTCACCCGTCTGCCAATGCCTAGAATACACAAACACACCACAGAATCAGTTTACCACCATCCATATAGTCCACCCTCATTCTAAAAAGCTCTCATTCTATCATACCTGAAAATCATGGGAATCCCACTCGGATTCCGCCATCCCACCGCATCAGTCAACACGTCGTCGACGCTCAGCTTCTCCAGCGTGCGTAGCCCGTTCGGCGCCAAACCAACTACAGCGCCGATCTCGCGGAATGAAGAGGCCTGCTCATAGATCTGGACGCGGAGGGCAGGGTGTTGGCGCAGTGCTATTGCGGCTGTGAGGCCGCCGACGCCGCCGCCGATGATCGCGATGTCGAGGGTCATGGCTGAAGTAGCAAAAATCTTCTTCTATTACTATAAACGAGAAATATCGGTTCTTGAAAGTGAAAAGCGTTCAACAGCAGCGACGCTCCTATGCCCGATGAGAATAATAGAAAAATAGCGCGATATATACCAACGACGTCCCACCCCGGGGACAATGCCGTAGAAGAAACGCCGACGCGGAGATCGGCATCTCATAAAATGGGTCTTCTTGAGCGGACTGGAGTTTAGGCATGATGCTGCGTTGCGAATTCGCAGGGGCAGGAGGTTATCGTGATGGCTCACTTTGCCCAGGCGTTGCGTGCTTCATGGGACAGGGAGCTAGGCGTTCACACGACTTATATCCGAGCTTCGCGTGATAGTGTTAGTCCACTTATGGTTAGCCAAAGCTGGCGACTACACTACAACCGCGTGCGCTTATCTACTTATTGTTTGATACGTCCTTCCAAAGATGGGGTAGTCTATTAACAGCAGATTATTAGAGCTTCTCGCATGGCTCATGTACTGAGTATCGGATGGGACCAGCTCCTCAGATTTATGCTAAGTCGTATATCGTGGTTTAAGAGAATTGGTACTAATTGACCAATCTGCCGGGACAGCTTGAGAGGCTGTATGAATGCTTCCAGTCCATCGGGGTTCCCGAACCCTGGTCATGGGAACGAAGGAGACGCTAATGTAATCATGCAACACTGGCATAGGTGGAAATGGCGACATTGATTAGAGTTGATTCAATCGTTAGTAGGCTCGTTTGTCTTCCATGCGTGAAACCGGCAGTCCTCTGCATTCCATACTAGGGCATAGAATTGATGAAGTCTAACTATTGGAAGATCTTTGGCCGATACTGAATTCGGGCTCGATGATCTTGGATGGGCTAGCATCCAAGGGTGACGGAATGGAATAGCACTTACTTGCTACTCATGTACACTCAAGGTGTTCTTTCCGAGTCAAGCTAGATATTCGGGTAAAGTTTTCGAGTCATGTACCCACTGGTACTCTTTTTTATCTTGACCTCTCAATCTAGAGGCATACTAGGGCCCACTACACGCCTCGAGGGCGCAGAATGGCGACATGTTTTCCGGTTATGAACCCCGGAACAGCTTACCGACGCAAACGGAAAATAATAAGCATAAAGCCCTCCACACCTATCCCTAGAAATGACCTTTTAAGAAGCTGTACATGCAGGTAGTTTGAACTGTCAAGATTTATACGATTGAATCATGGCGGCCTCCATCTCAAGTTCTGCGTCTCATATCACTATCGAGCCTCCGAAGAACGCGGGAGTGGAAGTAACCACGGCGCCTACTCCGTCGCCAGCAGACAAAAATGAGAATGGATCGTCGACCTACAGAGCGGACTTCCTCAGTACCTTTACACCGGAAGAAGAGAAGAAAATAATGCGCAAAGTTGACTATCACATTCTGATGCTATTCGGACTCATTTATATGGTCAAGCAGGTAAGTTCTCCTTCCAAAAAGTACCGCACGAGCTTGAAACCCAACCAACTTACATATAGATCGACGTAAACAATGCCTCAGCCGTCAAAGTCATGGCCGTCGGAAAGCCGACCAACATCCTCAAACAACTCCACATGACTGCCGATCAGTACAACTGGGTCCAATCAATCTACTACGTTAGTCCCTCTCCCAACAAATCTTTGTAACACTTTCCTTAACCCCATGAACAGATCTCCTACATCATTTTCGAGCTGCCCTCCAACTTGCTTCTTAAGCGCATGACGCCCCGAGTCTTCCAGACCCGCATATGCTTCGGCTGGGGAGCAATCCTTGCATGCCATGCCGCAGTCACCAACCGTCAAGGCCTGTACGCCGTGCGCTTCTTCCTCGGCGTCGCGGAAGCTGGACTGTTCCCAGCACTCATGACGCACCTGTGTTCGTGGTACCGCGGGGACGAAATGGGGAAGCCAATCATGTGGCTCTTTGGTATTTTCAACCTCGCGGGTGTCCTAGGCTCGTTGTTGGTGTACGGGATCTCTTACTTGGACGGAAAGCATGGGCTAAGTTCCTGGCAGTGGTAAGTTCTCATGCCCTATTTTCGAACTATTCTGTGGAGGTAGCAATGAGAAGAAGAAACGCGTACTGACACGGTGTAGGACCTTCATCATTGAAGGCGTCCTGACCATGGGCTTCGCAGGTGTCGTCTACTGCCTGTATCCCGACTATCCGCGCTCTGAACGCACCTCCAAGTGGCTCACACCCCGAGAGCAAGAATTCGTCGAACTTCGGCTGACGGAGAACGCACCTCTGACGTCGGACAAGGCTTTCTCGGCCAAGGAGTCCATCGAGACGTTGAAAGACCCGCGACTATGGGCATTCATGTTTACGCAGGTTTGTATGAACACTGGTGGTTTCGGACTCAGCTGGTTCCTGGTAAGTGCGACCTACGTGGATTCTTCTGTAGACTCCTTGAAAATTCAGTGCTAACGGTATTGTCCATAGCCGACTATCATAACGAACCTGGGATTTGTTGGCCTTCCGAGGAATCTGCTGCTCATTATCGTAGGTATAGACCCTTCTCCAAAGTGCTCAGAGCTAACTCGATATAGCCAACTGCTGCTGGAGCGATTTTCGCCATCATCTTCGCTGCGTATATCCTGAAGAAAGCCTGGATACCAAGGCCCCTCTTCACTCTTTCCAGTGCGTTCCATTTCTAGTCGTTCTTCAACAAAGCTGACGATCTCCTAGTCATATTCTTGGAAACCGGTTGCTTCGCCATCTTCCTGGGTACTCGTGCACGCGGTGGCATATATGCTGCCTGCGTCCTAGGGACAATGTTTTCCGCCGCCGAAGCAATCCCTTTTTGGGCTTGTAAGCTCATCCTCCCAAGAAAACCTTAACCTAAGTTTTCTAATTCTGTCTCGTAGGGCGCACATCCTCTCTCAAGGGAACAACCGGTACCGCGTTCGCCTTCGGCCTTCAGTCCGGCATCGGCCAATTAGGCGGTGTGATCGGGCCCCAGATCTTCCGGCAAAAGTACAAAGCCGATGGCTACAAAGTGTCCTACGGGATCTGCTTAGCGGCCATCGCGGCTGGGTTCTTTGGGGGCTGCTGGTGTTGGTACATAACACGTAATCTTGAGACGGATGTGAGGAGAGTTAGGAAGAATAGGATCAGGGCTGCGAAGGAGGGAGAGTTGTATGTGAAAGATGATGTGAAGGCTTTTGAAGAGAGGGAGTTTTATAAGAGAGGAGTACGTGGGGCAGAAGGGAGGGACGCGGACTTGGTTGCTGAAGTGTAGAGAAAGTACATAGAATTTGTGGAGAGACTATGAAGGAGATCGTATGGGAAGAGTGAAACGTCGTCGACGCGTATTTCCAAAATCAGATGAGATGTACAGTTCTAAACGCGTGAGAGAGAATTCAAGTGTTTCTGATTGACCAATCTTGTTGCCATTCGGGGTAGTCCAGAATATCTGAAATGTAGAACCAATGGGGAGCAAGAGTGCACACATTCACGTCGCGTTTCTGTTCAAATCATCGTGTGAAATGAACATAGAGGGAGATGTGGAGGATCACCGCCCGCAAGGCTGAAGGCCTCCCCGCGCCAAGCCATTCTGAATCCACCACAACCCGCATCGTCAACTTCAAGTCTCTACAACAACCACTAAATATACCTCCGAAACCAGGGCGCTCTCTTTTCCGCCTAGGCTCGCCCTCGTACCTCCGCCATGGCATCAAACTCTGCCGCCCTCGCCTCCTTCGTGGAGAGCACCCCGCCAGGAGAGGTAAGCCATTCCCCACCCCCAATGAAGCACAGAATACTGACGGGCTTCCAGCTACAAGATGTAACTAAGGGTACAAAAATTATAACTCCGAATACCATCGTTCTCGTGCCTGAACATTGTGCGCAGCAATCAAGTCCATACTCGCCGACGACCCCTCCGTGCTGCAGTCGCTGGCTCCCGCGTTCGAGAAATACAATGAGGAACAATTCACGACGGTGAAGCTACCTGGAGGAAGCGAGGAGGTACGACGCAACATTCTAAGACGTAGAGGTAGATATTAGAAGCTGATGAAGAGGACCAGGTCATCGTCAGCTCACACAACTCACTCGGCGGAGGACGATACTACGACGTTGCCAACCAAAGCTCGTTTGCGTTCGACCATGCTACACAGGTACCTTACCCTAGTGTACCTACCAGTGATGTAGCTAATGATGTTCAGAGAGCATCTGCAGTCCAATCCCACGTCCTCGAGGGCTCACAATCCGATCTAGTGTGAGAAACCGACCCACCCCGCCATCCAAGAGACAGCGTTAGGCTGACGCTCTCAACACAGCAAATCTCTCCTCAAATCCCTCTACCAACACACACTAGAGCACTACCCCAAGTCCTCCCTAGGCGTCTATCCCATCGAGAACGACTCCGCCATCGCTGTCGTGACCGTTGCGAACAAATACAGCCCCAACAACTTCTGGTACATCCCCCCTCCCTAAAACCACTTCCCTCTTCGAACAAGCTAACCCTTTCTCACCACAGGAATGGTCGCTGGCGCTCCCACTACATCATCTCCCCCTCCGCCTCCACCCTCACCGGCCTCCTCCGCGTCGACGTTCACTACTACGAAGACGGCAACGTGCGCTTGAAGACCAGCAAGCCCGTCTCCGTCACCCTCTCTTCTACCTCCACGACCGAGATCTCGCGACAGATTGCGCTGGCGGAGAAGAAGTATCAGGAGGATTTGAACCGTGCGTTTGGGAGCTTGAGTGAGGGCGCGTTTAAGGCGCTTAGGAGGCAGTTGCCGATTACGAGGCAGAAGCTGGAGTGGGATAAGATTAGTGGGTATCGGGTGAGTTTGGGATTCTTCACCATGTTTGGATGGCGTGAGAGATGCTAACGGTCGCGTAGTTGGGGCAGGATATCGGAGGTGGGAGGTCGAGATGAGAAGCCTTGGTGCCTGTGGAGAGCGGGGGATATGGAGAGGTGGTGCATAGTGGTCTTACAGCTAGCGAGACTATATTGACGAAGCACTTGCATCTCATTAGGAGCGATAGAAAGAGGCAGTCACGTGCCAGATTTTTCTACGGCTTTAGCAAGAGATAACTAAAAAAGAGTAGCATCTAACACTACATATCGAGAGCAGTACAGCGAAACGATATTGATCACAGCCAACACCGCCTTGTCCGCCGTACCACGCTCAGCCCTTAACACTATTTACTTCCCAGAACCTGAAGTTGATCATCATCACTGCCCTTCCATCTTCCCCACCAAGCACCCACCGAGACCATGCTTGCCTTGTGTTGCAATCCTTCGCACCACCCACCCATCATAACCGACATGAGCAACCGGTTTGATCGTCCACTCCTCCGCCCACCCACCACATGGTCGGGTCGAGTTGGTCTTTTGAACCTGCCATAGGACGTCACAATGCGACAGTTCATCTCCCAAGACACCGCTCATGAATCCCCATCGACATGTCGAGCTTGACGAGTTTAAACACCAACCATCAACAGCACGAGCGTACCGTGTTGATGTCTTGCTCTACCCCGGCCCTCCAAGCCCCATGCATTGCTTCTAGGATATATTTTACTCTATTGCGAGCCGCCATCTTGCCAGGTCGATCTTGTTCCTTCTTCTCCTGGTTTAGGGAAGGAAGGAGGGGGTTTATATATCTGTGAGCGAGGAGAGGGCACGGGAGCATCACGCGATTTATAGGAGCTCACGTGGGAGACTGGAGATGAAACAGTCCATGAGACTAGTATGTTCTCCCGATAATGATTTCCCAGAAACGACAAAACGATTAACTTGAGCCGAATAGAACTAATGGTGCTGGTTATCCAACAGCCATTATATCCTATCCACACACCACCACCCCCCTTACAAACCCCATAATAATTAAAAGCCTAGGGTTAGCGATGCTAATTATCACCAGCCCTCTCGTAACCTCCCTCCCGCACCCGGACCCATCGGCCTCTCAAGCGCCGCAGTTTTGTTCTCGAAGAGTGCCTTTTTTTTTTTTCATCCCCCTCTCCGCCCACCAGCCATGTATCCCACCGGAGCGCCTGGTTTGATCCCCTTCTCCACTTCCCCACCACATAGCATGGCCGGCTCGGTGCTTTTGCACGCCAGCCTCCCATCAACCATGGTTTTGCAACAGTTGATCCTCCAGAACACCACTCATCGCACCATTCGTTCATCTGAGGTGCTACCTCCTATGCCCCCAAACTCCATGCATAGCCGCATGGGAAGTTTTGACTCCATGGAAGGCTTCGTGGCGCGATGTTGATGTTGCTCCTCCCTTGACTTCCTTGTCTAGATCCAGGGAGGGGAGAAGGAGGAGGATTTATATATTAGCTGCGAGAAGGGGCGCACGGGTGTATCACGGGAGGTCATAGGAGCTCACGTGGGAGAACACCATGAAGGCGGTCTGAAAACTAGAATATTCTCTCCGCGACCCCTAACGTAGGTGACGGGGTTATTACGGTGGAGGTAGTTATTACGGTTCCAAACATCAAGAAAAAGCCTGGCAGGTGCACTGATTCCGAATGCATGTAAAAGCTTAGACCACCGTAATAACCCCATCACCTACGTTATTCATTAAGATTATAAAAAAATCGGCCTTCAATGTGAAGTAACGAGCCCTTCAAATCCGACGAGGCGGACACGGACGAGGAGAAGAAATCACGCTCTTGCTCAGGCTCGGAGAGTGCGAAAACGACAGTTCGGAATGAAATAGCTTGGAATTAATAAGAACAAGCTTGATGTGTATCCTACACTATCGTATTCGCTCACCGAAGCCGGACAGGCCAAGGCTACATAGCCCAAAATGCTATCCAGGCATTTCAATCCTGTCTCTCAGAACCCAGAATAGTATCCAGGTATCCAGATATCCCAAACGCCTCGCTCGCTAGATGCTGCCCAAGGGTATTAAACAAGAACTACGACATAAAACCCGCAAGGACCTCAAGACATAGAGTTGCCCGCCTTACTCGATACTCATCTTCATCAACCCATCGTTCGTATCCGTCATCCCCTGCAGCCCAATCCGCTTCGGCCCGAGATTCGGCGTCGCGCTCGCCAAACTGCCCCCGCTGTTCGACCGCTCCCCAGCCGCGTGCCCAGTACCAGCTCCAGCTCCCGTTCCGGTGCCGGTCACCGAGCCCTCGCGGCTGGGCTTCTGCGCCGTACCCCAGATGCTGCTGTCGCGCTGGCTTGGGCTCTGGGAGAGGATGGGGGAGTTGTGGACGCTGAAGCTGGGCGAGACGGCGCGGCGCTTGATCGAGTTCATATCTAGATCGTCGTCGCGGCGGCGCTTGTTCGACTTCTTGAGGCCGTCGGCGGCGGTGGGGGGGACGAGGGGTTGCGGGGTTGAGGAGCGGTCTTTGCCGGACTGTTGGCCTCCGGCGATGCTGGTGGATGGCAGAGAGGTGGATGCTGATGAAACGGAAGGCGAGTCCATGTTGATGTCGTCGCTGACAGCAGAGGAGCTCGCGCGGGGGAAGAAGGGTGGCGGTGGGGTTTGCGCTTGCGACTGGGGCTCGAAGTTGCTCCAGAAATTGCGGTTGGAGGAGTTGGTTGGGAGGCCGACGTTGAAAGCGCCGAAGAGGCCTTTGGTGGCTATTGTGGAGGAGTTGTCCAGATTCATGTCGCCCTCGCTGCCTTCTTCCGGGACGCCTTCTAGGGGCCCATCGAGGCCAGGGACTGCGGGAAGGAGATTTGGAGAAGATGGTGTGGAATGGAGGCGGTCGTATTCTGCATCGCTTTCGCGCACCTGGCGGATTATTTCTGCTTCGCGTCGGACTTCGCTGTCGATGGGGGCGCTTTCTTCGCCGAGTTCGGCTCGGATACGGCCGAATTGCCTCGTCTTTGGCTGTAAATAAGTCAGTATTTTGCGATATAGTGAAGTAGGAGAGAGGCCCACTAGTAGGTTGCCTCTCCTCGTGACTGCTCGTCGTACCACACCTGGGGTAGAAGGTGCTGTAGGGCCAACCCCCTCGTCCCCACTGTCATTCCCAGACGATATGTGTAGGTCGTTGGTGAACATAGATAAGCTCTCCCGTCGCGACCCCGCATTCCGAATGACGGCTTCCCTCGCAAAGTATCCGTTGCCTTCGAAGGCCTTTCCGTTCGGCGGTGAAGCCGGTCCCGGGCTTGCCATCGAGCTGTGTCCGCTTGCGCTGCTAGAGCTCTTCCTACTTCTCCCCTTTCGCAACCTCGCCCGTTGTATGCTCAGAAATGTCGGTGCGCCGCCAGGTGAAAAGAGGTTCGAGGTCCAGGTGCTTCCAGGGCTCGGTGCAGATATGCTTCCAAAAGGTGTACCGGAGTTAGTCGATTTGAGGACGTGCGGGGTCATGAGCATAGGATCGTCGTTGTCATCGGGGTCCATTGGGTCGTCGTCGGAGTCGCTGCTAGAAGATTCTGAACCCAGCATGTTAATGCTTCCGACAGAGCTGGAAGCTGCGGTCCTGTCGCCATTGCCAGTCGAGCTCCAAATAGAAATCGCGTGCATGTTTGGTGAATCCATCACGAGTGAATTGGAGCGCCGATTCCGTGATGGTATCATCATGCCTTTCTGGGTAATTGTTGGTGAAGAGTCGGGCGAGGATTGTTCGGCCAGGGTGGAGTGATGTAAGTTCGTGCAAGCGCGTGAGAATTCAGCGCCTCGTGATCGACGCGGCAGGACTGATGCGGGTGATGCGTAAGTGTTTCTAGCGTCGAGCTGAGGTGAAAGCGGTACGCGGTTGGCAAAGCTGGCTGGACTGTGCATGCCTGAGTCGCGCGTGGGCATTTGCAAGGACAGGCCTCTAGAGAGAAAATCTGGCCTCCTGGGAGTTTTGGGACTGGAAATGATGGTGTGATCATCTTTTGAAGAGCGCGCAGGTTCGCGGAACTTGGGAGATGGGGAGAGTTGCGGCGTCGAATCTGACAATGAACGAGCTTTGGACGGCGATTTGGTGGGTGTTCGTATAATGAAGTCTGAAACGGAAGGAGCATCTTTGCCATTGTCACCAGTGACAGCGGTTTGAGAAGACCTTTGGCTGGCTAGCTGGCTTCCTATCATGGCTTCTATGGAAGGGGGAGGGAACAGAGGGTCTGAAGCGGTCGAAAAAGGGTCGGGTATCTCCATTGCGGTGGTCAAGTAGGAGAAGAGTAATGCATAGTCTCGTACAGAGGCCGGGAGATGGGTATGAGCATTTCAAAGTAAGTTCAAGAGGTATTACGGTCCAGTGATGGGTCCCAGAAGCACTGCAGTGAGGTCCAAAAGTATACGCACGGCCCTAGAACGCGGGGTTACTTTAAGCCGCAAGCACCACGTGACAAAGGGGATTTTGGTGAAGTCATAAATGTTTGCATTATAGGCTAGGCAGCCTCAGCGGATCCCTATGGGTATCAGTCTCTCAGACCCTCTAGAATCTCCATATACGTCCCGCTAAAATACTGAGGAGAAGCGACGATCGATAAGCCTTTGGCACGTGACTATGGATAGAATGTGTTGATAAAATGCGTCATAGGCGGAGCCTTGACAGAATGTTAGAACAAAGAGCAAAATGCGCTGCAGAGATCGCAGGTGAAAAGAAATGGAACAGGCAAACTACTCCTCCACATGGTCTCGCGAGCTGCAGATGATCCGGTCGTAAATGAGAGAGTAGGTCTCAGAGAGAGAAATGTGGAAGACAATTCATCAGGCGCAGATAATGCCCTGAACATGTTCAATATCGTCCCAAGTTGCCTCCCAAATGTTCAATATAGTGAGTGCCCATTTCTTGCCGTCCTTCTTCATCTTACCGATGCATCTGCACATTTTCGCGGCACCATCGTGCAAGAACCTGCCGCTGTCATAATCCCACAAATCAGAGTCCTTCCAGAGCTCATAGGAGCCTTCAAGGAAGGGTGGGTGGGTGTGAAAAAGGTCGGCGAACACAAAGTGCTGTTTGATGCCATCTTCGCGCCAGGACGACGACACTCGGGCATACAACTCGATGATTACCGTCTTACCAGAGCGAACAGCGTTGCAGCCCAAGTTGAATGCCTCACCAATACGAAAGCATGTGCATAGCCGCATATCAGCAGAGAGTCCGATGATCGGTGAGCGATCGCGAACTTGGTCCGGAAATGGTGGTCTGACGATAGGTTGACGGGCAACCTTTGATGTGTCTTCAGTGCCTTGGACAGTGGAATGCACAGAAAGGCTTGTGGATGCTCTATGCCTCTTCGTGGATGTGATCAGGGAGTCTTCAAGGTCTCGTCCAGGCAAATGTTGGGCAAGGTCTGTGGACCCCGTTCGTCCTGTCGTCTCTTGAAAGGAATGGCTAGATGGGTCAGCAGCCGTCAGTCCGGATACGTCGTCCTCCAAGTCATCTATGGCAAAGAACTGCTCGTCCTCTAGGAACATCCAGTCCTCCAGGTTTGTTTCATCTCGTCCAGTCTCCTCGTCTTGATGCATGGAAGAGTTCCCGCCCTTGACCATACTTGATGCATCTGGCACCGTGTGGCCGAGTGGCTCGGAATAAGTCTGTACTAGCTGTAAGAGGTCAGTGTCACTGAGCCCGTCGTCTATCATATCGAAGTCATCAATAGATTGATTCATATCTTCGTCATTCGCCGTCAGAGGATTCGCTGTTGTAAATGCAGCTTGACAGATATTGTCAGTCTTCGATGGTGATTGCAGGTCGACTTGCTGTAACTCGGCGAGCTCCTCAGTTGTCAGGTCGTCAAAGGGATCGTGATCGGACTCTAAAACAGGTACATGGACAAATGTGTCATCGTCATCCCCGCAATCGGTGCAGGTAGTGATGAAGGGGGTTTTCGTGTGAGAAGCATTAGAATTGTCTAAAGTGAACTGAGTAGAATTTGACGGTTTGCTGCTCGCGTCCGTGTCAAAGACCAGCTTAGGATACGAAGTTGAATTGTCTCTATGTGTATATCCATCATCTCCCATGTTGTCATCGTGCCGAGCGTCTGAGGTAAGCACAACGTCGCAACCAAGCTCTTCTAGCAGTTCGTCGAAATCTGAACATATAGTTTGGTCGTTAGTCGGTACGCTTTCGTTCTGCAGCTGGGCGTCCGTGGGACTCTCCACTGGAGCTTCCACTGCTTGGAACTTGAAAGAATTGATTTTGCTCCTGGTGACATCGGATAAGAGGACATGATTGCTCGATGCACTCCGCGTAATGGTGTCGACTGAGGCGTTAACGGAGTTTGGAGGCTTTGAACTGCTGACTGCAGGCCGGGCGTTAAACTTCGTGGTCTGCATTCCGTCCGAGATTCGTCTCTGTGTCAACTTGGCACTGGAGGCGCTCTTCGTCTTGCTTTTTGCCTTCCGGCGAGGGGGAGCATCTCCACTATTTCGTCGACGTTTCTTGGACGCCCTAGACACATCCTGAAAATGAAACGCGAATTTTAAAGCCTCTGGGTCTTGGCCGAGACCGAGATGGTCAGCGACAACTGGGTTTCTTTTTCGTTCACGAGCACCATGGGGGGGATCTCCGTGGCTCTTGGAGCGTCCGGTGTTGATATTGGATGATGCTGGACTAGAACTGATATCAAGCCGATTATTGATAGGCGTGAAGCTTGACGTCCACACTTGATCAGCAGGGGTAACTCTGCTGCTTAAAGTCAGTTTACCCTTTGCAAATGGTCTGGAGGGCTGGGCTAGCAGGGCACAAGGAGGGAGAGATACCTGCGGTTCGGCGACGGCGTCAGGTTGTCCTCGTCATGACCCGGCGCGTCAACCGCACCCCGCACGGTGTCCATGTCCCATCCACGATATGCAGACATGCTGGGACGGCCCTAGGGCGATGCAGATGGCAGCAAGGCCTCGTTATCGTGGTGTGCGCAGCTGATGAAGGATGAGTGAGGGTTTGTATCATGCTGCATGCCAGCTCCAATTGGTGTTGCACGCCGCGTTCCGCCCCTCCACTTCGCCCCGCCAACAGGGCCGGGTAGGCAGTTATTTTGGCGCCCCCCGAGACGGACCACCAAACATCATACAACACCACGCCAGCATCGTACTCGTCTCCAGGAACCCGCGTTGCGTGCACTCGCGATACTCAGTCCCTCACCGCAGCTTCGTCGCAGCATCAGCTTCAGGCGTCTTTCGAGGCCCTCCACTGCAGATCCACCGCCCCGAACTCGGCCCCTCTACGCCCGGCCGCCTTCCAAGCATCATTCAGGCTTCGGCTCCCCGCGTAGCTCTTCACCACCAGCCGCCCGCCCTATCAACGTGCTGAGAATCCGTTGCACATTGCCAGTCCACGTAAGAAGCGCAGCAGCAGGAGCGTCTTTGGTATGTCCAGCCCTAAGAAACCTTGCTTCTCTGCATGCCTCCTATGGCTTGGCCGCAGTCTATTCACGCCTCGGACATAATGCATCCAAGCAGATCTCTCTGACCGACGGCAGCTTCTGCAACCATTCCAAGTCTGGTCCGCGAGTGAGACCCCTCACCAGACCTCAGCCCTGTCGTAATAGCACAGCGACGAATTGGAACCGAGCAGCCACCATGTTCGGAGGTCCTGTAAGCCCACAGCCTCTCTTAAAAGCGATATGCCGCCAGTCTTCCGCGCCAACGTGTGTTCCAACGTTGCTTGTACTTCCCACCCCGTCTTCCTTGAATTTTCTTCTCCTTCTCCACTCCTACCCATGGCGCTTGTTATCTCGAGCTGCAACCAGCCCACATGTTCTCCTGCGTCAACCAGTCCTCCTCCCCCGCCCTACAAGCCGCGCTGTCCCCGCCCCCAAGATCCTCCCCCATATTCGAAGAAGCCAAGTGCTCTCAAGCCCAAGTCACAGCCCAAAACGGTCTCAAAGTCAAAACCAATCCATCATCATAAAAGAAGCACCAAAGATGTGCCCATTTTTCAGAATCCGTGTCCATTGTGCTTTTTCGAATATCTGCGCAACGCGCTAAATTCATGGGTCAAATCACAGAGAAAGCCATATTCGGCCGTGACCGTGCAGATCGATCGCCTTACCAGCGAGCAGTATGAAGAGAACGATTTGGGTGGCATCGTGGACCTGATCGAGGTCATTCGAATCCAGGAATCTGGGCCGACTGAAGCCGCTCGTGCCATACGTAAGAAGCTGTATGTCACCATCAAGAACCTTACGATGGCCTAAATTGACATGGTATAGCAAATATGGGAGCGTGCATCGTCAAATCCGTGCTCTGACTATTTTGGATGGCCTAATCCAGAACGCGGGAAGCAGGTTCCAACGAGCTTTTGCCGACGAGCCTCTTCTCGAGCGCCTTCGTCTTCTCGCAAAGGATGACATGGTGGATTCCGAGGTTCGGAAAAAGGTCAATGTTCTTTTCCGTCAGTGGGCTGTAGCGTACAAAAGTACCCCAGGACTAGAAAGAATAGCTGCACTGTACAAGCAGCTTCCTCGCACTAAGCGACCCCAGCCACAACAATCGAAGGTCTTGCGCGAGAACGAAGCCGAAGCTGAACATGATGAGCCTACAGGTCCACCGTCGCCAACGAAGTTTCGGAGGACCTCGTCGCCCCCAACCCCCTCGCACACGCACACCCCATCAGCATCAGCATCAGTTTCACGCCCCGTCGCTCTCGGGTCAGTGCCCCTGCCTAGCTCTTCAATATTCAAGAAGGACAAAAAGGGCAAAAACAAGCCATTCAACTTGGAGAAAGAGAAGCCCCAGCTCCTCGAAACGATCGCACAGGCATCGGTCGCTAGCACCAATCTACTCAACGGCCTCCAACTCATCAACCGCGAGGAACAGCAGGTTAGCACCAATCCCGAGGTCATGTCTCGTTTCGAAACTTGCAAGGTCTTACGTCGCCGAATTCTGCGATACATCCAGCTAGTGGAGTCGGATCAATGGATCGGCAGTCTTCTCAGCGCCAACGATGAGCTAGTCAAGGCTTTGATGGCTTTCGAGATCATGGACAAGAGCATCGAGGATGACAGCGATAGCGAGAACGAAGGGCCGTATGAAGAAATGCCAGGCTCGCCTACCAAGGGTCGTGCAAATTCGCGTGCTGCCGAGACGGCATTTGCTGGTCTCAGTTTGAATGAAGCTGCGCCTGCCAAGCCCCTTAGGCCGACTAGTATTCCGATGCCTGCTCCGCCTCCATATTCGAGCGGCAAGCAGACGGCTCAGAGTGATAGTGAGCCGGAAGAGGAGGACTTTGACGAAGACAATCCGTTCAGCGATTCTAATGCCGTCAAAACGCCTCATGTTGAGAAGACTGGCATGCATTGGTCAGTAGCATAGAAGTTCTCCCTCCATTATCGTCCAGCGGCTAACTTTTCACAGGCGTGGTCTTTAATGGAATCGAGGCTTTGATAGGGAACGGTTGGGAAAGGGGCGTTGGTTAGTACTATGGGTCGCATTCTCACACTTATGCCTTGCATGATTTGCACTTGAATACCCCAGTTTGTGCACGTGGTAGTTGGAGTTTGGATGGTGGTTGATGGGTCCTCACATATGCAGGATAGATTTCTTGCCACCACTGTCTCTTGCTGTTTAGGATTTTTTCGCGTAATCTTGGATAGTCGAAATCCTCTTCGGAGAGTCCCGCAAGCAGAGGTATTTGCATTCTGGAATATGATTGGTTTGTGGAATATAATTGGTTTGCCTTCTTGATGTTATCCATAACAGCAACAAGATCCGTGGTGGCGTCTTCACCCTTCCTACACCCCTTCCTCCACTCCCTCCTCCACTCCCTCAACCTCCCCACCTCCACCTTTCGTCCTCATTTCCCCCTCAAACCTCTTCCTCTACCTCCCATACACCCCCACTACCTCCGCATCCAATCTCCCACCCCCACCCTCCCGCTCGACCCCATCTTCCCTCGCCGCCCCCTCCCGCGGTCCAGCCTTCCCCTACACCACCGCTCCACCCACCTCACAAGCACCAGCCCCAGACTCCCCACTCCAATCACAAACGGAATCAACTGCCCCACACTTGCCAGCCCCGTCAGCCCCTCGCCATTCCAGCGAATCGTCAGCCCCAGCTGCGTGATAAAAAACACATGAATCCACAAATGCGAAACCGTAAACACCCAGCTCTCCGCCAGCGTCCACGCCCTCTCCGGCGCCGCGGGGAGCAGGATCGCCGCCGCGATCGCCGTCCCCGCGTGCGAGGGTAGCGGCGCGTACGTCCCCGGTGGCAGGCAGGCGGGGTAGGTCAGCGCGGCGTAGAGTTGGTAGGGGACGTTCCAGTCGTCGACGAGGTGGGCGCAGGCGAGGTGCGTGTAGAAGAGTGCGGCGCGGCGGGGGAAGCGGAAGGTGAGTTGGTGCGTGAGGACGTGGCGGTGGCAGGCGAGGAAGGAGGGGAGGCAGGAGGAGATGGCGAGGGCCTCGGAGGCATCGTAATGGGGGGTCTCGGTGACTTGGGCGCGGTGGCCGAGGGGGAGGCGCGTGTAGAACTTGTAGAGGCGGGCGGAGTAGCCAGTTAGAGTGGTGGATGGAGTGGCGGACATGCAGCGCGTGAGGTAGAGCGAGCCGTGGTAGACGTCTTCGAAGATCGGGAAGTCGCTCTTTGGTGGTGGGGTTGCGGACTCTCGAGATGGGGATTGGGGTTGAGAGGGCATTGGAGATACGGCTATCTCCGAGCCCTGGGAGGTTCTCCGAGCTTGCTCTTGGAATTGAGAGGACACTGGAGATACGGTTGTCTCCGAGCCTTGGGAGAGTCTCCGAGAAGGTGGTTGTGAAGTCGGGCTGTTGGCACCCTGGCTTGGCTGGTCTCTACCCTCATCCAAATGCCCCGAGTCGCACGCATTGACTAACGTCCCCTGATGATCTATCGTAGGGACATCGCCGGATTCAGGCTTTTCCCTTTCCTGGCGCTCCAATTCCTTATAACGAGCGGCTGTCTCCAGAAAGCCCCGCTTGGCTTTCTGGAACATGAAATAGCTCCGAAGATTGACAGCCTCAAGACCAATCCTATGAACATGGCCCACTAGAGCCAGAATCGGCACTATCTTTACATACGTCCTAAACCACCCAAACATGTTAACCTTAGCCAAAAAGAACGTGACAGTCTCACAAGGCGTCTTCATCATCTTCTCAATCCCATGGAACCAGAACCAAACAAGAAGACTCTGGCATCCTATATCCATACACTCAGTGAACACCCTCCTCGTAACGCTATTGCGGAAGTTTTCTTTATTATGGGGACCCTGCGTTCGAGCTCCAGTGAGACATTGCCAGGCGAAGATTTGCAGAATGATGAAGCCTTCCACGGCATATATTTCGGAGGCGTTAACGGCGGCGTAGAGGATAGATACGATAAAAAGGGCAACGGTAAACACTGTGATGCTGTCACGGAGGAAGGGAGCCTGGGAGACCAGGAAGTATTTGGCGAACCACACAGCGAGAGTTTGGGTGTAGATGCCGATTCTGATCCCGGTGCCATAGATGTCGTTGTTGCCGATGAAGCCGCAGTGGCGGTCGTCTCGGGACTGTAGTATTTTAGTGCTTTCGGGAGTTTCCCAGGTCTGCTCATTTCTACCTCTTATGAAACTACGAGACCTCAAGCCGTGGTCGTGAACTGTGCTTGTAGGATGCGCGTACGTGAGGGTAACTGAAAGGAGAACTGTGGCTGTAAATGCAATAAGACAGACGAAACGAAACTTTGATTGAAACATCGCGATAGAACAGCGAGTAGTTAAAAAGTTTGCAGAAGGCCGTAAGGGCCAGAAGGGAATAATGCTGAAATTGGACACTCTTGCCTTGAAAAGATGCCTTGCTGTGCCGCTGCAGGCTGCCACGCTACATGTTTCAATTTAGCGCCCGCGCAAACTCGAGCGCTACGGTGTGACGCGGCATTGCCAGCAGATCGTGAGGCTGATTAACAGCATTGCTTATGACAGAGCACTACAGGAATGGGAGAAGTTGAGACATTGTGAGGTTGATGAAGAGGAAGGCTGTGGGACTGTAACTGGGGTATTCTAATAAGTACTCTAGTTTGCTCGGCCTGGTACCTTCACCTCTAGAATCGGGGTGCTAAGTTGTTGGCAGTTTTAGGTTTAGGAAGAGGAGCTCAAGCTTGAAATGAAAAGGAAAGGAGTTTCTAAAGACTTGGCTTGTGGATGAGAACATACAGGACGAGGCTATTCTAGAAGGCGTAAAAGAAGATTTTGCCGCTGACGATGGAATCAGTAATCAACATTCGTCTCAATCGTGACATCTATCACCAAACCTTTCTCCATACCACAAAACGGACGCTAACAATGAAAAGTGAATGTAACGGCCCGACAAAATCCTTGACCCAAACGCTTTGATGCCAAGACTGCGGCACAAGCGGCTCAGCCCGTCATCGACGACGTCCACTCTCTCTCAGCCGCACTAGATCTACTTAAACCCAGCTTCAAACCACATTCTTTGCATACACACCACACCCTCTGCTTACGACTGAGCGATATTAGTTGCTCAGCCTGCACAGAAACCCCCACATAATCACCCATTCTTTGAATATGCTCATTTTCCGTCCCAAGGTTGAAAGATCTGAGTACCCCGCTACGACAAACTATGGATGATCCACTGCTGCTTCTAGAAGTCCGTAAATAACTCTACCTACACGTGTCATATTTCTTGGCTCACCTTGCTTGAGAGGGAATACTGCCCTCCAGTAGACCCCGCCCTTATCTACGCAATTTGCGCCGACTTCGACCTTAATGATGCCCAAGGCGTATCCAACGCACGCCAGATACTCGACGGAATAAAGCAGAGTGCGATTGAGGAGCAAAACTCCGAGTTCGACGCGTCTGGAAGCAGCGGCTTGCAGCGCGAGGCAGACACTTCGGAGGTCTCGTCATCAACCGCCGGAAGCCGTTCCTCGCCCTCGAGGAGTGACCTCACGAGCCTCACAAATGGAGTCTCTGGAATAAGCCTCAGTACACTCTCTGTGTCTGGGTCTAGTTCTTCTGGAGACCTTCTGGGGGCCCACGGTGGTTACTTTGACGATGCGGAGAAGCTCCCAGACGAGGCGAAGGAGCTGATGCTCACGGAGACCTTCCCCACAATTCGCCTGCAACGCATCCGGTTTATCCTCAAGAAGTGTGGGGGGAACTATGGACAAGCTACAGATGAGTTGCTCAATCTCGTGTACTTCGAGAACTCTACCACGTATGAGGACGGTAGCATCCCAAAAGGCATCGACGCCTTTTCGGAAGAGCATCTGGTCGCATCCCGCGGTCGGAAGGGTAAAGGGAAGAAGAAAAAGATTCCCCTTGGTCAGAATAGTAGCTCCTCGTCGCCTTCACCGAGCGGCGCATCGACCCCCTCCAACATTTGGCTGGATACGGGAAAGGAGATTGAGCTGATTGCCAGCAAGACCGGCATTCCCAAGAAGTCTGTCAACTCTCTTTACCACAAAAATGGCGCCTCCATTCCTGCCACCATCTTGGCTCTTATCGAGAAGAACCTAAAAGAGTACGAGAACCTGGAACCGGAGCCCACGACGGTATCAAACGCATTCGATCTCACAAACGACTTCCCCTCGTTAAACTTCGCCCAAGCATCCGCTATTATCAGACTCACATCGCCCTCAACTGCATCTGCCCACGAGCTCGCAAAGCTCCTCACAACGCACAACCGTAGCTCCCCACCCAGCACCAGGCTTGGCGGTATCCGAGTCATCCCCCAATACGCGCCGCTCAACCTCGACACCTCCGAGAACGACCGTCCCGCCACACCCGCAAACCCTCCCTCCCTCCCTTTCCTCCCCTCCCCAACCGCCGCCGCCCTCGCCACCGCGCGCACGAACGCCTTCGCCCAAGCCGCCTCCGCGTATCGGCGCGGCAAGTCAGATAATCTGATGAAGGCCGCGTCGGGCTACTACGCGCAGCTCGGCCACGACTACCACGCCGCGGCCCTCGCTATGTCGGCTGCCGAAGCTGACGCGCTGGTTGCGAAGCAGAGCACAGCGACGCAGCTGGATCTGCATGGCGTGAATGTTAAAGATGCTATGCGCATCGCTGATAATAGGGTCGCGGCGTGGTGGGCGGGGCTAGGCGAGGAGAGGGTCCCCGGGGCTGGGAGGAGGGGTGTGGGAGACGGCTACAGCATTATTGTCGGCGTGGGGCGACACTCCGAAGGCGGCAAGGGGAAGTTGGGCCCAGCTGTGGTGAGAGGCCTCGTCAAAAGGGGCTGGAGAGTTGAGGCGGCGAGTGGAGTTGTTACGGTAGTGGGGAAGGTGAGAAGGTGAGTGCGACCTTTCTTACTGTTATTTTTAGCGGCATTTGCGGTGTTTATGAGTGATCTGATTTGTCGGGGGATTTGTTTGTGGAGAAGAGTTCGTTGTGGGATGTGGCGGATGTGTCGAGGGCTTCAGACGTGGGTTGGAGATGTTGGGACGGTAATGTCTAATGATGAATGAGTAATAACAGTAAGTAATAAGAGGTGAATATACCCAAGCTTTCGAGTCGATGCCAATTTCTCCCCTCCCTCTATGGGAAGGTGGGCGTGAGTGGTAGCGGAATACACACATTTACCATGACCTTGGTTTCAGCCTCCAACATCCAACCTCAACAACCCCATCTTTACAAACCTATCATTTTCGAACCCCCTCCGTGAAAACAGCATGCCCTACAGAGACAGAAGTACGCCGACTCGGAGTGATTACCGTTTCAACTTTAAGAGCAGCTAAGCGCCTAGCGGAACTGTTTTGCTCTTTTTATGCTAGAGAATGAGGACTTCGAATCCCGTGAGATGGTTCTAGGGAAAGATGGGCAAAAGTATGGAATGGGTAAGAGTATGCCAGAAGTGGATCTGAAAGAGACTAGTTCGTATGTTACGAATAATGCCTGGGCTTATGCGTTTAGAGTTGCGTGTCAAGGGTGTACACGTACGTGCGGGTAAGGTCCCGTGATACGCCCGTGGGACCCTATCGCTCATCGCCCTCTCGAGCATATAAACCTTTCTCTCCTCCTCTCTTCTTTCGACCTAGACAGAGAAGTAGAGGCCACCGGTGGGCTAATCATCAAACCGCATTGTGAGGGAGGCGATGGGGCCGAGTGGTGTGCTGGATGCGACAACACAGCGGCAACCAGCCCATGGGTGCTTGGAATCAAAACATCTACGAAGACTCCGCGATGTGGGTTATCGGTTCAAAAACTTTGCAGGTGGCGGACCAATGGTGGTAGAGAGGTGGCGTTGCGCGCTGGTGATGGTGGCCAGCGCTATCAAGATGTGGTGATCGGCAGGGGCATGGAAGAGTGGTGTAGTCTGGTAGGAGGGAAGAGTTAGGAGAAATACTGTTTTACTGCACAGGTCATGTTCATTGCCGTTATCATGCTTGCAACCTTATTGATTTGCAGGCCATGGCATCTGAACATTGGTGGGACGCGACATTATGTACATAGAAGCGCCCTGTTTGCTACCGGCAGTGATTGCCGTAGGTGATTGTCATAATCCAACAGCCCCCTTAAGCACATACAGGAAGAGATGATAGTAGGAAACCGTGTTGAAGCATTAAGATGCTGATGGGGATAAGGACCGTGCGGGCTGCTTACAGCATGGTAGATAACTAATGAATAAAAAGAGTGGCATCCTATGGTGGACGGTACAGCGTGCGATGGCTGAGTAGAGCATCCTTAGGTGATAATGGATGAATAGAGAAGCGCCCGATGGCGATAGCTGATATCCTGTGATAATGACTCACATCCTGCGCTGATGGCATATCCTGTGTTGACAACTAACAATTGCATCGAAGGAAGGCATCTAGGAATGCATCTAGGAAAGCTTCCATGACGATGGACGAAAGGATCTGCTGTTGACACCCTTATTTTTCGATGTATTTGATTGATACACTTACGATCCAACACAAAGCAATCAGCCACAAGACTCCGTCCCAACTCCCCAACCCATCCGAATCGGCCCTAGACAGAACAGAATCACAAGCTGCTCAACCCACAGCAGCTACGCACCAATCCTCAACCTCGGCGCCCCCCTCATCGCCCTCAACTGATTCGAATGCCCAATAATCCGCGCATCAAACGCCCACCACCAATTCTTCAACATCGCCTCCCCGACTTCCCAACTCGCCTCATCCAATTCATTCGTCCCACTCACCCGCATCCCCTCCGCTAGGTCATCCATATCAGCGACAAGCTGCATGATCGCTAGCCCGCCAGAGAGCTGTGAGGCGCCGCTGGTGAGCATGTAGATCAGTTTCGTGCGGACAGTCGGCCAGGGGAGGATATCCAGGATCGGGTGATGCGGGATGCTCCGTTGAGCTTCAGTGGGTTGGAGGTTTGGAGGGAGTTGAGGGCTTGGTGCCAGTGTGTGCATGCAGGAGATGTCGAAGAGGGAGTTTTGGACGGAGAGAAGGGATGCAATGGTTAGAGTCGCGCGGAGGGTACCGAGGACGGGGACTTCAATGTTCTGGTCCGGGGTGAGGGGGAAGTCGAAGGTTGGAGCGGAGGCGTGGTCGAGGTAGCTTGGTTTGGTGCTTGCTAGGGTCGATGGGGGGAAGGAGAGGTCTGAGAGTGTAAGAGGTGACTCTAGAGGTGTTTAGTATGGTAGGAAACACACCTAGATCCGTGAACGTTGGCATGGGTATGTCGAATATGGTTTGGTCGAACGAGGCGGTGAAGTTGGAACTGGACGCAGCACCCATATCGCTGTTTGGTAACTCGACGAGTGAGTCAGCTTCAGTTTGCAGTATTGAATCTAGTTCAGGAGTGTCGTTTGAGACGTTTCGAATTGGTTCTGAGTCTATGGGCGTAACGACGGGCGTTGGGAACGTGTTTTGCAGTGGATATGAAGTTGATGGTGAGGCCTGAGCCCGGGCTTCGAGTGCTGCGACTCGCTCTCGTCTTCGTTTTCCTAGAAGAGAAATTAGCAACTAGTACACAGAGTAGACTAGCGTGATCGGGGTAGCTCTTTGCAGCATCGATACAAGCCTGGAGTTTCGCCATGAGGGAAGATATGAACAACTATTTCAGAATTCCAAGAGTATGATAATCTACATGGCCAGGCCAATTGGAAGAGGAACTAAGAAATTGTAACTGGAGAAGAAGTAACGATAGTGCAATTAGGCCGGGAACATCTCCACCTCTTGCTGGTTCGATATGCCGCAGACTCTATGCAATCCACGAACAGCCCAGGAAGAATCCTCTTTTACGAAATAAGGTGAACACTTACTGTATCTCCGCTGTGCCAGAACGTTTAGTACTCTTTTACGGTCTGGATTACCGGGTGATGGGACGCCTTCAGTGATTGACCGGCTTTCAGTTGAACTCATGATCGACTCAGGTATCTGCAACAACACGTTATGCAATGTGTTAGGGGACGAGGAAATGCTGGGCAATAGGTTCAGTTGAAGAGGTGTAAGATCGAGAGCTTCACGTTGGGCGGGGTGGTTGGCTTTCTTTGAACGTGAGGGGCCAAGCCACATAACGTTATGCTCTTCGTATCTGGGATCGCCGTTGATGATTCTGATTGGATACTCGCTTCAACATGCTCAAAGCTCATCGCGAGCATGACGAGGACGGCGATAGATGGTAGGTGAAAGCCAAAAGGTCATCCAGGCTACGAGGAGTGTAGTCAGTCGTTAGGTTCCTAGTTGCGATGACCGTAATGCGTCTCGTATGTCGTAAAGCCTGTAATTGAAAAGACAACGAGTTTCCGGTCCAGCTCTCAGTTGGCACTCAGACTGCATTCAAGGTCCAGGCATCCTACGACGTCTTTCAATCCACTTACCAGGATTTCTTTCAACCGATTCTTGCAATTGCCAACATACCTGTCGACCTCCAAAACATCTTTAAAGCTCTCATCCAACCTCGACTATGGCGTCTTCCCCAAAGTCCCAAACCAGCCCTCTCCTCCCTCCAACATCCAAGGACCACCTCTCTAACACTCCCAACCGCCTCACACAAGGCGCAATCAACGTTCTCTCTATCACCCGCCTAGTTGCTGGAACCGCCTGCGTCATCGCGCCAGGCTTCACCACTGGGTTATTCCGGATCCCCGTATCCGGCCAAGCCCTAATCCTCCCACGTATATTTGGCGTGCGGGAGGGGGTACTGGCAGAACTGCTTTGGACAGCAGAGGGCACACAGAGCGATAAATGGGAGCTGAAACGCGCCCTCTGGGCGGGAGTCGCGGCGGATACGCTGGACGTAGCGAGCTGTGCCTTTGGACTGGCGACGGGTGCATTGAGTAGACCGGCTGCTGGGCTGTTTGGCGGTGGCGCGACAATCTTTCTGGCGCTGGGAGCGATCGGATTGAGAGGTGTCTAAGGGGCATCGGGGTGGTCAACTCTCACGTACGGGATCTGGAGCGTAGCACCTAAGACGTAGCTTCTAGTATGAAGGTTGTAGTGATGGAGATAGTGATAAATAGCGTAATCAGAGTCTTTCTAAAATTTCCATGCCTACCCGCGTATACTAACTTTATAGTGCTCAACGAGCATTTGAATGGGTTTGAAGGGGTGCTTCGCAAGAAAAGGCCATGTTGAATGAAGAGGAGGGAAGAAGCTTTTAGAGCTACGTCTGAACCACCAACGGCCGCGGGTTGACACAGATGCTTAATGGAATCGCGTGACCAGGCGTTGTGGTGGTTGCAAGACGCGTCGCAGGGCCGTCAACAAACCGGTTGCCGTGACTCCCGCCAAGAGAAATTCGACAACAACCTCGCCGGCCGCCTGGGGGAGTGAAACAACAGCAACTTGGTAAGAAAAGTCTATATCACCCTGCCAAAGGCACAGTCACTGACAAGAATATGGTACAGAGGCCCAACCATCGCCGGGGACCCGTCCGCCCTGTGAATACGCTCTCTTCGCCACAGAAACCGAAGTTCCCTCCTTCGCCCACCAAGAAGATCGCCAACAACAACAAACACCTCTCCCAAGATTCCTATCACGTATATACAACCACTTCTCTGCACCAGAACCTCTTCCCTGGCAAAACCCCTACTACTCCCACCAACGCCCACTGGGAGCGGAGTTCGACGTCTTCTCCAGATCATACACTGAACGAGACAGTTCTTGGAGAGGACAGTTCCCTGTTCAACGAGGACAAGACTTCGAAGCGCACACCCTCTCCACATATACTGCGAGAGACTTCCACATCGGCGAAACCATACAAACCCAGATCCGCTGTCCACGGGCAGCAGAAACATACACACAACATGGTCAAGGAGCGAGACCCGCCGGCTCTGAGCCCTAGCAAAGCGGCTCCCGCCCCAAAGGCGCTGCATGACTTGACTAACACCTCCCCGGCGCCCGAATTCGGAAAAGCCAGTCCCATCCGTAATCCTTTGAAGAACGACCGCAAGAAGGATCCGTCCTTGAGCATGTTCAACATTCCGAAACCAGGTCAGCCGCGTCCAGAGCATCACCGCGAAGCAGCCCGACCTGTACAGGCACCTCCAGTCTTTCAAATGCCTCCCCAAGCACCGCAATATGGCCATCCCGCCCCTGCACCACATAACACTGCTGGTAATGACCGGGCCTCTTCCGGCTCTGATGTGGTTATGATCCCTAGACCTGCGAATTTTGACCCGACGTACCGCCCCCAATACGGCGCAGCGCCAGTGCCTGTAGGGGTTCCTCGCAACCAACCAGCACAGACCATACGACCCGCCCCTGCACCAGTGTACTCTTCCATAAGCAATAATGGGTTCCAGCCGGTGAACCCCGCTGTTGGTTCTGCTTATGCTAAGTTCTTTGGTCAACAGGGCAACTATGTAGACTTGACCAAAACCGCAGACAAGAAAGCAGATGACGACGAGTTCGACCCTGATGCTGCTCTTCGCCAAGGCCAGGACCAATTTGGCGCCGTGGACCCTTTCATGTATATCGATTCCGCTCAAGCTAATGCGGATATCAAAGCTCTTCTGGAAGGCGCCTTCGATGACGAGGAAGACAACGTGCCTCGAACTAAGGGTCGCAAGAAGAAGTCGCCAAAGAAAGACGATGAAGATGAGGCGGCCAATTCCCTCGCAAAGAAGCTGCAAGCTTTGGATGTCAAGGCGAAGGAAGAGGAGGCTGAAGCCGAAGATGAGGAGGAGGAAGAGGACGATTCCACCGTCGAGGGCCTTATTGTCAAGCTACTACCTCACCAAGTGGATGGTTTAGCATGGATGACCGACAAGGAGATTGGCACTCGCAAGAAGAATGGTGTTCTACCGAAGGGTGGAATACTAGCTGATGATATGGGCCTTGGAAAGACAATCCAGTCTCTAGCTCTCGTTCTCTCCAATCCCCGCCCGGACAAAGATGCTCCGGTTGACCCGAAATCGAAAAATAAGATTTTACCCGCTGTGGGCAAGGGTACTCTAGTCGTCGCTCCTTTAGCTCTCATCAAACAATGGGAAGCGGAAATCTCAAGCAAGGTCGAGAAGTCTCATCGCCTCTCTGTTTGCGTGCATCACGGTCCCAGCCGCACCAAGGACCCAGCCAAGTTAAGAAAATACGATGTCGTTGTTACCACATACAGCACGCTCTCGTCGGAGCATGCTGGTAGCGATGATGCAGATGACGGGCTCAAGACTGGTTGTTTCGGTGTCCACTGGTATCGAGTCATCTTGGACGAAGCACATTCGATCAAGAACCGGACTACCAAAATGACAAAGGCAGCTTACGCATTGAGGTCACACTACCGATGGTGCTTAACGGGAACTCCTATGCAGAATAACCTTGACGAGCTCCAGAGCCTTATCAAATTCCTTCGCATCAAGCCATACGAAGACCTCCGACAATGGAAGGACCAAATCACTGGACCTATGAAGAATGGCCGTGGTGGTATTGCGATGAAGCGCCTAGGATTCTTTTTGAAGGCATTCATGAAGCGTAGGACCAAGGACGTCTTGAAGAAAGAGGGTGCACTGAATCCTGGGGGCAAAGTCAAGGACGGCGCCGCGTCTAGTGGCTTTAAGATTGTTGACCGCAACATTGAGACGGTGGTGGGGCACTTTACTCCAGAAGAAAGACTATTCTATGATCGTCTTGCGTCACGAGCTGAGAACCGTCTCGCAGAAATGATGGGTGGCGAGAAGACCGATTATATTGGTGCCTTGGTTCTGCTGCTTCGCCTGCGTCAAGCTTGCAACCATCCGAATCTGATCAAGAGCAATGTTAAAGATGACAAGGACGCTCTCACTACAGGCTCCAAAGGAAATGCCTCAACTACCCGCAACAACGTCGACGCCGCGGACGACCTTGCGGATCTTCTTGGTGGGCTAACTGTAGAGACGAAGAAGTGTGACGTTTGTCAGGTTCTCTTGGGGAAGTCCGCCGTTTCAAGCGGTGCGGTTCGATGCGATGATTGCGAAAACGATCTCTCAATGACTGCCAGGCCACGAAAACACAAGCACAAATCTCGGAAACACAAGGACAAGAAGGGTAGGCATGCCGATAAAGAGGAGGAGGCCAGTAGCAACCCTAAGAAGGCTGCAAGACCGCGTCGAGCCATTCTCGATAGTGATGACGAGGAAGGAGAAGGGAGCTGGATAGTTCCAGAGTCCGAACAAGAGGTCCCTGATCTTGGAAAGGCCGGCGGCACTGACGACGAGAATGCGGAAGGCGGAGGTGACACGCTGAACACGGTCGATTCCGATGATTCTGAGACTGATGGATCAGAAGAAGACTCCTTCGTTGTCAAGGATAACAAAGCCAAGAAGGTCAACAAGACTAAAGGCGTTATCAACCTCGACTCTGATGATGACTCCGATGACGTCCTGCCCGTGGTCCGAAAAAAGAACGCGAAGAAGCTCACCAGCCTTGACTCTGATGACGATCCGGATGATTCAGACGACGACTTACCCGTGGTGCGAAAGAAACTCGCGAAGAAGGCCACCACTCCTAACTCTGACGACGAGGACGTCGACTCTGAATCAGAGCAGGACAGTGACTCTATATCTGACTCTATATCCGACTCTGAAACCGAATCAGACTCTGATTCAAACTCGGATCCCGTCTATGGTGCCTCCCACCTCACTCCTTCCACCAAGATCCGCCACCTCCTCGAGATCCTCGAGAAAGAGACCCCCGAACACAAAGTCATCGTTTTCTCCCAATTCACCTCTATGCTCGACCTCATCGAGCCCTTCCTCCGCCGAAACGGCTACAGCTTCACCCGCTACGACGGCAGCATGCGCAACGACCACCGCGAAGCCAGCTTAGAAAAGCTTCGCAACGATAAACGAACCCGAGTGCTCCTCTGCAGTCTCAAATGCGGTAGCTTAGGCCTCAACCTAACGGCAGCCAGCAGAGTCGTCATCCTCGAACCGTTCTGGAATCCCGTACGTACCGCCACCCCATCCCATCATGTCTCCACGCAACTATATCACGTGACTCATGCTAATTTTACTTCCCACAGTTCGTAGAAGAACAAGCCATCGACCGCGTCCACCGCCTCAACCAAACCGTCAACGTGACCGTCTACAAACTCTCCATCCACAACTCCGTCGAAGAGCGCATCCTGGACCTGCAGGAAGCGAAGCGCAAACTGGCTAACGCGGCGATCGAGGGCGGCAAATCGGTTGCTAAGCTCGATATGAAGGATATCATGGCGCTGTTTAGGCGCGATGCGGAATTCGACGCGAGGCATGAGCGGGAGGCGCTGGAGGACCAGGGCTTGTTTAATCGCATGAGGGTGCTTGACAGCCCGGTTAGGGGGGGCGGGTTGACGGGGGCCGGGGATGCTGGGGTTGCGCAGATGTTGAGGCGAAAGCCGGAGGGAAGGAGTGGGAGGGCGGTGGAGGATTCGGTATATGGACGCCGCTAGGTGAGGCTAGGAGTGTGAGGCGTGTGGTGTATGGCCGGTCTGGTTGTGATATTCAATTGGAGTGCTGAGTGGTCACGGCGTTGTGCATAAAGACTGGCTATTAAGGCTTCATGAGCCTCTTCTTCTTTTGTCGGCATATGCACTGGTAGAGGAATCGTCATTAATTAGACATTGTATTCGGTACCTGCATTGCGATATCTGCTCCGGTGCTATGCCATCAACTTGATCGCTCACTTCCACATTGCTTTACAACGAGAGTATTCCTTGACTTGTTGTTCAGATCGGTGTCTGCTCCTTCTCGTACCCCTCCGGCCGGCATAACCTCCCACCTGGCTGCTCGACCCACAACTCGCTCCCCACGCACCGCCGACACCACAGCACGCCCTCGGGGTCGTACGTCTGCTTGATCATCCACAGATGGGCGTAGTTGGGCCCAAAGAAGGAATATTGCCAGTCCGGCTCGTAGGAATCGCACTGGCGTGTCAAAAAACAATCAGCCATCCATCCCTCGCTTAAATCTTGAGCCAGCTCTTCCGTTGAGCAAACTTCGGGGGGCGGGATGAGATGTCGAAGGTACTCACCTCGTTGAAATAAGCGCCAGAATCTGGCGCCAGCTGCCTCAGCGCATACGTTTTATTCTCCGTGATATCCGCGTACACGGAGTCGATCAGCGACTGCGGCATCCCGTCCAGCCACCCCTCCGAGACGATGAAGTGCGTGATGGCGGTGCGCCAGGCGGGGTTGACGCCGTTGTCCACTGAGACGTTGGAGGGCGGCGCGATGAGGTGGCCCAGGAGGAGGGTGTTGCCGAGGGTGCCCTGGGGGATGTTAGCATGCGGTGCGGTGGTGTTAGGGGGTTGGGAGTAGGGAGGTACATACGCTCGGCCTACTCAGATCCGTCGACGGACCGATAGCTTCGAAGGTTCGTGCGAGCGCGTCGACGTCTTCGGTGAGTGCGCGCGCGGGGAGGAGGCGGGATCCGTAGGCCGAGCCGCCGGTCGCGACGAGCTCGTTCTTGCCCTGCGCGTAGAAATCGTAGTAGGAGCTAGTAGTAGAAGTGGTATGGTAGATGAAGAGGTCGCGCCGCGCGTCGAGGTAGGTTTTTATGGGGGCGAAGAGTGTGTCTGCGGTTCCGGGGGGTTTGTCGTAGAGGTTGAAGACCCAGATGAAGGAGAGGGTGGGCATGATTGGTGGGCCGACCATGAAGTAGTAGCCTTGCATGCCGCCGGCTTTTAAGGCGGGCATTTGGGAGTGGAGGAAGGCGATTAAGTCCCAGTATTCGGTTGAGATGTTTGGGTGGGTGGTTGTGAGTTGTAGGTTGTGTGTGGTAGTTTCAGGAGCTGTGTATGCTTTCATGACAGCGGAGGTAATAACGCCGTAGGTACTGCCACCGCCGCCACGGATGGCGAAGAAGAGATCTGAGTACTGGCAGGCGTTGACGGTTAGGAGGTCGCCGGTGGGGGTTATGAGGGTGGCTTCGAGGAGGTTATCGGCCCCTAGTCCGTGGGTGGAGGAGAGGAAGCCGTGGCCACCACCCGTGAACCAGCCTGCTAGACCGACGTCCTGGTGGTGTTAGGTGGGTTGGGGAAGAAAAGAGGGGAGTGGAAAGGAGCAGAGGTAATTACAGGGTTAGCTCCTGTGACAACTACAGCGTTATGCTTTTGTAATTCAGTTATTACTGATGATCCGACTTCTCCAGCAGCAATGGTGGCGGCCTTCTGCGTTTCGTTGAGGGGGCAGTATTGAGGCTGGAAATCCTCATGGTAGGTTATACCACGGAAATTGTGGGTCCAGATACTGGTTGTCATATCAGTGTAGAGTTCCAGGCAGGGCTCCGACATAGGATTTGCTTACGATAGGCTGCTATATCCGGTGCTCCTAAGAGGTAAGTAAGCATCTGATTTGGGGCACCAGGGTTATTTTAAAACCTACCTCCCAGGATACGAGTGCCCAGTATTCTTGACTACAATTCGAACGTTTTTCTGTGCAGCCCATTGTAAAGCCCCAGCTATGTGCTCTGGCTGCGTCGCGTTCACCACATAGACAGGATAGTCCCCAATAGAGCATCCCTTTTCTCCCGCCTGGACATCTCCCGTGACGCTCGTCCCATTCGGGAAAATTGGATTGCAGGAATTGTTAGCCCAAACGGGATAGTCGATGCTAATGGGGTCTTCCGCGTGGAACGATGAGTTGAACCATTGTGACCGTATATAGTCACAAGCATCCTCGTTGTAATTGGGCTGAGCGGAATAGCAGACGGATGCCGGAGGCACAGCTTGGATGAGCTGGCCTGAGACGGTGTCGTTCAATGCGGACCATTCCGTTGCACTTGGCCAACAATCTGATGTTGGAGTCTGTATTGATGTTAGTATAATCCTACAATGAATTAGGACGCATGCGCATACGCATTTACAATTGCCGCTCTGCTGCGCGTTGACATGTGTGTGAGTGTCTGGAACGAAGATGGCTGTGAGAACCGAAAGAAGTAAAGATGAGGCGCTTAACATTTTGATCGATGTCTCTAGAAAGGAAGCACTTCGGGCTTGACGGCTCAATATATATATTCGTGTAGTGTATAGTTATGGCTGTGCGAAGCCACGCGTCGATCCCCCTCTCGGGCTGAGCTATCTCTTAGAGCGAACCTACATCGCGATCTGATCCAAACCAATAGACAGTCTTGTTTCCGCAGTGATGATCATACAAGGAGTCACTCTGTTCCTCCATCGCATTGAAATGCTCCTTACGGGCTGAGATTTCTCCGATGGTAGATTAGGTGATGCCGGGTAAGGCTGCGCAGCGCTCCACGATGATGCATGTGGCTCGTATTGTGGCCGTCGCTGATTGGATCCCGCACTTGCGTACGAGGAATGCGAGCTCGACCTTTCCTGGCTACTAGCCGATGTCCGAAAGGATAAGCGGCGCGTTGTTGCTCCAACGCTTTGCCTTCAGTTCAAGGAGCGTTGAACATGCGCGGGAAGCTCTCGCCCTTCGCCATCAAACCGTATTCATCCCACAAGTACAGGCACTGCTCGCATTTTCTCGCGTTCTCGCTCTCTTCGCTCGCGCTCATATTCCGACATGGTCTGCGGATGGCATGCTAAGCAAAATATACCTTGGCGAGTCCTTGCGTATCTCATGTTTCTGATGCTTTTGTGGCAGTCGTGACAGAAAAACAGCCCCGGGCATAGATTGAGACCAGGTGACTGGGTCATTGATTGGATTCTCCCATAGCTTCCCGTTAGGCCTTCGTCATTTGGGCCGTGATCGTCAACGCGCCGGTCGCAAGCCTGACAGTTGTATGCACAGCTATTGCAGACCAGAAAGTCGTCCTTCACTAGGAACATTGTGGATGCATCTGATTGAAGAAGCACCTTGCAGGAGTTGCACCGAAAGCATTGCACGTGCCACTTGTGAGAGCGGATTGTGTAATGCTTCTCTCCTCCAATGGCATTGTTGCAAGCTTTGCAAGGAGACGAAGGGTCTATGGGAGAGCTGTTTTTCGTGTCGTCATCACGGCTTATCGATTTCGAAGCGCCGCGTCTGAGAGAACTGAGTAAAGCATCTCTATCATTCCCTCCAGACGTGGATGATTCCGTTTCAGGTTCATTGTGAGGGGAAGCGAACCGCGAAAGCCCGTATGGTTTGCTTTGTAGGGATAGCGAAGCTAGTGTACTGATTGGCGTGGTAACAGATCGATGTGGAACGTGTTCGGGAGGCCTAAGCGTGCTTTCGCGGTCTTGGAGAGGGACCGATGGCACACTTGACGACTTGGTCAATTCAGCACCAATAGGCACTGGCACTCTACCGACCGTTTGTCTGACGGTTCCCCCGAATGGCCCCGGCGATACACTCCGCTCGGCGGTCTTCGTATCCTCAGGCCTCCCCAGTACCTGGAAAGATCTTTGTGGAGAGAGGACGTGGTCAGATGCTGGACTAACTGTGGATGGACTTTCAAATTCGGGCAACGAGCCTAAACTTGGACTACTCCCGTTCCGCTTCATGCGGTTTTTCCATCGTTTCCATGTCCCAGGTTTCTGGGGCAAGTTTTCTTCGATCGCTTCGCTAGATCGATCCGTTTCAGAGGCATCTTCAAGAGATTTTTCAAAGCCTTCAAGGTCTATTTCCCGAATTTCCGGGAGCTTGGGTGACGATCCCGTTGAGTAGTCGACAGACTCGAGATCCTTCGGTTTCGATGTTACAAACTCGTTTTCCGGGACTTCAGCATACTCGGAGATTGATGTAATATCAGACAAATCATCGGAGAATACGTCTGTCATACGTGTTGAAGTCGACGTAGTTGAGATAACGGATGCCGTTCGGGCAAGAAAGCGGCGCATTGGTTCACTGTAGGTCTCCTCGTTGACTTCTACCAGCTCTTGTGCATTTTGCTTGGCTGGTGGATGTTTCAGGGCTCCCTGTTCTCTGCCTCTACTATCGATTTGCCGTCGGAGCCTGCGAAAATCTTTCTGCAAGTGCGCGACCATATCAATAGTTTGTGAAGAGTTGATGCTAGTCCGTAGAGTTAGTCCAGTCCCTATAGTTAATGAGAAGACTCCAAGAAACTCACAAATTCAACGACGATATTGCTAGCTCCAGCGTGAGTTTGTAGTCGCTTAGCGTCCTCTGCATATGAATGACGTTTGCCTTCCTGGTCATCTCCCACTTGAAGCTCTTCGTGAAGTTTCGGAGAGCATTGCCGTTGCTATCAAGGAACGGTTGTACGACTCTACTTATGTCCTTGAAGACATCGATGCACTTCTCGAGCAAGTCCTGGATGTTGGTAATCATCTGTACTGGCAGGCCGTCTGGGTTCGCAGTTTTGCTCTGCGCATTCAATGCATGCGTTAACAGCCCGAGGACATGATAAAATCCTTGGAGGTCTGTCGCGAGACGTTTAATGTGTTCTGGGGCGTCTTGGATACCAGTCACAATCTCGTAGGTCTGCTGGCCGAGGGTGATGGCGGTGCTGGCTACGGTCAGGGCGCCACCGAAGATGGACAGTGGCTCGCACATCTTTGCGGACGTCTCAAGAGGATTGTGTGAATGACAGGTATGAATTCATTTCAGGTAGCTGTTCAAGGTGCCAAGTATCACCGCTCACATAAGACTGGGAAGATGGGCGGAGGAGTTAGCTGAGGGGGAGGCCTGATCTAGCCTGGGGCCAAAATTCAGCCTCACGCCAGCCTCTCGGAGCTTACGATGAATTGGGGATAGCATCATCCTGCGACCTCTTGACTGCATCAACCGTAAAAGATCCATCTTCCAAGCTTGAGTATCGAATTGAATGCGAAGTGGATGTTCGATAAGACAGCAGAGTCGGAATTATAGGGAAGGAAGGCCAGGAGGAAAGTATTACGGCCGAAGTCAGAAATGCCCTCATGGCATGGAATTCCGCCAAGGCATTATCAGATTCAGGCAAAGTGTCTATTTTTATATGCGGGTTTGTCCTCCCGCCCTCTCCCGTTCCCACCTCCAATCTTCCACTATCCGCCTCAACAACCTTCTAGCCAACCCACCTACATTGAAAGCCTTTATGCAACGGTTACACCCATTTTGCATAGATTCACGTACTGTACATACATATATAGTTGAGCGCTATTATTTTGGTCGAGGTCCCGCGAGAATTCCATTATCAAAGCTTTAGACTATACCGTCAACTGTCTCGATCAAGCTACGGATTCTACTATAAGGGGCAGTGTCGAATTTTCGAGCTATCAAAGGTGTTTCCCAAAATGCAGCAAGCAAGGTTACGACAGAGTTCGGACGACCTCGAGTCTTAAGGCTATAAGTCTAGGCACACAGATTCATCACCGCTCGGCTTCAATCTTGTTCTTTGACACCACTGAGTGGGACAGCCCAGCTGTGTAGTCAGTAGCCAATGAGCCAAGGCGCAGTCCGATTCGCACTGCCTGGACCTTGACATCGCGCCTAGATGTATGAATTCTCAAAGGGGTACCCTAAGCAGTGGTAAGCGAGTGTGCATAGCTTCCTGACCTTCTGGCTTGTCACTGTACTGTATGTACATGTACCGGCTGAAATCCCGCCCCGATGTTTATTTGCCGGCATCGAATTCAATATGTACCCTGGAAACCGGGTCCAACCGCCCATAGAGCCCTGTTTATGCAGACTCCAGGATAGGGGCGAATCATGGACCTCGTGCGGCACGGAGACTTAGCACTGTGGCGGCTCTTGACACGCCCGATCCTTGTACAGCATTCTACCGCAGTTTCTTGTTCTATGCAAATTGCAACCATGGCGCTCGACAGGGTATTCTTGCCTAGGTCACCAGGGGTTGCTCACGTAGAGAGGACTCGACACTACCAACTAGCTGCATACCCGCCTCCTCTTCCGCCATTTCAATAGCAATGCATACGGGAGGCGCCGGCTTGTAGCTGCAATTGGCGAGACATGCGGATACTCTTGCGTTTAAGCCCTTCGCCACGCCAATGCAAAAAGCACAGATGTAGCACACGTCCAAGCATGCTCCCGGAAATCACTGATCTGCGTATCTCCTGCCTCATTGATCAGTCATATTCTTCCTTCTTGGAAACTACCCTAGCACCTTTTTACATACGCGGCCATGCAATGGGTATGCGCCGCAATAAGAATATCTCTCCCCTTGGCCATAAAAAGCAGCGAAGTCTCTAATTGTCATATCTAAATCATCTGCATTACTCCTTCTCCTTTTACTGCTAAAGCAGATAAATGTGACGGGCCTTCTACGGAATCTCCCGTTTTTCCATTTCTCTTACGGGCCTTCACCCACGTGTAGGCCACGGAGATCCCTCCGGTTTCCCACATCCCCGTCAACGACTCAGCGGCAAATTCTAGACAGCTCGTTGAGGCTGCTACTCCAGCTCTTCACACAACGCCTTGTCAGCGAGCATCGTGCTTGCTCGCTGCCCACCTCTTCCACGTTGCCGGCGTGAAAAGAAGATGTTTTCTCTTTGCTCTCAGATATGCCGCTTCGCAGTGGTTTTGTGTATTGGGTTCTGCTTTGTAGCCGTTGAAGCGCTACCAGGTTTGAACGCGACTCAGAACGAACTTCAGTCTACCGGATCATGTGTATGTCCTCAATCTCGCTCTCGGGATCAATATCTGTGCATTCAAACTCGTCCGTGACAGATTTATTGATCTGTTTAGTGTGACACTTTGGACTATTTCCTCCCAGGCAAGGTCCATGATGATACGATATTGGATTTGGACGCCGCATACGAAGCCTCGCTTGCATCCTACTATTCGCAGCAAGAGCAGAGTCTCAATCCCACATGTATAGTCATCCCTACGACCAACGAAGATGTTGCTACCGCGGTCTTCATTCTAAACACCGCATATAAGCTGTCCTTGTCCGGTTGCAAGTTCGCCATCAGAAGTGGAGGGTATGTTATCGCATGTGTTTTATTTCTCGCTCTTCTAAGTCCTCCATAGTCATACTCCTCAGGCCGGAGCTGCCAATATTGAAGGTGGCATTACTATCGATCTTCAACAGCTGAATCAGGTGACCATTTCAACTGACAAGTCCTTTGCGGGAATTGGCCCTGGGAATAGATGGATCAACATCTATCCCACGCTTGATGCACAGGGTCTTACCATGGTCGGAGGTAGAGTCAGTACCGTTGGAGTTGGAGGACTGATGACTGGGGGTATGCCAATCACCTTGGCATCTTTCAACCTATCAGCATACTAACTCAGACCACAGGAGGTGTATCCTTCTATTCCGGCCGGTACGGCTTCGCCTGCGACAACATCTACAACTTCGAAGTCGTGCTCGCCTCCGGCGCCATTGTCAACGCCAACTCAACCTCGAACCCTAACCTCTTCCGCGCTTTAAAAGGCGGCTCCAACAACTTCGGCGTCGTCACCAGATTCGACGTCCGCCTCTTCCAACAGGGGAAACTCTGGGGCGGCACTTACACCCAGATACCGACCCCCGAAACTCGCACCGACGTCTTCAACTTCATCCACAACTTCACCAAAAGCGCCACCTACGACCCCTACGCCGCGCTCATCTCCAACTTCGCGTGGGAAGCAGGGGTCATCGAACTCATCGTCAATGACGTCGAGTACACCAAACCGACCCCCCTCCCACCTGCGTTCGAGGGGCTATTCGATATCCCGGGCGTGAGCACCATGCGCGTCGACTACCTCTCCTCGTTCACCACCGAAATCGCCGTCGCGAGCTCAACCACGAACGGGAAGAGCAACATGTTCGCAACGCTGACCTTCATCAACGACGCTGCTTTCATGGCTGAGCTCTACGCACTCGCCGACGCTATGGTCACGGACCTCAATACTCACGTGCTGGGGCTGCTGTTCACGATGACATACCAGCCGCTCCCGCATGCCATCTACTCGAAATCCGCGGCCTCGAACGTGCTGGGGCTCGACCGTTTTACGGATGACTTCATCAACTTGCTCGCTGTAGTGAGTTGGCAGTTGGCGTCTGATGATGCGACGGTGTATACAGCGGTGGAGAAGCTGTTTGGAGATGCGGAGGCAGCGGCGAAGCAGAGGGGGTTGTGGAACGAGTTTGTGTATTTGAATTATGCGGCCAGCTGGCAGAAGCCGATCACGGGGTATGGGGAGGAGAGTAAGGCTTTTTTGGAGAGTGTGAGTGAGGTGTATGATCCCGGGCAGTTGTTTCAGGTGGGCGTGCCGGGAGGGTTCAAGTTGGCGACCGGGTGAGGGTCGCAAGGGGGTTTGAGAGTGGTGAGAGGTGGTTGAGAGTGGTGATGATAGATCGTAGAATATTATTGAGCTGCCATGACAGATATTCGATATACTATACCCGACCAAAGGTCACTATGCTGTGTTCATATTACTAGACATCTCTTCGCCTTGCAATGTTGGTCCTGATGCGTTCCTCCACGATAGTCACGTGACTAGTCGATTTTGACTTTTGGATGTGTCGTCTAGTTGCACAGGTTTGATGAAAGCCTATAGTTTAGTCAGAATCGAAAAACTAGTAGGATGAGGCAATTGGGTCCCGGATCCTACCACTCTTGCGTAGTGATAGAGCGCGGGTGGTCAGAAGTCACTTGACGCATCAGCCAACAGCTAGGTATCAAAGGAGGGACAAAGAAGGACTGGATTGATTGTTCTGCTTTGTGATTATGGAATGATCTCTCTCTCTCTATTGTCACGTAGTCGATATGAAGTTGGACCCTTCCTGACGGAATTAAGCATACTGAAGTCCGTATTCTCTATAATGATGCTTTAGACTCAAGGTCTGTACACTAATTACTCGATGGGGTTCTAAGGGACGATGATTAGGAAGATCGATTCTTTTGATATCCGTTTAGTTTTGACGAATATTAGATGTTACGTTAAAGGAGGTGCAGTCGAGGATGCGGCACGAGTGACTTGCTTGGCAGCGGAAAGGCGTTACTCGATCTTTTGGAACGTGAACGCTGGCCACTTTTCCAGAAGCCACCATCCTCATCACCTCCGTCGCCTGACATTCTCTACTACCTAGAACCTTCTCTAGGTAGCTCCGGTGTCTGTCATTGCCTCTATATACCTCCTACACACTTCATCGGCCCGGTCACACCGAATCATGGCCTAGCCAAAAGTCCCCATTACATTCACAATCCGTTTCTTTTGCCTGGAATACAACCATCTGATTTGCGCTCCTCCTAATTGGTATGGCTCCGCAGCTCCCTACAAGTTCCTCTGCGTTGCCGCTCTGACCTCGAGCTCTTTGCAGACACCTATACCACATCCTCGCACCTCCGCTCTCCCATACCCTGGGACACACATCACCCACGCCCTCCGCCTTTTCGGAATACCAATCTGCGCACTTCAGTATCAGAAGTAGCAATATGGCATCTGAGGTCGCCGCCAATGGCAGCGCTTCTTCCCCAGAGGCGTTGACTCCGGCCCAGCTGCTGGCAGAAAAGCACGCCGCTGACGAATCCCATCGTCCTACGGTTGAGGAAGTTATCGACGAGGAGGATATTGTACACCCGCCTCCCTCGCTCAAGTCGCAAGTTGATGGCTCATCGGAGACGCCGCCGGTGCTGTCGGAGAAGGCCGCGGGAAAGCAGAAGGCTAAGGACCCTGAAAAGAAGCCCGCCGCGAATGTGCCATTGAACACCCAGTCTGAGGAATTGTTCCCGGCTTTGGGGCCTGCGAAGCCGCGAGGCGCGCCTGTTCCCTCTGCCTGGGGCAAGAAGCCTGCGTCAATTACTACCAATGGAGTCAATGGCTCTGCTAATGGACCGACATCCAGCAATGCATCTTCCCGCGCATCGACACCGGCAGCTGGAACTCTTGGGTTCGCACCGTCCACAGCTGCCGCCCACCGGGTCAACCTCCCGGGTATGTCGCTTCCTGGAAAACACGCTGAGAGCATCACCTTTGCTCCTTCGCAGCTGCTTCCCCGCAACCAGTTGAAGAAGCCCGTGAACGAGATTCTCCGCGACATCAACCGCAAGTCCAAGGCCAGGGTTGAATACAAGCAGGGAAATGGTGGACACATCATCTTTGAAGGTACTGGGCCAGTTGAAGCTGTGCGCAACGCCCTCAAGGATGTCGCGAACGAACTGGGTTCCAAAGTATGCACATTCATACATTGTACTATAATATCACTAACATGTATCAGCAATCTGTCACTGTTCCGGTCCCTGCATCCGTACGAGCCCACATAATCGGTCGTCAAGGTTCAAAGATTCAAGAGATCAGCAAGCGAACTGGTGCGAAGATCCAGGTCCCCAAACAAGAAGACTCGCCGGCCTTCGCAGACGACGATGATAGCGCAACTATAGATGTCTTGATCGAGGGCAATGCTGTTACGGCAGAGATGGCACGCCAGGAGATCGAGACTATCGTCAACGAGCGAACCTCAACTGTGAACTTGCGCTTGAAGGACATTCCTGCCGAATACTATCCCTTCCTTGCAGGTCCGCACAACAATCTCATAAGTTCTTTGGAAGATGGAAAGGACATCCGTGTGCAAATACCTCATTACCACACTTGGAATACCCAGCCACCTCCCCAAGGGGCTAGCGGGCAACCTGCATTCGTAGCACAGCCGGGCCTACCAATACAAATATCGGGAGAGCGGAATGCGGCGCGAGAGATACAAGCCCTGCTAGAGCAACAAGTACAACAGCTACGTCGTGACTTGGCCATCTCGGAGACTCCGGTAGAGCGAGGCCGCCACCAATTTATTGTTGGCGACAAGGGCGGGTCACTACATGACTTCTTGGAAGCAACCGGCTGCACAGTCATCTTGCCCCCGAACAGCGAGGACAGCGAGGCAATCTACATTGTTGGACCTCCAGATAAGATTGAGAATGGTGTTAGCAAGCTTCAGGAGCTTGCATCCAGCATGCAAATGGCCAGAGCCGATATTGCGAGACAGCATGGCAATGCGCAAGCCCACGCGCGCAATGTGACGAGGTATCTTAAGCAACGTCAAGCTATCGAAGAGTTGGAGCGTCAACACGAAGCTAGCATTATCCTGCCATCGACTGAGGGTTCGACCGCTTGGGAAATCTTTGCTCGGGACGGTAAAAACATGTTGAAGGCTCGCAACGATATCATGAGCCTAATCAGCAGTCATCCACCGTCCAGGATTAGCAACATGACCGTCGACCCGTTCTACCACCAGTTCCTGCAACAACGAAATGCGCAGCAAATCCGCGACGACAAGGGCGTTCAGATAGTCTTCCCCGATGAGGCAGAAGACTCATCAGATTTGATACTTGTCTTCGAGGGTCTAGAGCCTTCCGCTGACTACGTTTTACCGAGGGGAGCTCCATCAGCTGCAGACGTCAAGGCTTACCAGAGCGCACTCCAGGAGGCCCAACAGCTCATCGAGTCTTTGACCAGCTCTCAAGAAGAAATCGTTTCCCGCGACGTCGAAGCACCTTCCAAGTTCCACGATAAGGTCCGACGCTTTGTCGACAAACAACAACAGGGTCTACCTAGTGATGAGATACCAGTCCAAGTTCTCTTTGGTCAGCGGAGACCCCAGGAGGCCCGTGAACGATCCAACAACGGAATCTCAATGCGCGGACCGAACAACGCTGTGGACGATCTATTTGCTCAAGTTCTTGCCTTCATTGAGCAAGAAGAAAAGGACGAACTCGAACGCGGCTACACTACGACCTTCGATTTCCCTCAGAAATACGCGAACTTCCTCATCGGCAAGCGTGGCGAGAACATCCGTAAGCTGAAGGAGGAGTTTGATGTCGACATCCAGGTCAATGATGGAAAGGTTGAACTCAAAGGACCGCAGGCGAAGGCTCATGCTGCGAAAGCCCATATCCTCGCACTTGGCAAGAGGCTTGAGGATGAGACAACTCATACGCTGAAGATCAAACCGCAGTACCACCGTGATCTGATCGGCCCTAAGGGAGCTCAAATTCATCGACTTCAAGACCGGTACAACGTCCGGATCAACTTCCCCCGGCACAACGCACACGACGATGATGCCGCAACTGAGGGTGCGACTTCGCAAAAGAATTACCGTACCCAACCACCTGACGAAGTCACCATCCGGGGTCCTACGAGAGGTGCTGACGGAGCTCGTACCGAGCTCCTCGACCTTCTTCAGTTTTTCATCGATCGCGGATACACCGACTCGGTTTCTGTGGCCCAGAGCCAAATTCCGACCCTCATTGGATCTGGTGGTAAAGAAATGGAACGTCTTCGTCAAGAAACAGGTGCTCAAATTGATGTTCCTTCAAGAGACTCGATTGGTCCATCCGGTCGCGCGGATATCACCATTAAGGGGACCAAGAAGGCTGTCGAAGAGGCTAAGAAGCTGATACAAGAGCGGGCTAAGGTCTTTGACAACACTGTCTCGCAGACTATCGAGGTTGACAAGAAACACCATAGTGCTCTTATTGGCCGGTCTGGTAAGTTTCCAGAGTCTTTCAAGTATTATATCGAGTTCAACCGCTAATTTTATCATCAGGCGGCAACATCCGCAGCATAGTCACAGCTGCTGGTGGACCCGACAACGCGCGAGACCTCGCTCGCATGGTGCGTTTCCCTCGTACCGAGGATGATGAGACTACGATTACAGTGGAGGGTCCCAAGGCTGTTGTCGAGAAGATTGTGGCCTCCATTCAAGCTCAGGTTTCGTCTCTAGACAGCCAGACTGTCGAGACCCTCGACATCTCTCCCGAGAAGCACCGTCTGTTGATCGGCCGTGGTGGCGAAACACGCCGTAACCTCGAGTCTCAATTCAATATTCAGCTTGACATCCCCAAGCAGACCGTGACAGGCGCCGCCCGCAGCCAAGTTAAGATCACCGGCGAAGCCGATGCCGTCGAGAAAGCTAAGGAGCACATCCTCGAGCTCGTAAAGTCGCAGGAAGGCGAGACTATCCACGTCCCCTCGCATCTACACCACATCATCTCCGACAACGGCCAGTTCTTCCGCCGCTTGAAGAACGACCACAAGGTTACCGTCGACCACGCTGGCAAGCAACCGCCAGCTCGCCCTACCCAAAGTGCCGCCGATGGTGGCAAGGCTCGCAAAGGCGTCAACGGCGCCTCTCTACCTCTCATCACCGACGACGACACCAGCGCTGGTGCCGAAGAAACCTACTCCTGGGAACTCGTCGAGAATAACGCGGCCGATCCCTCCGATGATCCATCTGCCACTATTCCCTGGATTCTCCGTGGTCCCGCTGATAGCCTCCCCAAGGCTCGCCAGATCCTGGAGTCGGCGATTGAAGCTGCGTCTAAGCCTTCCGCTACCGGCTACCTCATCCTCCCCGACCCTCGCGCGTACAGACAGGTCGTAGGCACTAGCGGCAGCACCATCAACAGTCTCCGGAAGAAGACGGACACGAAGATCAATGTGCCGCGAGACCAGGCTCAAGGAGAGGCAATTGAGATTACCGGCTCGACCGAGGGAGTCGAGGAGGCGAGAGACCTGATTCTTGACATCATCAAGAGGAGCAGCGGCAATCGTAGCCGGAGAAATTGAGGCAGCGCAGAATGAGGCTCGGTGGAGTGCAGGATGAGTAGAGAGGGGGTGGAAGGGATGGATCTGTGGAGTGAAGCTTTCTCATTTTCTCATTTTTGATCTTTTGCTCCGTCTTATGCCTTTTAGCCCAAGTCGGTATGCACTTACTGGGAGGGTCTGATCTTCTTTCTTGCTCTCTGCATCGGTGTGTGTGCGCCTCATTGCCTGAAAAGTAACATGGGGATATGGGGGATAGAGAGGGGATGGAGACAAAATTGTAGAGTACTATGATTGAAGAGTGGGTGGTGGAGGGGGAGAGGGGGGCGGTTTTATCTATAAAAGTAAATGGGAAGATTTTGTCTATCTTAGCATGGCTCCAGAAAAAATTTCTACTTTGCGGCTGACGGGTGGCGTTGGTTGAGATGGAAGTCGTTGGAAAGCGAACAAAGGAGCGATGTGGGTGGTTCCTTGTTCTATTCTTGAATGCGCTAATACGGACGACAGCTTCACTGGTTACGGGAACATGCCACGATCACGCTCATCATTTTTGGCTAGGTTATTTGGTGCATTAAATTTGAGGTAACTGTTATGATGCGACTAATTACAGGAAATGAAGGAAAGGAAAGTGTAAGATGCCAACTGCCATCAAGCCAGTAGCAGAAGTAAGGGAAGCCTGGGTATCCCATCCACCCCCGTTCGCATCAAAAGCAAGACTAAAGTATCCAACAGGCCCCGATGTTCCACACCCAGCCCTACCACCCTACACCTGCGCCACATGAAACACAAACCGACTCCCAATCGGCGCCGGGTAGTACGTCACACTGCCCCCGCGCACCAACACATCGCCCTTCTTCCCGCTCCCATCCGCCGCGTCTTCGCTCGCATAGCACTTCGTCATGCCCGCGCCCGTCAGGATCCCCACGTTGTCCGTGTAGCCGAAGTTGGCCAGGCAGTCCGAGTAGGAGAAGTAGCGTGGTGGGTCTAGATGGTTCCTCTCGAGCGCGGCGTAGACTTTGAAGCGGAACGTCAGCCCGCTGTTGTCGTAGGTCGGGATCTCTTGGTCCCAGTGCTGCGCGGCGGCGACGGTGACGGTCAGAGATTTGGTGAGGGGCGTGTTGGTCCAGAGGTTGGCGCAGGCGTCGCCGACGGCGGAGAAGTACCAGTGCAGGGGCGGGAGGTGGTTGGACTTGCAGGTGGTGATGGGGTGGTCGGTGGCGATGTCGCGGCGGTAGAGGGAGGTGGAGTTGGCGATGGTGGTGTTGGAGTCGGGGGGAGAGATCGTGAAGGAGGGCGTGGAGGGGGCGGCTTTGGTGGCCGGGAAGGTGGCCGTTAGAAGTAGGAGGAGCGTTGTGAGAAGCATGGTTGGTTTGGTTCGGTCTGGTGGTGATGCTTGATGGTTTGAGTTGGTGGTTGGTGGTTGGTTTTTGGGTTGTGGGTTGAGATTCGATTTGGAAGCCAAGTGTGTCTGTACTCGATTTCGAAGGATTGTTGTAGAAGGGTTTGTAGACGATGGAGGCCTTTGATAATAAATACTTGATAGAAATAGATGCTCCATTGAAGCCTTATTGAGGAATTGCATGCATCAACTCTCAATAAGATTTCAATAGAGCGATTGGTCCGTGCCTGAAGTTCGCGATGGTGAGATCGTGAGAGTTCGACATGTTAATTGCGGAAATACAATAAGTCAAAGAGAGGCGTCTTTGTATGCTTGTTTATTGTTCTCAGTGCTCTCTTTGTTCCCTGGGCCTCGAACTTCGTTGCGACGGTCGTACAGATGGTCGGACAAAGGCTGAACAAAAATCAATCCCCTTGTTCACATTCCAACGATAATAAGCAACCTACTTATCGGGAAGAAGGCTACGCCTAACGGCGGAAATGTACCCAAAATCGTTAGCTATCACTAGCTCGGCAACGCGCGAGAGGAAGTTAGAAGTACGGGCCTCGATCAAGACGAGTGGGTGATTTCACCTTTTGTACGCAGGGCGACGGCGGGGTCAGCATTTGGCGATAGAGAAGAGTCTTGAAATGTTTTACGCCATGGATTGGCCTCGCCTTCAACGCTTCGGGATTTAATTAAGCCATTGTTTTACCCTCGAATAGCCATACAGTGTCAGGTCATAAGTTTAGGCGCGCGGATGGCGCGCGGATATCTCGCTAGTCAGGCTTCACTTTTGCTCACTCCTTACCACTGTAAGGAGCACAAACGTTAGCCCTATTCCCACCGCATCGACTTTTATGTTTCACGTAGAACTTTGGAAGGATGTCGGGATACCTGGAGCAGATGTCCGATATGTCCAAACTTATCACCTAGCACTATAACCACGGAAAGTAGGACTGTATGAAGAGCACTAGAAATAGAAGAACACCCCAGATCTAATTCTTACACATACCCTCACCACCAAATGTCGCTCGCCCCTATCTTCGTCATCGAACAAGGTTTCCAACCTCCATAATCGCATCAACATGAATCAGCGGTAGTTGACAGCCTTCACCTCATCCTATGGCCATTCATTTTACTCTGGGGCGGGTGGTTGGGCCTCCTCGTCTTTTCCATACTTGCCCTTTCGAGAGCGTAGGCCGCTCCATCGCGAAGTCTTCTTCTTCTCTTTAGGCGTTACGGGCCCTCTGTTCTTCTCTGCTACCAACAAGTCGACCTCTGGGAATTCGTTGTCTTTGGCAGATTTACTGGTCCAGGATTTCCAGCCACGTTTCAATTTCTGTCGCCGCACCGAGTCGCCCACCCACCAAGCCCCGAAGCCAGACAAGATGTAGGTAAGGATGGAGATTAGAACAGTGGATATGTAGAATGAGGCTTGGGTTCTGTGGTTATCTTCACTGTCAAAGAGATGCATTCCGAAAATACTCTGAGAATAGCACACCAGTCAGCAAGTACTTTACCGCGAGTTTTGGAGGAGAACCTACAGCAACGAAGCTAAGGGGCAGGTAGAAAATTGTTATCACGGTGAAGACGAAAAGATATTGGTTGATGGCTGTGCCTTTCCTGGTCTCGAGCACAGACGTGGCGTTGAACAGCTAACCCGGTAGTGTCAGTCAGAGCGGGAATGTTGCACACGGCGATGACTTACCCCATCTCTAAGACTTTTTATCTCCTCCGTCTTCTTGTCAATTCTATCAAGAAGAAGCTTTTCGTGTCTTCGTTGATAGGTAATCAGCGCCTCCCAATTGGCACTGATTACTTTTTCTTCGAGGTCGATTTCATCGAGTTCGGGGACGCCTCTAGAAGGATCTGCTCTAAGTTCTCTTTCATGAAAAGCTATCATGGCATATTTCCTATATTCTTGATCCTGCAGCCATCCTCCTTTCTGTTGCTCGAGGTCCTTAAGCGCTCCACTAATCCATTCTCCCATGATGCGTAGGAGCTGTAGGACTATGAAATACTGCTTTGATCTATCAAGCGAACTGTCGAACATTAGGTCGCTTATCTTGCTATCATCAAGGATGTCGTGGGGCTGTATTTGGTCAGTGAGAAGCCCGTAGTCAGGTCGAGCACAAAACTAACCTGCACTTTGACAAGACGGTCGACCTCCGAGAGAGATTCATTCCAAGATGTGTACCATCCTCCAAGTGTCGTGTATAGCGCTAGCTGAAACATTGAGATGCCTTTGTAGTATCTACCCATCCTAATATTAGCGGCCTTCCAAGTCTTAGCTTCGTAGTTTAGCTCCTGAGAGTTGGTCCCGTAGTCCCGCAGATGGAAAATACTGCAGGCTGCTATCTTCAGGACAGAAGTAGTGCTAAGAGCGATTGATACTCGTCTTTCAATCACGAACGGCTTCGTACCGAAACCCAGGACGCCTTTCACACGGTCGCATGGAATACCAAGCTCATTCTTATCCTTCATAGAGAATGGAGGGCATATTCGTAGAACGCGGGTGTGATGCTGGATACTCATCCAGTTTCTTGTCGAATCGAAGTTCATGGACGACCAACAAGAGGCTACTCGGTTGCCGGGGCCGGGCCACAGCCCACCGAAAGCCATGACGAAAGACACTGCGTGTGAGGAGTTATTGTCCGAGCAGTCTGGCGTAGCGGTGAAAGCATGGAGAACGGTCGCAAGGTCAACAGCGTCCAGGAAATCATCAAATACCACGTATTTCCTAGGAATCGATTAGGACTTCGTTATCATATAACTCTTCAACGCGGTAGGATGTGTCACACCTCAAAGCTCCCAAAGGAGAAAACTTGATGTTCAGTCTGTTTGCCCATTGAAACCCAGGATACCCGTTATGGTCATAGCTTAGCTCTCTTAACGTGAGTTCAGATTCGCCAGGAGCCCACGAGCGGGATGCTATCAATTTCTTCCAGTCGGTGCGAATTGACGCCTCGATAGTTGAGGTACATTTTCCGTGAAAGCCCCACTGTATCTTTTCGAGAAGATTGCTCTCCTGGCTCTGTACCTGGATAGTAGGACTGTCCAACAGTTCTTCCCCATCATAAACCTGGCTAGGGCTGTCCCATATGTCTTGGCTATCATCAAGAAACCTTTCATATTTGAAGCCTTTGAGGAAAATGTCCACAGTCCTATCTAGTTCATCGCTGTTCGCTTTTTGCGCGTAGAAGACGTCGACCCCAACGTTCTGACACTCCTCTATTTCCTGCTTGCTCAAATCTTCCGGTGGAAACTCTACATTGGTGCTGACCGCCTGGTCTTTCAACTTCAGCGCATTTTGCTTCAGCGAGAGCAAATCTCTTTGGAGCTTGTTGGATTCTAGGATTTCTCTTAGAATAAGGGCGACGTCGTTGGTTGGATCCTGGGACGCTTTTTGATCTTCTTTCGATCGCATGGAGGATGGAGACCCCTCGTGATGAGTCGAAAGCTGGTCGAGATTCCCAGTCTCTCCGTTGGATGGCTGAGAGTCTTCTGGCCCATCTTGGAATCCTATCGAGGACTGCTCCAGCGTATGAGTAGTCACCTGCTGGTCTTCCGTGTCGCTCATGGCGCTGTAAATTCAGACGTAAGGAGCTGGTGTCGCTCGAAGGGAGATGTCCCTCTTATCAGTAGTGGAAGCTTTGATGAGCGACATATCGCTATGACGTGTCATGCTAGACTACTGCGTACGCAGACTTCAGCTGGAGTGTGTTCCTTGGCAGCCAGCTGTGCAGTCTATGATTCGACCTGGACTCCCCTGAGGTGACAGGGCAGGGTGCGACGTGCAGCGTGCAGCGTGGGGCTCCGGGGTTCCGCAATTACGACACCACAAGTCTGGCATAATAGGCAGAGGCGAAGTCACAATCACCACTCGCAGTGATACACGGTAAGTTATGCGATAGACGATAGTTCGTAAGAACGAAACCATGTTCTGGTGTGGCAGCGAATTGGACGAGATCCGTGCGCGCGACGGGCCGATGCGATCAACATCTTGTGATATATTCAAATCACGTGATTGCGATACGGATGACAATGTCAATCCTATGTAGGAATTCTAGCTTGTTATATACACCTGAAGGAGGCTTATGCAGGCATTTCCGTACCAGATCTATTTTACCATAGTATAGATCCAGTTCAGAACGCTTCCAACACATCACGTGCACCAATCGCTCGAATATCTGCCGAACCTTATCTCAGGAACCTCAGACGCTCCGCAGAGAATTTGTGGTGGTTGCATAACTTAGCACCTACCATGCCCCCCTTGCAACACCCCTGCAACACCCAAAATCCTCTGTGGAGCGTCTGAGCTCAAATGGGCGCGTGTTTGGTGTAAGCAGGTCGGAATTCAACAGGTTCATTTTCTTCAGTGGACGAAAAAAGGGTGTTACCAAGCAGTTATCATCACAGTTGTTGATGCAATTGAATGCTAAGGTACTTGAGTACTCAATTCACATATTCATGCCTTACTACCTAGTCTATTAGGGGGCGAAGTACAGCGTTGAGAAGAGAAAGTTCATTTTTGAAACTGGTCGGGCTCACTTTTCGATCTGCTTTTAAGATGGAACTTTACCACCACAACTTCTTTCGCCCTAAGAACCTAGGAGCTGCTTCTTAAGAGTATAAGAAAGCAGCTCCTATGTTCTTAGAGTAAAAGAAGTTGTGATGGTGGAATGCGACCGTGAAAGCTTCAAAAAAACCGTCCTTACAAACTGCGACCATTTTCCCTCAGACCCTCTACGAGGAATTCCTTGCCCGTCCGTGCGCATCACGTGTACGAGCATAAAATTCATAAGCGTGCACGGGCATACGTTCACCCACCGCAGGACGGGCAAGGCAATTCCTCGTAGAGAGTCTGAGGTCCCTGAGATAAGCCGAACCTCAAGATTTCCACACTCTTGTTGTCACAGTTAATTTACAACGGCTAAGATCACAACAGGCAAACTGGACATACAACTACTCTTTACTTATTCTTAGTACTAAGGCCGAACCTCTTGTAACATGCTACTTAGGCACTTTGATTCTCATGCCACGTGTTAGCCCGTGACCCAACCACCACCCCTTTTAGAGATTACTTTAGTTCATGTCAGAGGACTTGGAGTAACTTTCCGCGAACGGGAGTTCTTAACACTAATCCTATGCTAAGATCAAGCGATCAAAGAAAAGTGTTCGAAAACCCCAGCCCGAGCTGGGTGGTTCTTCGATTGTATCTCTAGGGCGACTCCAATATCAAGGTGTAATACGTATGAAGAACTATCTCTTTTCTTTGTGAGTCATTCGTAGTTGTATGGGCTCCAGACGACTTCAACCTTATTCGTTAACTGCTGCAAAGCTTAAAGTTATGCGAGCAATCATCAAGGTCTATAAAGTGGTTGAGGAAGGCCATTCTTTTTTGAGAAAAGCGGTCATAAAAGGCCGGAGGCACATGGTAGCGGAAAGGGCTAAACTCTCGGCCGGCTGGAGGCAGCAGGCTCGCCGACAGATACATTTAAATAGCGAGAGTATTCAGCTAAGTCGGGTGACTAGAACAAAACCATTACGGAGGAGTGGAACTACCTCCACTTCCTGCTTTCCGCGGCCCGCCATACCATAGCTAGTGGTCGATCCCATCCCGGACGTGAGGAAATGACCTCGCCGACGTCATTCAGAGGAGAGCATGTGTAGAGCTGGAGTCCAATTAAGGACTTTTTTAGAGTTCCCGCATCAAATCACAGGGTACATTGACCAAGGTGGACATTCGCTTCGCTAGCGCGACTAGGGAATGCTTAGACCCTATGCATAATGCATTGTCACCAGTGGCACAACATGTGCTTATCAAATACTGTAGAGGTAAGGACCAGTCAGCAGTGCTGCGGAGAAGCGTTTAATGTAGATAAATAGTGACATTCCTCCACGCTTCTTTGATTCGTCTTCTCATCTACAATCAACCATTCATCATCACCAGGCTTCAGCAACTGGACCGTCGATCCAAACCGTTCTCAACATGACTTCCACTACCCAAGTCCTCGGCGGCATCACCGTGCCCAACACGCCCGCCATCACCGCGGCCATATCCTATGCCCGGGCCCACTCGGACGACATGACCTACAACCACATCATGCGATCGTTCCTTTTCGGCCACTGCATTGCCTCGAAGCTGCCGCACCTCAAGAACCTCGACCGCGAAGCCCACGCCGTCGCTGCAATCCTGCACGACCTCGGCTGGGACTCGACCGGCGAACTGATCTCCAAAGACAAGCGCTTCGAAGTCGACGGCGCCGAGGCGGCCAGGAACTTCCTGCGTGGTTTGAACACTAAAGGCGACGAAGCTTGGGACGAGCGCCGCCTCCAACTCGTCTGGGATGCCATCGCGCTGCACACTTCCGACACCGTTGTCGCGCACAAGGAGCCGGAATGTGTGGCCTGTTGGCTGGGCATCGTGGCTGATTTCGCGGGCCCGGACCACTCACCGGAGGGGTCGTTGACGTGGGCTGAGTATGACGGCATCGTGAAAGAGTATCCGCGGTTGAAGATGATTGCTGGGATCAAGGAGATTTTGTGTGGATTTTGTAGGTCGAAGCCGGAGACTACGTATGACAATTTCGTGGGTGCGGTTGGGCAGAGATACCTCGAGGGGTTTTCGTTGGAGGGCCATACTTGGCCGGACCGAATCGAGGCGTGTCCTTTGCCAGACTCGTTTTGAGGGAAAGAGCGCGTTTAATCGGCTGCGAAGCCTTTTTGTGGGACTGTGTAGAGCCCAACGGATACTATTTGGCGGGTTGAAATCCTTACTTCGTTGCAATCTGATGCTGCAAGTTGGGTGGTGATGCTCTAATGGCGTCTGCTTGGTACTTTTTGAGGATCCAATACGGAAAGATATTGCGACAAAATCCTTCGGTTACGCCAGAAGTCATGTGCGAGGTAGATCGGAGAGCAGGAAGTGCCGATGCCGTTTCCATATAAGAGGCAATCTGAGATGACCGTGTGGGTAACATCTTAATCCATGAACTAGTGAGGTCAAGCTCCGGCCCTGAGAGCCTGCTTAGTGTAGTACTGATCAGAAGCTGCAGTGACCAGCATTCGATTTGCAGCAGCGCAAAGTCGTTGCTTGGAAACTCAAGCAGTAGTACAGAACAAATGCACGAAAATGCGGCTGGAGATTGGCAATCGCAGCTGATTTGCTGATGCGGGTATGCCTCGTTGAGCCATAAAGACCGCCATCTGGCGAGGCCTGCCTCGATCCCCAATGCTTCGCCAATCCGCTCTTGTGAAATGCCTAGGCAATCAGGGGATTCATTTACTCCCCCGTCGTTGACCACGAGCTCGCTGAAGCGTAGCGCTAGGTCATAGAGCTTGTCCCGCCAGGTTTTAGGCTGCGCTGCCCAAGGACTGCTCATCCATTCATCTTTGGACAAGAATGTTTTTTGACGTCTGCTCAACGCAAGAAAAAACTGTGCCACTTCATCAGCATACAGTCAAGCCGAGGCGTATCGCAACTTACCCCCATTTCCCGAATCTTCTTGAACACTAAATGAAATCCATCTTTTGAAAACTGGGTAGGTCCACTTTGTCGCATCAAGGCCAGAGCTCCGTCAAAATGGCCTGACGAGCCCCAACTGAAATTCGCCATGTCTACAGGCGGATTCAGACAGGAGTCTACCAGCGCGTACACCGTCGAAATCACAGCTAGCATAGCAGCCAAACCACTGTTAGACGATTTCTGCACCGTGCCCCTGTACAGACTAATGCTATTGTTGTAAGCGGTAAGACTCATGATGTGAAGGGCTGCGTTGCCCCGGTTCAACGCAAGACGCTGGGCGCTGAGTGCTATTATGGAGAGATCTAGAGCCTTGTTCCGAAGCATAAGTCGTGAACACCCTGGAGGCCAATAGTCGTTTGTCTGACAGTAGCCGAGTACGAAGGTCCTCCAGAGTGCAGCGACTTGCTGCGGGTAGCCGATTTGTAACGACACAAACTCCTCTCGGCCGACCTGAGCTACGCCGTGAGAAGAGGACGCCGACAAATCAAAATTGGAGGTTTCGTTGTTGAGGATTCGGTCTCCATGGGCGCCGAGCTCTTTTGTCTCTGCGATAGCCTCGCAGAGAAGACGCTTCTTGTTCGTTGTTGAAACATTTGAAGCATTCAAATTGACAAACGTTCGTATCGCGCCCCCACCATACCCCTCGCACTGGCGGCCTGCTTTTGTGCAAACGAGGCAGTTCGGCAGCGTCCGATCGCACTAGCGATTATTGGAATCAGACATGCCACTTGTAATTCTGCTACAAGCTCATAGGGAAGCCGGAAGTTTCACGTACCCATCTTCTCTGCCGTCGACACGAGAGACAAGCTCGCTTTGCTTGGGCCTCATGGTTCTCGCGGTGATTTGCGGCGATCATTGCGAAGCGAAACTCTCAATCGGGAACCGAAGAATGAAAACAAAAGATGATGCCACTTCACGAAAGCAGCGTTGGTGGGAGAATGTGGCTACTATGGCGCTGGGGAGTGATGAAGATGGGGCATTGCTCGGCATGAAATAAATCGCGGAAAGAGTCCACATAAGCGCACTACGCCCAGTTGGGATATTCGCTTCGCTAGTTAGATTCCTAGTTCTACATTAGGCGACACGATTATGCCGGCAATAATCGGCTTCCAGCAAGACTTTGAAGCAATCCACGAAGGCGACGTTCATGTGGGTATCGCCACGCTATGGCTAGTGTAGCCCGGCCCTAAGCTTAGTAAGTCTTTGATATAACGAGAAAGGGGCATCCTAGATCTATAAATGCGCTAGTCTCAGCATATAGAATATATGAAGAGCGATTGCATCTCTTGTAATTCTACATGCTGCCCTCCCCGTGGTTGGGAACCAAGCCGCGAGCAATGTTCACAACCCTTTCCCACTTTCATCATTACTCGGATCATTAGTTGAGCGCAGTGTAATATCGAAAAAGGTTTCAACTGCAAGTCTCCGATTAGTGGTACTGCCGATATTGTCAAAAGCTTTCACCATCCCGGCATGTGTTTTAACCTTTCGGAGTAGGGTTTCGGCCGAGCCTTATGCCCGCAGCATCGCGCAGTCCTGTGCCCCTTTGCCTCCTTCAGCCTTATTCTTGTTCTGTTTATGCAGGTTGAAGATGGCGCTGAGTTTCACAAAGCGTCCATGATATCTAGCCACTGATGACCGTCCAACGTTTTGCTTTGATCACTTTTGGTGGTGCCCTGCGGCTTCGGCTTGGAAACACTTCCTTGTTGGATGTCGGGATCCTCGAAAATGGGCCACTTTATAGTGACTGACTCTCGAACGCAGTGCAAGCGATTTTGCAATTCTTCGATGATGGTACTGATATATTCAGGCGCGCCCAATGGTTCCTAACTTAACGGTTAGCTGAAGGCTCGAGGCGTGAGAAACAACGGCACCCACCTCTGCTTTGTGTATATGGAGCTCCTTGAGTGTTTTCACCGGTCCAGTGGCTCAGAAATGGCTTCGTCGCAACGTGGGATATTCTCACCCTCCTTCCCGGCTTCGGTGGCTCCGTCTTCGACCGTCAATTTGATGAGATTTCGCGCGCCCTTGCTGTGCAGCCAGTTAAAGAGCTTACATATGTCTCTCTTTCCAGGACCACCAGCTATTCTCCTTTTCTCAGAGCGGTTATCTTTAGGAGCTTCCATAGAGAAGGACAGGGTCGAACAATGATGCTTTGAAAGACTGTTTAACGACTCTTTTATTGATCTCCTTTTCCCCTCGTCCCTCCACCCGTGCTTTCACTGCTCCTTCTCCTCGTAACGGCAGTGAAGGAAGTTCAAAACAAATGAGTTCGTCTAGTACACGGGAAGCCGTCAGCCAACTCGCATTTCTCAGATTGGCGCATACTCAGTCTCCTTGTTGTCACTAAATAGGATTTCCAAAGCCGAGTTGTGACATCACACAAAATTCTCTCCGCTTTCATGTCCCATTTGCTCTTTCCCGCTTGGGGAATGTCGAATGAAGGCAATGGAGCTTCAATATTGTGCCAATCTCGTCGGCAATGTTCTTGGTTCCACTAATGATCTTCTTGTCGGAACTAGACGAGCAGGGTTGCGTCTGGGCCTCTCCAGAACGCTTCGGTCTGGCTATAAACTTAGTAGGTACGGATTGAGCATCTACTACATGTCGTCTTTCATTCGCCAAATTTCGCTGAAAGCCTCTCCCCATTGCGGGTGGAGGCTCACGTTTAGCTCTCATACTGAAAGTTGATGCTCGTCCAATGCCGATACTTGGGGGCTGTCCCTGCCCTTTGTTGAGTTCGCGCTTGACGATGACGACCTTTACAGCCTGATTGTCGCCAAGTTCCGCTTTGGCCCCAATGGTGTCGCTGCATACATCAAAGAGGTCCGCGTGATATTCCAATTCGCCGCTGCGGGGAAGGAAAGAACTGATCCAGTGGTGGACACGTACCCCAACGGAAATTTCTTCGTGGAGCTGAACCGGCATCACGAGCAGGTTGTGCAAGGCGGGAGGGCCAACTTGAGAGCAGTGGTGCAGCTGGAGTACAAGTTGGTGGCGACTTGAAACGCGAGAAGATTGATCGCGACGTTGTGTCTTTCACTAGAGTCATACGATCTATTGAGTTGCTCCACGACTCTGGAAATGACGACGCAGTGTCCTGGACAGTTTCGAAAATCTGACCGAGATAATGGGGGATGTGTCAAGATTGCAGGGCGCTAAACTGCTGAACGACAGAGCATGGACGCCTTCAACGCTACAGTCATAATTAATGTCACAGCGGATACAATTGGCAAAATCGGAGCAGCGTTCAAAGAGGACCAGAACGACGACAACGTCCTATACAACGCGAAGAATGAACCTACCAACAGGCTTCGTAAGTCCGATGTTGATAATTTGGGAGTGGTGGATCTCAAGTCGGTCTCGGATGTGACTCATCGGACGATGATCAGTGATACTGCGAAGGAGGAGTCACCGAGGAAGACAGCCACGACTGAGCTCAGTTCAACGCTGGGGCAGATAGTGCTGTGTCCTGCAATCTCTGGCGGTTGGAATCAAGCTGGAACCTGCATAGAGCTGACTGAGCCGCGTGAGGACCCCCTTCAACTTTAGCAGTCTGCACATGGTGTTTGCGTGACGGTACAAATACCAGCCTTGCCACTTGTTCTCCTTTCTTGGCACTGCCGTTGCTCAACGCCTCGATAACAGTCCGGTCACAGGGAAACTTAGCTCGACAACTGCCTCATCATGGCATCCAACGTCCACGGCTTGGAAACGACTGGAGCGGACTCCGAAAATTGGAATCTAGCTGGTGCGGTACTGGCAGACGAATCATTTTCAAAACAATTAGGAGAAGCTGTGAACCGAGTAGACAGAGCATTCGTGAAGCTTCTTGTCGAAGAAGGCCGGAAAACCATCACCAAGGAAACCTACATCGAGGCACTGACAAAACAACTTGCAGTAACCGTTGAGAACAACAGCCCCGGAGATTGTGATGGTCCTTGTTGACGGAAGAGCAAACCTAGAGCAGAAGACTATCCGAGGAACCCAAACTCCATTGTATCGTGCTGCATTCAGAGGTTACGTTGAGATTGTGCGGCATCTACTCAAGGCCAAGGTGAACCTAAACCCTCTAGAAGACGATCTGGACTGCTGGGAACCAATACATGCCGCATACGACATGCAGACGTTCTGCGGTTACTGCTCCAGGCAGGAGCACAAATCGATGCCCAGGCCGGTAACGGCCAGACAGTGTTGTTCTTCGCTTGCACCAGCGACAAAAAAGATTCAGTAAAAGAGCTGCTGAAGTACAAGCCGGACCTCGGTTTGGTGGTCAATGACGAGACGTGCCTCTCCATTGCAGTCAGTAGAGGTTGCTCAGGAATAGCCATGATGCTTCTAGACGCCGGCACAAACCCATATCACCATACGACGAGGGAGGCAAATCGATATCTTCTTCACGAATGCGTGAAGCATAATCTGGAGGGTGTCCTGAGAAGTTTGCTCCTGTACAACATTCAGATTGAGGAAATCGATAGCCTTGGCCGAACTGCGCTCAACTGTATCACGTCTGCGACGGGTGCCCCAATATTTGAACTCCTCATAAACCGCGGAGCCTCAGTAAACACAGTAAATCGGGATGAAAACACGCCTCTCTCTTGAGTAATCCACTACCGAGATGCACAGGCGACCGAGCTCTTGATCTCGAAAGGCGCGGACGTCAAAGCACCCCCATGACCGTTTGCTATGCCACTACATCTAGCATGCGCCCGGAGCTCTCTAGATGTGATCAAGATTCTAGTCGGTACGGATGATGATACTTATGTCGACCATGAAATGGATGGCGCTCTATTCCAGACAGCATGCTTTAGAAAGGATGACGAAAGGTCAGGTGTACTCACCTACCTATTGGAGACTACTGAAGCTATTGGTCGTCAGAGCAGCGACCGGTGGGGAAGCAACATCCATACTGCCTGCCTAGTGGCCGATTTGAACACTGTAAAATCGCTCCTTAAGCGCGGTGCGGATATCAACTCCGAGGACAAGACCGGGCAAAGGCCAATTCACAATGCCCTGTTTCGGACACGGGACTTTGTCAAGCTTCTTCGAGAAGAAGGCCGAGAAAGGGGAATTGAGCTCTTCCTCGAAGACAGAATGCATCGGAACGCATTCCACTTCGCGGTTGGGAATGGTCGGCTTGATCTGGTCAAGTACATTATCGAAGAACGGCCAGAATTAGCCACACAGGGGGACTGCGACGGCTGGACGCCACTATTCTGGGCACTTCGAGAATGTCTTCACTGGGACACGGAATCATCTGAACGCAGCGCCATAATTAAGGAGTTGAAAGCTCGTGGCGCGGATGTCACGATACCTGACCGCGGTAAGGTGCTAGACAGAGTATGGACACCATACTATGTGGCCACGTACTACGGACTCCCTGCCAACATTATTGAGCTCTTAGATCCTCCGTCTCAGCTAGTCTATGAGACCAAAAAGGCGAGCCTATGTGACGACAGCAGTTTTTGTGATATTTGCCTAATAGTAAGCTCTAGTGCAGTCGACGATATAACGCTACGCAATATTAACAAATGGGGCTAGGGCATTGTCGGGCTATATTACATCTGTATTGAATGTTCTAGTTTTCTGGTGTGCTTCAAATGCTATGGTTCTAGAGACATAGTACATCTAGAACATAGGCTCGCGGTAACAAATGAAGGCGAAGAATATGTGTCCAATGAGGAAGAGTCTGTGGACAATGACACCGACGACGCCGATGAAGCCTTACTTTCATCAAGTTCTGAAGAGGGAATAGGGATGGGTGATGATACGTGGGAGGCTGACAGTAGCGGCGACGACCGAGAAAGCGTAGTTTCGGGGGGCATAGAAAAGGTGGCACTCTAATTCTCCAACAAGCTGTCTTGTGTGTACACCTGCCTGCCACTGCTTGGGGTGCTTCAATGCATTTTTAAAAATCTGAATGAGATAGAAGCTCTTCATCTTGGACTATCTGAAAATTTGTTGAAGCACTTCAAACAGTGGTAGACAGGTGTACACACAGGCAGATTACTTTTTGAGTGTGCCACTCTTTTCCCGCCCACGGTACTGCTTGCGGCAAAACTTAGTCTGAATACAAGTGTGTCACATATGGGCATCGCCGGGCTATGCTTAGTCCCTCTCTGTGCCCTTTCAGTAGCAGTGATAAAATTGGAGCGGAGGGGAGTGCGTTGGCCTTAATCTACTCTACTTCAGCCAATTGAAGATCGAAAGGCTGCAGCATCAAACCAGCCAACCAGCTTGGGCGCCATCAAACACAACATACCCCATCAACCCAATCAGATGCATCCACGTGGCGCACAAATTCAAATTTGTGCCTAACAGCCTAAGGGAAGTTCGAAGCTACCGAGCATAAATTGATCACTTACATTGATTGCTTAAGAGAGTAGAGAGTCCCCTTGACTAGTCGGCGTGCATTCTGCATCGACCGACCTCGTTACTTAGATGCTATCCAAAGGCTGACCATACTCGAGCGATTGATGACACTTCATAATAGACACGTAATCCTCACGGCCAAGCTATGAGCTCTTCTCGAGCATTTGCTTGCCATCACTGCAGTTTAGAGGGTAGAGAGTGGTTTTACAATGCTCAGGCCAACATGTACTGGCACTATCATGGTCCCGACGTGATATGGGAGGATGGCACACGATATGTCTATGAAGATATCTATGTGCCATCAAATCAGTATGTCTGGTGCTCCTTGAAATGCTCTTCTGCAGCTACTAAAAATCGGACCACCACGCTCACGCTTCGACCCTTTGCTAGGAGTGCTCAATTCCTCTGGAGGAGAAACACGTTAAGAAGAGGCGACAACTGTACATGGGTGACGCTCGCCTCTTTGATAACCGAGAAGGATGAACATGGCCGTACGAAGACCACGGCAAGCCTCTACCACGAACTGGACAAAGCCAGGATACCACCGGTTCCGAATATAGACGGCCCTGCGTACTGGAACGACGTGCTAAGAATCGCGGGAGAGTTCGGTACGACCCAAAAGCTAGAATTCGTCGACCAGTATCCTACGGGCGTACCCGCAATTGACCTTCCTACTCTGGGCGTGCCGCCACAGACGTTTTTCGGGACCTGGGTTCAACCTGGGAACCAGTGCATCGGGCATTTTGTCAAAGGGTACTGGGCGCCCGACAAGCCTGGTCGCGGCTACGGAGGCAGTGACAAGTGGTTCCGCTTCACGGATTTCCAGACCGACCAAGCAGGTCAAGATGTTACAGATTGGGTCATGGCGACGGGTCAGACGATCAAGTATGCGTACTGGTTTGTGCAATAGCGTCAGTGAAAGAGCTGTTATGCACATGTCCTTGGGTCATTATGGGCATTGGCCTTCTACTTCTTTCATTCGAGATATCGACCGTTGGTGTGGGCAGAGGTGGCTTGTGAACCCATCTGGGAGAAGCAAGGTTGCATATGGGCATCGCCAGGCTATGGTTAGTCCCTCTCTGTGCACCATCAAAGTCCTTAGCTAGCGTTAGCGCCTGGTGCCTGCATCTTCTAGCTAAGCACAAAGACAGAAGAAGAGCGGGACTCGTTTGTTCACACACCAACCATATCGTCATTGATTGTACAGCAACTTCCCGGCCAGAAGAAAGTGATGTCTGCCCGTCAAGATTTGTCCAACTCCATTGTTGTCATTAAACCGTTTATTCTGAGTGAGACTTTACACTAGAAGAATGTCGTCCGCGTCGTCCTAATCCCATGTCATCATTCCCCTAAGCATGGCACCATATAGATAACACGTCTCTACAAATCGATATTCCTTTCCAAATACATGGCGAAGGATCGCCGGCGTTTGACAGCCCCGCAAGATGAAGATCTGGTCGCCCGGCATAGTGTCAGACGCCAATCCGAGCTGTTGGTTTGCTGCGAGGAAAAGCTTGCGTCCTCGGGCAAAATAGGCGAAATGCTGAAACGAAGAGACTAGAAGCTCGTTGTATGGTGATGCTCTTGAGTGATTTTTTCGGCTTTCGAGTTGATCGTACGCCTCGAGAAGCTCTGTCATGTCCGCCTCTCTCAAGCAGTTCAGATCCTCGAGTTCTCTGCTTGAAGCTCGATTTGCCATGATCACGCGGAATAAGTCTTCGCGCGTGACATTTCCATCGCCTAATTTTGTATTGATTGCTCTGAAATGCGTGTCAAGATTGATGTATCGATAAAGCTCGTCTGCTGGGCAAAGTCTTTGAGATGAAAGATACTTGAAATAGGGGCTAAACATGTCAGCGATTGTTGTGATGCATGTGCCTCGAACGTAGAGCTTTAGCCTAGACACCGAGTCAAGCCAAGCATGCTTGAGGGGTCTATTCTCCCACATGATGGCTACTTGGGTCATCGGCACTCCAACGCTGGGAAGACACTGAGAGCCACTCATCCAACGCCGGCTGTTTTGGAACATTGTTCCAAATGGGGACCCACGACGGGACATTGACATGGCTACTGCCCAGTGGCCGAGCCGTGGAGGCATGTCTTAGAATATCTAGGTTTTCGGATTCGCGGATCATCAAGGCTGCGGTGTCAATCAGGACTTAGCGAAATGGAAGTACATAGTTCGCAGTGATTGTTATTCGCTTCGACGAACGTGGTCAAGTTAAAATCAGAGAACACCTCGAATCCGGAGAACGCGCATATGAGATCCCGCATATCAGATGCCTGAATCCTGGAAGCAAGGTTTGAGAGTACGCGGAGAAAGTCGGAAAACCAGAAACCGGCGCAACTACCTTGGGCCAGTCGCCATCTGGTTTCGTACATCTCTCGGAGTGTGTTCCAGCTACTGTCCTGCTGCAGGGCATGGCGGAGCGACCTAGGGCTTTGCTCGGAGAGCGCTGTCTTTGCTATCCTGCGCAACGAGTCGAGACTAATTGCATGCTTCCCCGCTACAAAATCTGCTGATTTGGACAGAACCACCTCTTGGAAAACCCAAGCTCGAGTGAACCACTGATTTCGTAAATTTGGACGAGAGCGCGGTGAGCTTCCACGGCATCTGGTTGCTCGAAAGACTCGATCAACTTCTCCTGCAGGTGTACTGTCTCCTTCTCGAACGAAGCTTTGCAGATATCATTCAGCTCGATGATGTAGCCGTCACGGATATGTCCTTAAGCCACACTAAAACCCGCTTGCCGTGCCTGTAAATGCCCCCCATAATTTTCACCTAGTAGTTCCTCTCGTTGATGCTAGTCTGGTTGATGCAAATCTGGTCAATCCAGAGGTAGCCAGTGCAGCAATGCCAGGAAAGCCAGGGGATAGCTTCAGCAAGATCGCTATTGATGAGCATCGGTTTGAATCTTCCATTCAGCCTACTCGATCCAAGACCGAGAGCGTGTCCACGAGTAGCATCACCCCAAACGTATGAGGCCGTCTCGAAGGGCGGTGCCTCATCCAAGACGTGGTGTTCGATGCTATATTCCCATGTTTCATCCGCAGACGATTTGGCAACTCGAAGAAGACGGATCTCGTTCGCGTGTACAAGAGGCTTGAATTTGTATCGCAACATTCGGCGCTCGGGGCTCGTAGAGGTATTGGATTTGAGGGACTGCAGCGGCGGCTCGAGGGTTTCGGAGGCTCGTCGCTTTCTCGAGGTCGTTCGTGGTCATCGTGGTCATCGTGGTCGTGGTCATCGTGGTCGTAGTCATCGCACTCGGAAGTTGACAACGAAGAGGATGTTTTCGGCGCTTGTGGTATAGCTTCGTGGGAAGGAAACGAAGACATATATGGGAACGGATCCGCATGCCCTGCATTGCGACGTTGGGAGAGGTGCATGAGGCTGAGGCTGTGTGTGGATGGGATGGGTTGAGGTTGAAAGTAGAAGCATTAGTGCCTAAGGCATCATTTTGTGCCCAGGCCATCAACCCCACCGACTCGAGGAATCCCACCCATCCTCGACCAAGCGCATCTTCGCATCGAGAAAGCGTTTGGACTGCGCAAACGAACTTAATAAGGGGACTGATGAGGTCTCTAATGTATAGCATGAGGTTCAGACTCAAAAATGCTTTTTAGTGAAGCCAGTTCTCTGATGTCCTTCTCCCCTGAACTCTTCATCGCCATGCTCATTCTCATCAAGACTGTTCCTCATGCACCTCATGGCTTCCTTTATCACTGCTCAAAATACCTCTTTGCTTTACATATCAACGCGCTTACTATTCTCGAATATTTTCAAGCGGTCACGGGACCTCGGAACATCTTCAGCTCCAGCGCCTCTCATGCAGCCTAGCATAGTTTGCAGAAGTCTTTGGCCTAGACTGGACCTAAGCCTCAGCTCCCCGCGCCCCAGAGCTACGATTTGCCACCGACACTCAGCTAACTCCAGAATGTTGATAGTGTACAGTAACGGTGGACTTCAGGCTGACCCAATCATGAGGTACCGATTATGCGATTGCGGTTCGAGCCTAAGCTGGAGACAACAGGGTCTTCCGCAAGCTCTAGGCCCGGCAAGCGAAAAGATGCCCTTAAGAAGCCGCGCATTCCTGCTTGGACCTCCAGAGCTGAAGGCAAGACTTCCAGCTCCAGATACGAAAGCGTGGTAAGGTACTTGATAGTTGCTGTTTTACGACTGCGTAATCTGTCATGAACCAACTATCTCCTCCTAAAATCACATTTCTCTCCCTATCACTCTTCGTAATATCAGCAGTCGCTCCCGCCCTACAGAACTTCACGGTCTTACTTCCTCCCGGTACCACCAACCATGGAAACCCCGAGCTCTTATGCACCCCGCCTGGGTGGACCGATATAGCGACTTTCTACGTGGGCAACTACCTCACCCATGCACTGACTGTGGTGCACATGCCAGGAGAAGAGACACCAAGCTGGATTATCAATGCGCTCGCATCGCTACTCTTCCCACCATTTGGCTTGTACAGGGGTCTTCGTGCAATTTGGACAAAAGCGGTTTTTGCAAAGGGCGATTTGCAGAAAGCAGCGAGGTCTGGCGCGTTATGTATGGTGGTACGATCCAGCTCTTGGAGGCCGATTCGAGATACCAAAGTGTCAAATGCTATTCTGCTGAGTCCGGAAGATCAAGCTCCCGTTCTAGAAGGGAATAAAGTGGAATCTGGAACGATACGACCGCATCGCGAAGACGATGAGCCCAACAGCTCTCATGAAGACACCGAAGGACTTTTGGCTTCTGATACTGCCCAGGAAACGATACAACTCTCGGATTTCCCGTTGAAAACTGACGACCCTGTTTTGAAACGGGTACACGTATGCGTCTTCGCCGCTCCATGGTCCTACTGCCGCTACGAAGGGCCTGAATCTGCCGACTCTCGCACAGTACGAGCTTCCCCCGTCCTTCCAGAAGGATACAAACTAGTGATAGTCCCACCAGACACGCCCATACGACCTCTAAATGTCGATAACGCGGATAACATCATCTCCTGCAGTCACGATTGGATCACGGGGCTAATCGCCGTGGGTCAAGCGATCTTCGCTATCGTAACACTCTGGCAATCTCGAGGAGACCAGGTCCAACGTTATGGGTACGCTGCTTTCGGTCTCACAGTCGCGCCCTACGCTACTATGTCTTTCGTCAACTTGCTAGGCACGCTCATGCGCCCGGACTTTGATGCAGTGTATCTAGTTGGCTCGCCAACTATGTTGGAGGCACGGTCGAGACTCAAAGGCAGCGCGGAAGGGTATTTTCCCGGAACGGTCGCGGAGCTGGAGGTTGATGAGACTTTCAACTTTCAGTCCCACAACGTCAAGCCCAGGTTGCAATTCATGAAGCGACCGCTTGAGTTCAAAGCTTCGAATAGGATTTTGGAAGTGCACTCTCCAGAGCTGAACGTGCTGTATGGAAGCACTGTCCAAGGGGCTGATGATTCCAAAGTGTAAGTCCGAGCGCTTTCGTATCAAGCCCTACAACGACGCTAACATCTCCCACCCAGCACCGCCACATCCCAGACCACCGAACTCTCCCACAACGCCTCAGCAATAGTCCTCCAACAGCGCAAAGAGTGGCCCGGCTACACCACTAACCCCGAGCAGCCCCTCCTCCTCATCCCCTCCTGCGACCCCTTCCGCTACCACCAACGCCACCAAACCCTCTACACCCTTCCCCTACCCCACTGGAAAGACCCTCAGCGCGGCTGGGACATCAACTGGACTCTCGACGGCTACAACTCCCTCCTTCCCTACAGCAGCTCCTTCGTCGAGCGGGCGCGCTGGTATGGGTTCTTACTCGGCATGGTTCCTCTGGCCATCATCGGCGGTATCTCCCGCTTCCGCGGTGGCTCGAGTAGTGCGACGCAGCGGGCGTTGACGATGTTGTGGGTGAGTTGGGGGATTGCTGTGGGGTTTGTGAGGGCGGAGGCTACGAGGAACGATGTGATCGAGCTGAGTGGGGCGAGGGGCAAAATGAAGAAGGGGTTGGTCTTGGGCTTGGAGTTGCTGTTGTTGTTGCCGATCGGGGCGCCGGCGGTGGCGGGCTTTGTGGTTGTGGGGTTGATGCTGAGGGAGTTTGGGGTTTGTGTGGTTCTGCCTTCTTGATTTCCCTCTTCCCATGTGAGAGCGAGAAGAAGAGGGGGAAGAGGGAGCTGGAGGAGGAGTTCTGATGGAACTCTAGCTGCTTGGAGCATTCCTAGGGCCATTTTATCGTTAAGCTTGCGATTATGACCTGGTTCAAGATTTGTGTGTGCTGCCCAGGTGCGGTTTAAGTAGAGAACTTCTACAAATGCGCCACAATCCCGAAGCTATACCTAATAGCGCATTAGACGATGGACACCTAATGGGTTATGCCTACATGCTAGAAACCGTGCAGCAAATCGACTACAATTCATTGCGAAAACCCTTGACTCAAAGCGCGCGCCGAAACTGAGCTTAGGATGTCCTATCGACTACGCCACGTAGGTAGAACTCGCAAGGCTGGCTGTGCCGCAACTCATTGGCCCTGATTGCGTCGGCCTAACCTGAACCGCCCATCTTCGCATCCGCGCTGGTCTTTATCTACTAGCCCAAAGATCAATCCTCCATAGCTAACCCCACCTTTTCCGTATTACTTAGTGTCAGCGACTTAATCCATCGGGATCTCCACGCGTCATTAGATTCAAAGAGCCTTGAAAGCTATGGGTTCGACGTCGCACAGTCAAGAGGCTGGTTCCAGCACGGTCACTAAGCGGACGCAGGAATGCCTCAGCCTGATGAAAAAAGAGTGAGTTACTATATGCCCTGATGGGAACCTGTACTAACTTTGGCAGAGGGCAAGATGGACTTGGAAACGTCGTCATCATTTTGGGAGAGGTTGGAGCTGGAAAGTCATCATTGCTAGAAGATCTCACTGGGGCACATGGTCACTCGATGGAGGCTGCGAGCTCAGGTATGGGAGCCTTCCCGTCCTCCCTTCTCTTCAAGTCTGATTGTTAATATCCGTCAAGTTACCAAGAAATTCCAGATCGAGAAGACGAGTATCAAAGGCAAAGAATACTACATAATGGATACGCCCGGTTTTGACCATGGGCCTGAACTGGACGTTGTTCTATGAAGTCGCCAGGGGAATCAACGCCGTTAGATCCCATGCCCGAATCATCGGTGTCCTCCTCGTAACCCCGATGACTCATGCTCGAGTCAACGAAATGGATGAAAAGCTCCTGCGATTTGCTCGCGCATTTTGCGGCGACGAATACATGACTCAGGTCACGGATGTTACAACCTTTTGGGAGGCACACAAGGAGAAGCAGAAGCAGGGGCTCAATACAAGGCTTGCGAACCGGCTTGAAAAGGTAAAAGAGTTGTGGTCTGTTCATAGGCCCCTTCGCCACTATCAGCATGGACGGGAGTACGAAGACGGACAAGACAAGGGCGTATTTCTCGATTGGGAGGACGATCGCGACAACATCGCAGAGCATGCTAAAGATATGGTCCATCGTCACTATGGTCATATCAATCCGCGAGACCCTCGTATTGTCCAGGATCTGGCAACAGGTCTTCCCCTTGAGCGCACTGCAGCAGGCCAATTCCTCGGCCTTATTCCTGCGCGTGCTCCTGACTCCACCTCCAAATCTAACACCTCATCTTCCTCAGCTGCTCCAGAACCGAAAGAGCAAGGATATTGGGAATATGGTCTAGACATCATCAGTGCCATTGCTCGCAACGTCCATTTCGAGGCAAACATTGGGCCCATCGGGGGTGCCTCAGGCAATCGAACTGGATCATCCTTGCCACAAATACCAATGGGCCCACGCTACAACGGCCCTATAGGTGAGTTAGTCCATTTTCAAATCCCATTTGGAAAGCTGTTGATTTTAAATTAGATAAAAACTCGGTCGTAGACACGTTCAAAAGGAAAAAATTGGATCCCAGTTTCGCGAGCCGGGAGCAAAAGGGACGGGAGTTGAACATTTCGGGAACGCCCGGGACGGAAAAGTATAATAACGAGCTACGCAGGAAGGTTGAACAGTCCTATTAGAATAATATGTATCTAGTTTTTCCATAGCTTTGGAGGTATCAAGATGGTGAAACTGTCATTACTGTCAGTATATGTACAAGGGGAAGTTCGAGGACGACCCTTTAGTTCTATTTGGAGGTGACGTTGAAAGCGCCACTTCAGCGCTAAGATACCAAAGCCTGCTCTTTTCTTTCTCACGAGATATTTTATTTCAGGGTAAACTCGCTCTAAATCTTTCCCAGTGTTTTGGATCACGAACATTTCCACGCTCGCTAGCAAACGATAGTTCATATAAATCCTTATGCTCTTGCAATACCATCTCTAGTCCGCATTCTCGTCTCCTTTCTTCCTGCTCTACCTCCTACGCTCATTCTATAACGTCCTTATCTTGCTGCTCCGGCCTCATCCCTCTCAATACTGATGCAACATCCCCTATTCAAGTAATCCCTCAAATTACCCATTAGCACGTCCGCCACGTAGCCATCCACTTCGGCGAAAGCTAAAACGGCACCTGCAGCCAGGGCGCAGATATCTACCCTACAAAGCTTTCCCGCCACCCAATTTTCTCGAAACCGAAAGACACACATTTTCAGCACGCTACCTTAAGCGCATCATTCTTTGCGAAGGGACTACTTTCAAGCTAAATTATAGGCCAGCTTGCTATCTAAGAGCTTATTGTATACCCATCATTACTGACCTATAATCAAGGGCTATAGATAGAGCTTTATACTCTATTACCACCAGCGCCTTCTCATGCAAGTTATTTCAGATATACATCCACCTTCACTATCCTAATATCATCAATCTTAGCACGGATATCGGTTTTCCGGGAGGTAAAGATAGCAGCCTTCGTCATCTTTCAGAATTCCCTCGTTGCCTAAATTAAATCCCTCACATATTCTAATCACGTCAAGATGCATGCATATATCCCTAGGTCATTATCCCGCACTTCGCAATTCCTGT